TTGGTGAAGACACTCACACAAGTCTTTAGAACCGGTTTTCCTCATGTGTAAAATGTGGGTGAAAATACTTGACTTGCATGGTTTCAGGAATTGACATAAAAAGCACGTAGTCTGGCATACAGTTACTGTGTGATAAATGATGGTCCTTTTGTGTTTAGACTCTTTGTGATCCCTGCTGGCACACACTGCCTGTCTCCCGTCCTGCTGCTGTCATAGTTATCAGGTCGCCAGATTCGATGACCATTACTGAGCCTTCTCTCGAGGTATCATCTGGTCAGCTGTACCTTTGGCATCTTTTTTAAATGCTTCGCCTACCTGGTTCCAGGGTCATTTCTCTCATTTCTCCTACTTCCTGACCTACTTGTTTCTCTTTCTCTTCCTAACTTTTAAACTGTGGTCTCCCTCATAGTCTTTTGTCTTGTCCTTCTGTCAGGCTCTGTGAGTGATGTCATGTTTTAAATACTGCATTTATTCAAATTTTATATGTGTATGCCAAAAAATTCTCCCCTCAGAGTTCCAGTAGCCATTGTAAACTTGATGTGTCTAAACCAAATCTTTGATTTCCTCTCTGCTGAGTGTGTCATCTGAGCCTCATACCCTGAGACAGACTTGCCCTTCCTGTGGGATCCTCTCAGTAAATGGAAACTCCACTGGATACTCAGCAGAAGTCTGGGGTTGTCCTTGCCATTTCTTTTCTCATCCCACCTCCAGCCCATCAGCCAGCCCTGGCAGCTTTCTTAAAATAGACCAAGCTTCCCTGTCTCCCAAGTCTAAACCAAGATCTCTTCCCTCTTTTAATGCAGTAGCCTCTTAGCTCCCTGCTTCTCTGTGTACCCCTTACAGTGGTCTTTCTTCTGCTTAATGTTTTATAATGATGCTTTATTCCAAATGATAGAGAAACTGCTTGCTGTGGTTCTAAGGCTTTAAGGGAGCTGCCCTCCTGCCCACTCTCTGCTCTTCTGATTAGAGTCCCAGCAGGAAAATGATGACACACTGAGGGTCAGAGGTTTAATTTTAAAGAACTTTGTAGAGGTAAGGATGTGGGGGTTCCATAAAAGATAGTGCAGCGACATAGGATTAGTAACAGCAGAGTGTCACGAGAAGGTATCAGGGGAGGGTCTGGAATTGAGAAAGATGCTGAACCTTGAGGGGAACAGTGATTTTGAGGTGAGCAATGCCACCACCCTGCATGACCAATTTGATTATTTTCTTTCCCTTTGGTCTCCTACTCAGGCTCTTCCTATGCATGTGTTAGTTTTCTGTGACTACTGCAGCAAGTTTACTGAACACAAATTGGTGGTCAAAGCAGTACAGTTAGTTATCTTCTAACAATTTTGGAGGCCAGAAGTCTGAAATGGGTTTTGTGGGCCAAAATGAAGAGGACAGCAGGAGCACGGCCTTCACAGTGAGGTTGTTGCCTCGCCTTTTCCTGCTTCTGTCCAGGAGCCCAGCATCCTGGTTCTCTGTTACATTACCTTATGCTGCTGTTGCTTGTGATCGCACTTGGGCCCATCCTGGTGGTCCAGACTAATTCAAGGTCCTTAGAACTTCAAAGTCACTGTGTCCTTTAAGGTAATATTTATCGGTTTCAGGAAATAGGATCTGGGTACCTTTGGGGGCCATCAGACTGCCATAGGCCACACCCTTCTGGAAGGCAGAGAATATGAGAACTGCTGGTGTGGTTCATACACATGTGCCTTAGAGCAGCGAGTGTGTGGTAAAAAGCACCACTGCCTTTCTCCTGGTGACTTCTGCTCCAGCCACATAAGCGCATTCCTTGCACTAAGCACACTCCTGCATCAGTACTTCCGTATTTTTTTGGTTAGTATCCCCATTAGACTGAAAGTTCCATACGAAAGGGAATTTTTCTGCTTTATTTGCCATCTTTCCAGTGCCTAGGACAGTGAGTAGCCCATAGTAAATACTACTGGCTCTGTAATACTGCCAAGTGGGAAAGCCTGGGTATGTTGTCTTTCCTACCTTTTAAGTCCCAGATAAAACATCTGCCTGTCAGGTAGCCTTGCCCCTCACCATGAGATGAGAATTTTTCCTCCTGAGTTCAGGTGGAACTTAGCATACTTCATCTTTATTTTGGGGGATTGTTTTTGGAACAGAGTCTTACTGTGTGTCAGGGTGGCCTCAAACTCCACTCTGATCCTCCTACTCAGCCCCCCAGGGCTGGGATCACAGGCCTGTGCTGCCATATTTGGCCAACACTTTGTTTCTTTCTCGCTGTCCTCATTTTTCCTCCACTTCTAGACTGTAGCTTCCTGCCTTCCTTCCTTCCTTCCTTCTTTTTTCAAATCATTTTATTTCAAGGAGAAAAAGAAAAAAAAAACTAAAAAATTCAAAACATATCAATCAGGAGGCAACAATGATACATACATTGCACACTGTCATCCCCAAATCATTCACCCAGAGCACAAGACACCTGCATTCAGTTGTCTGAACACTACCAGCACAGATTTTTCTCTTCAGTGAACTCAGGTAAATCTGTAGTATAAATATCTTAACTAGTTTGTATATACATATACATATACATATACATGTATATATGTGTTGTTTCTTCCAGCTTCTCACACTAATGAGACAATACAGTGTTTACAATCAGTGTCTTATTTATTTCACTAATGAGTATGTTCTCAAGGTACATCCATTTACCTGTGAAAGTCTCCAGTTTATCCTTCTTTATGGCTGACTAGTACCTCATTGTATAAAAATACCACATCTTTTTGTATCCATACCTCAGTCAATGGGTATTTAGGTTGTTCTAAAGATGCCGCTATTACAAATTATGGTGCTATAAACATGGGTGCACATATATTGCTGTAGTGTGGTGTTTTTAAATCTTTTGGAGAGATACCCAGAAGGGAAATAGCTGGATGGATTGGGACGGTTAGTCCTAGTATTTTGAGGAATCCTCTCACTGATTTTCACAGTGGTTGCCCCAATCTGCAGTCTCACCAACAGTGAAGAAGAGTTCCTTTTCCCCCACGACCCCTCCAGCATTTGTTATTGATTGATTTTTAATGCCTTTGATCCATTCTGATTTTAACTTAGTACATGGTGAAGGATACAGGTCCAGTTTTAATCTTTGGCATGTGTAGAGCCTGTTTTCCCAGTACCATTTATTAAAGATGCTATTTTTCTTCCAGTGAATGCATCTGGCCCCTTTGTCAGTGATAAGGTGGCTTAGTGTTACACTGCAAGTTTGTTGAGGACAGAATCTATATTTGATTTATCTTTATACTCCATAGTTATTTTCAACCAGATCAGTATATACTTTACTGTTAGGTTATTTGAAAAAACAAAACAAAACTCCAATCTGGTAGCAAGTTGTATTGTTTGAAAGTACCAGTCAGCATTTCTTACAAGGTAGGAAAATGGAAGTGAATGCAAGCTGACTTGTTATCTACCAAGACGTGAGTGAACGTGAGTTCTTCCTGGTTTGAGTAATAGTTCTGGACTTCCTTTCTCATAGCTGTTCAAGGGAATAATGAAGTATCCATGTGGGACATGGAGACTGGTGACAGAAGGTTTACACTCTGGGCCAGCAGCGCACCGCCACTTTCTGAGCTACAGGTTTGTCTCCAGTTTTCTTATTGTACAGTGAATGGTATTGTCCACATCCTAACCAAATTCAGGCATTTTAGCAAACATGTTCTTTGTTCAGCTTTTGGGTTATGTTTAAATTTAACATCAAGTACTATGCAGCTATTGCAGCATGGGTGTTTTCTAATTTCCTGAGCTTGCTGCCATCTGCTTCATTGAATGTCTTAATTGTAACTCCCTAAGGCTTGTAGAATCTCTTTGTTAGCTCAGTAGACCTGAGTTAATCAGGCAAAGCCTGTATTGAAGTTTAGGTTATTGAAGAATGGAATATAAACTTCTTCCATGTACAGAGGGCCCCAATTCAAGATGATCTGACTTACAACTTTTTGACATTATGATGACAGTACAAGAGTGATACGCATTCACTAGAAACTGTACTTTTTATTTTGGTCTTTTTCCAGGCTAACAGTGTGTGTTAGGATGCTCTTGTGATGTTGGGCAGCAGCAGTGGCCCTGTCTCCTGACTGGATCACAAGGGTACCGAACTGATACCCTTTAGGTTAGGCATGTTAAATGAATTTTCACCTGCCAATGTGTTTATTGGAATATAACTCGAAGATAAATTGAGGAGCCCCTATACTTTTGTTTTTAATAGTCATGTTACCAATGATACTTCATTGGGGCAAAGATAGAGCAGATGTTTTTCTTTAGTTGGGGTCCTGCTCAGAATGGTCCCAAAGAGAAAATTGTAGGAAGCTAAACAGGCTATATCTCTCTGTTCAGAATAATAGAAGCAACTATATTCTAAAGTCCTTGTTTGTCTCTTATTTCTCTAGCTAGTCAGGTGTTCATAAAGCTGTTTATTGACAGTTAACCTGCCTAGAGGTGGTACTGTCATCGTGGGTACACTGATGTTTCTTATTTAACCTCGTATTTGTTTCATTTAAGCCTTCTCCTCATAGTGTTCATGGTATCTACTGCAGTCCTGCAGATGGGAATCCTATCCTGCTAACAGCTGGTTCAGACATGAAAATAAGGTACAGTGTCTCAGAGAATACTTGATTTTGAAAACATGGATGGATGGTACTGTAATGTTGAAAAGCAACACCTTGGAAGAATAGCTATTAATATACTTTACTTGTAATTAATGCTGTTGGTTTTGAAAACATCTCTTCATAATGCATAAGGAGACGGTGTTGATGAATGTGTGCCAGTGGCTATTCTGCCCATTATCCAGTAGAGATCACCAGCATTTATTTCCTCTTCCCTAGGTTTTGGGACTTGGCTTACCCGGAAAGATCTTATATTGTGGCAGGAAGTACCAGTTCCCCATCTGTGTCCTACTATAGAAAAATAATAGAAGGCACCGAGGTTGTCCAGGTACTATCATTTGCGTTTCTTTCAAGTTACATAGGTACAAAAGTGACTTTGGTCAAGACTGCCAGTAGTCCTTTTAATTTAAGAAATAAGTTTATTTATCTTGGCTTTTCCGTAACAAGTTATAAAGACAGTACCCATAAGCGTGTCACTCAGAATGAACATGAGGCATTTTACAAAGATAAGAACTGAGAAGTGTTTATGAAAGAATTTTTGTTTTCCTTAAACAAAAAAATTAGGCACAGACAGGTTGTTACTAGTCCAAGATTAGTTCAGCGAGTAAACAGAAAACAAATTCAGACATGGCCTTTGGGACTATAAAACTTGTTGGTTTTTTTGCTTGTTTGTTTTGTTTTGTTTGAGACAGGGTCTTGCTGTGTAACCCAGGCTGGCCTTGAACTTATGACAATCCTCCCTCAGTGCTGGGATGATAGGTGTGTGTCACCACACCTGGCAAAACTTGTATTCTTAACTTAGACAAAAATTTCGGTTGTGACATTTTTGTGTCTGGTCAGAGTAAGTGCCCCATAAAGGACATATGCTGCCTAAGGACCTTTAGAAGCAACTGTAACATCTGATATGTTCTGCTCCCTTTTTTCTTTGATGTTAATAAAATTAATATGCACAAAATATTGGCCACATATGTGTTCTGTATTTGTAAGTGGCTACTCACAGGATCCAGGGAGTGCAATCCAGATTTTATTTTGGACTAGTGTAGTTTACTCCTTTTCAGCTATTTATGAAAGCCCAGTCACTTCACATGAAATGTTAACTTCAGAGCAACAGCGTATCCAAAAGCAAGTGAACTGGCAGGAAGTAGAATGTGGTACCGATATAATTTCTGACTTTCTCCTTGACTTCTCCTAACCATCCAACAGGAAATTCAGAATAAACAGAAAGTAGGACCAAGTGATGATACCCCTCGAAGGGGCCCAGAATCTTTGCCTGTGGGGCATCATGACATCATCACAGATGTTGCTACTTTCCAGACAACACAAGGTTTCATCGTGACTGCTTCTAGAGATGGGATTGTAAAGGTGTGGAAGTAAAAATCTACTGACTTGTATAAAGCTGTAAAGGTAATATAATTCAGGAGAAAAGGTATCTACAGTGCAGAACAAATTCATTTGCTTAATTTTCAAAATCATGTCTGTATTATTCTTTCGTAACAATAGGTCCCACTCAAAGTAGAGAAGGAAGCTGACTTGGCTAGTTTACTTGTGCAAATCTCTGCAAGGGTCAGCCTACAACAGCTGGGACTTTTTATTGTATATGCCATAGATGTGAGAGATGTCAAATGTGGAGACATATGATCTCCATTGATTTTGTATTGAAAAAGATGGTTGTAAGCTATTATAATGTAAACAGTTTTGTTATTAAAAATGCTATTTAAACCAGTGATGCTGTTTTCAAGCATCTGGGTGTTTTTTATTTGGTTTTGGGTGGTATTTTACGTATTAAACATGAGCAGGGGCATGAACTCCAACAGCATTTGTTTTAAGGTGAAGAAGTGAACTGAGTGCCATAAGAAACAATGATAGAAATACTCTGGACCTTTGCTCTGTTACCATATCTTTCTTCCACTGTGTTTTATAGTCTACTTTATTAGTTATTTAATACGATAGAATTGATTCCTTGTGTAGCAGTTCTAGAGAATGTGGCTTTTCTTGGCATTATTTTTTGTAGCCTGTACCATAAACGCTACTCTGCTGTCAGCTTTCATTTATCCAGTGTTTTTATTAAATGTATGAAAATGGGAAAAAAAGTTGAAGACATGCCAAAATTTTCTATTTTTAAAATGCCAAAACTAGCTTTTTTCCCCACTTAATTAAAACCCTTCAAGATTATGGGTTATGTTTACATATGGACCTAATTCTCTTCACAGTCTGTTCCCTTCCATTCATAGAGTTTATGGTGCTTAGAATATTTCGTTTCAAACTAGTTACATGAGTATAAAACCAAAAAGTCGAATAGGTAATTTGAGTCTGGGAGTAATACTACTTATTAAGTAGTGCTTTAAATGCACTAAACATTTAAAAATGTTTTTATAATTGTGAAGTTCAGTTTGGTATGTGACCTTTTAACAATTCAGAAAGGGCAGAGTGGTATAGTGGCTGTGACCAGTCCACATGCTTAGTGGGTTCGTGAACTTTGTAACTCTGGCATCAGACTGTCAGGTTATATTCCCTCTTTCTTTCTGAGTATGCCAGGACCATGTTTACAGGGCTCTGACAATTAAGTCAGAAGTTAAGAGTTTTCAGGGCTAGAAAAAGTTTTGTAACATAGAGAAGGCGCTTCAGGATAAGCCCTGAGACTCACAGCAGTGAGACACGCCAACAGGGATACTCTTTCCTTCCCATGACCCATTTCTAGGCTCTCATTTCCCAAATAACCGTATTTTTTTTTAAAAGAGATATCTGGTTAAATTGTTACTGAGTACTACAATCTGAAGTTACATCTCTGTTTTAATTGTTTTGTTTTAACAAGGTTGACTCAGCTCCACACAGAGCTAACAAGAGGCAGGTAGGTCCATTTCAGGCAATTAATTAACATTTTTAACTCAAGAAGTACCACTGTATTTTGCTTCTTTTTTGTAATATGAGTTCGTTCAATTTACATTCAAGTTAATTTTCCCACTTCCCATTTTTAAAAGAAAGAGAAATCATGGAGAGTGCTGATACAGGGATTTGTTTTTGAAAAGAAACTTCTGTTTGCAGCTTGGCTGGAGACTCCTAACCTGTTAGTGACTAAGTATTACCTAAAATGCTAAAATAATCTCCATCACCAAGGGAATATTTGTTCAGTGTGCTTTACTTAGCAATACAGAAAAAATAAACAAATACATTTTCAAAATAGTCCCAATAATAAACAGAAGAAAAGTGTTTGTGCTTAATTCAAAGTTAATTAGAAAAATTCTTGTTACTAAACTAGCCCTTAAAAATTGCTCATCAGTTTCCTATACTTGAAACAAGTTTTCCTGAAACCCTAAGCACCATTTAGGACATGAAGAAAAGCGATGTGCTGTTCTTCTTCTCTGTTACCTGAGTATGACATTGAACTCCTTGCATTTCTTGCTCCTCTGAGGACATTAGGAGCTCTGTTGAGTTCTCCAAGTAAGGATGGCAGAAGTGGTTTAAAAGAAATACTTCCTTTGGGTCTTCTTTCCAGGCTTTATGAAAAGAGGTGTAGAAAAGAAAATCTGAATGCAGCCTACAGACTTTGGTGTCCATAGCCTCCTGCCCCATAGGTTCATGTAGGGCTTCCCTTCCTTCCTGAAGCACTGACAGTGCCCAGCAGGGCCACTGCTGCCAGCTGGGGAGCCCGCTGTTAGGCTGAGGTAAGGTCTCAGTATTGTGTTTGAATGCACAATGCTGCTTTGGCATTTAGTTGTTAAAGTATCAGCCCCTTTACGAGAGTAAACATTGGGTGGAGAAGAGGTGTCAAAGCTGTCAAAGTCTGCAAAAAGAGGACAGGCATTTGGAGGACCTTTCCTGCTCTAACTGATCTCTCACATTTCTCCAACTCTATGGATTCACAGATTCAAAGTTGTTAAAGATTTTCTTGTCTTTTCCAGACTTAGTGTCCATGTGAGGATCTTTTCAGAGCCTTGCCAGCCCTGTATTGGTGCTGATCATTGTTGATTCAGTAGCCACTTGACAGGTAAAAGCAACATAGAGTTTCTCCTAAGTTTTTGCTTTGCTCTTCTTGTCTAAAGAATATATGAATTAGTGAAAAATAAATGACCATAACAGGGAAGGGTGGCAGGAAATCCATCAAAAGGGCTTGGCTAGAAGTTCTATAATGGAGATAGAACTTCAGCTCCAAAGCAATCATTTATGATCTGAGAGAATTAATGCATTTCTTGGTGAGTTGAGGATTTGGAGTTGGAGAAAATTATCCTCTGCTGCTCACCAGTCTGAGCAAGTATTGCTGGCGGTCTTAGTCCAGAGACAAGTGTCACATTCAAATGAAATAATCACAAAAGGTCCATTTTCCAAAAATGTGACAAAGAAACAGCAGCGGTTTCTAGGGTAAATGTTGGAATAGCCTAAACATTGAACCCTTTTGATTAAATAGATGAGAATTAAACTACTAAATTAAGAAAGCTTGCATTGCAGAAAATGGACTGAACAGATACCTGCAACCTGAAGTATTAGCATCGGCCCCTGTACATACATGTTTACACTTACATAACATTTACTTTCAGATTATATCTCCCTTAGACTTAGTTTTAATAGTTGTCATGAGTGGTCAAATAAATGGACACTCTCCTAAGTTACCTGATTACCTACAGCCTATGGCTTGTTCTTCCCTCCAGAGTTGACCTCTGGATGCAGGCAGATACCCCATTAAAATTTGCTGAGTTGCGGAGTGGAATTGGTTATTGAAAGTCATTGTTTCATGTTTCCTAAGGCTCAACTGTTCCAGCACTTCCATTATCCTGTTGTTTAGGAATAGTTTGTATCACTCGTCTTGCATTTCTAAAGGGAAGGTATATGCTTCCAGGGAAATGTCGAATAGCTTCACCTCTGCTCCCTCTTTCTACTCTTGGAAGATATCTTCTATCCTGAAAGAGTCTCACGTCCCGTAGTGCATCTTTGAAGGCAGCTCTTTGTAGTCTAGGAACAGAGCTGTACAACAAAAGAGGAGAACGTCATAGAGGGTGAGTCCCACTTCGACCTTAATAGAATCTGTATTCATCCCTTTGTAGACTGGTCGTTGTACTCACTTCCCTGTTGCATCCTTCCTTCAGGTAAGTTTTAATGATTACTAAACTAGGGGTTTGTGCTGATCCATATAGCAAAAGCTGACCAATGCAGCATGTTGCTAAATTATGAAAAGTACAGTTTCAAGAATGAAGTTTCTTCTTCATGGAGTGTGATTCACTCAGATCTTTATGTGGCTGGCCTTTCTGACTGTTCAGATTTGAATTTAAGTGGTACATCACCACAGATCACTCCATACATAATTTCTCCAGTTGGACTCTCACTTTCAGTCATTCAACATAGAATAGCACGCTTTTGTTTTGCTCATAACACTCACTACATGAATTTCTGTTTACTTGTACATTTCTTCCCCCTTTTTCCACCCACACAGTAAATTTCATGAGACTTCATCTGTTCACATAATAATCCTCAATGTGGATTTATCTAATGAAAGCAGGGATGTATGCCACCCTCCCTTTCTTTCACCTGTCTTTCAAGCCATCCATTCAGATGTTCAGTACCTGCTCTGTGAAAGGCAGTGTTAGGTATGATAGGGGACAAAGAAATAGAACCTGATTGGAATCCGTGAGTAACCAACAATATAAGAGAGCCTGAGTTGGACTCTGAAATGCTTTGAATTCCAACTGAGAGATAAGAGACTCAGAGAAGCTGATAGTAACCAAATTCTAGCCTATACCTTCTATGCTGATGGAAATGCCTGATCACTGCGCTGGCCAGTGTGGCAGCCACTAGCCACATGTGACCATCAGACACTCTAAACAAATAGTGAGGAGCTGATTTTTTAATTTTAATTGATCCGTATTTATATGACCTTGTATAGCTGGTTGGCTAGTGTACTGGGCAGTATGAAAATGGAGCCACTTAAAATGACCTTAATTATATAAGGGTGCAGGGGAGAGATCTTCAGATCAAAAACATCTTCCTTTCTTTCACATACCAAGTTCTAGGCAAACCATTTATCTAGACAGACATTTTTTTTAGGTTCAAAATTGGGGTAAAAACAACCCACATAAGCAACAGCTGTAGTCTCCTAGCCTAGTTACCTCTTCTGTTGGTTGGAAACAAATGAGGAAACTGAGGTGCACAGAGGGGGAAGATCAGTGGAGGTTGGGGCTCTATCCCAACCAGGTGTCCTATGTCACTTCATTGACCTAGGTTTTTATTTAGAACACTATGGAGAACTGCAGACATACTTGGAGTAGAAAGTGAAATACTGTGTATGCTATGGAATCTGGGTATAGGACCACAGGAAGGCCGACGAGCTGGGGCCAGCTGGAAGATAAGGTCTGAGAAGCCCAGCATGTAGCAGGCACACAGTGGACGTGGGAGAGGCCGATGGCATGAGAAAAGAGGTTTGTCAGTGCTGAGAAACCAGCAATGGCTGAACTGCCGTCAAGGGAGGAGAAACCAACGGAATTCAAGAGTGTTTCATAAGCACAATGGCAGGACTCACTGGGACCCACTTCTTTATGTTTTTTTGTTTTCACCAGCTAGGAAGTCTGGCATACCACAAAACGTTAATATTTAGAAAATGAGTATGTGGGAAAGCAGGCAAGTTCAAGCTAAATTACTTTGGTACATACACATGTACAACACACACCCCCTTCCCTGGAACATAATCTTTTATTAGTACATGCTTTTAGCACATAATGATTACATTTGCCGTGTGGAGTTTGTACATGTACATAACACCTGAATGCTTTCTTTTGTCCCTTTCCTCTCCCCTCCCTGCTTTGCCAACTCTTCTTCTTCTTCCCCATTTGCAAAAGCTTTATTTCCATTTTTTCAACTCTTAAAACCCCTTTTCTCTCTCTTTTCTCTTTTCCTACTCCTAACATCTACCTTTTATTTTTTGCTCCTTATTTATGCTTTGAGTTTCTCACATAAGAGAAACAATGTGATATTTAAACTTGTGTGTTGGATTTATTTCACTTAAGATTATGGTCTTGATGTGCATCCATTTACCTAAAAATGTATCCAGTTTATCCTTTTCCTCTATTGAGAGAGTGAGAGGTGAAGGGAACGTGAGAACAGTAGGAACTGTGCATTCCTGTTACATAGACCCCCAGAGCCTCTCTGCAGCATATACTATATTCCTGGGCTTCAGGAACTTGACTCAGAGCTTCTTAGTTCATTCTGTCAGTGCTATCGGGTGTTCCAAGTTCATCAGACTTCCAGTTACCAAGAACAGCAGCCACAGCTAAATTTCAATGCAAAAATTTCTCATTCTCCCATTTTGGGGACTTATAACATTATAAGTCTCAAAGCAGGAGTGCTATGAATTAAAGCCCCCCCCCCCATTCATGAGTGTATTCAGAGAACATGGGCAGGGCATTCTTATGAATCTGAAATACACTTTTCATGATTTCATTCTCTTGGTGATATTTTCCACCTCTTGCTCCCCCCTTTTAAGACACATTTAGTTGTCTTTGTTACCTACTTTATTAAAAACTGTTAAATTGGTAACTGCTTAAATATGGCATAACTCTTCCTCCCTCAAATATTTGTATTTTCCAAAGGATTGAACAGTAGATTTCTAGGCTTTTTTTCATTGTGTTATACGACACAGCAGTTGTATTTCTTACATGTTTGATGAGAATATTTTGATTACCCAGCTTTGTCTCTCTCCTACTATACATTGCTCAGGTAATTCTTTGCTGATTGGTAGCTCCAACCATAGGTCAAAGGTACGAAACAAAGATGCAATAGTCAAATTAATTCCGTAAGTTGTGCCCAGTTCCAGTAAAAAGCTCATAAATAGGAAGATGTGGCAAGTTCTAGATACGACAGTGAGTGTCGTAGTTCTGGGGACTGAGTACAGATTGGGCTCTTGTTGGCCACCATGTCCTCCATGAACAGATATTAGAAATCAGCCTGCTTCCTTTATGCACTGAAAATGCAGAAGAGATTGCTTCAGTGCCAGAAATCTTTTTATCTTTTCTGGGTTCAGAAAACCCACTTAGGGAAGCACAGATATGTTATTCAAACGGCACTGGTGGTTGTGTCCAGTCTTAAAGTTTAGTCATTCTTTCTCTGGTCTGTCATTGCTTTGGAGTCTGGCACAAGTGCTTCCCTGAGTGCGTGAGCCAGATGGCTTTCTTTGAAGGTCTCTGAGCAGATCTGATTGCTTACACCAAGAGTTGCCTGCAGGTCACCCTCTGGCCATCCGTAGTTGCTTATGGTTAGGTTCAGTTCCTTTTCCATCTGATAAGAGCCAGCCTTTCTGGATTTTCTTCAGAGTCTCACGGCAGAATGAGCTCATTCTGAGGCACGTCATCCAAGGACTGGGCAAATCATCTGTAAGGCCAGACAGCCTCATCCTTCTCAGTGCCAAGCATTCAGTGCTAGCTCACTTCTCATGAACTGCCCAGGCAGGGAGCTTCAGGAACAGCTGCGTGACTTGTTACCTTTTATTACAGTCTGGTCGCTTGGAAAAGGCAGGGGATTCCTGGTCTGTAGTACCATCAGGGAGTCAGAGAACAGATAGTGTTATGGATTTTATGTCTCAGTGCCTTGATGGCCCGGCTGTTCCACCATTTTAGGTTTTAGGAGAAGCTGTGTTATCTAGGGCAGTATGGAAGGGGGGAGCTTCCTGTCCAAAAGCACTGTGAATCTTCTCTTCCTGCTCTTCAAACAGAAAGCAGAATGCTTTCCACAAATGCCTCTTCATTATGGAGGCTGGTTTTGGCATATGCCCTTAGAGTTGTGGCTGGCTACGTACATACAGCCTAATGCTGTCCAGCTCCAGCAGCACAAAGATTCTAATACAGGGCAGTGCAGACTCCCATGGGCACTTATGCCCCATGGCTTGGGAATCCCCTCCCATCAGCCTTTAGAAGACCGCCTGGAAGTTGAGCCGGCCTTTCCCCTTAGCTGGTTGTCTTAACCCTCAGCAGAGATCTGAACCCCCAGAATGTCACCACTTCTTGGCTGGGACATGATGGGTACACGGATATAAGTGGGCAAAAGACCACCTGTGACACCACCAGCTTCCTGCTTGCAGCACTCCTGTCCCAGGGCTCCAGAATGCATGACCCCGGCTCTTTGGGCATTTGTGCCTAGGCCCCTTATCAAGGAGGTAAAGGCCCAGGGAGTTGGGAGGTGCCAGGGGGTCTGAAGGAACAATTGTCAGTCTGTGCTCAGCTGCTGCTCCCTTATCGTTAGGCCTGTGGCAAAGCAGAAGCAGCTAAAAAGTGTGGCAGGAGGAGCTGCTAGCCTCGAGCCAGTGGGGAGGACACTAGAGAGGGACAGTGGAATCCCCAAGGCCTCGCCCCCCTGACCCACTTCTTTCAACTAGGCCTGGTCAACACCCACTAATGCTATCAGTTATGAATCTGGTTTCATCCATTGATGAAGCCGAGCCCTTGTGATCTAGTCACCTTCCAAAAGCCCCACCTCAGGGAGAGGAGGGGCCAGGAAGCACAGAGGACTAAATGCAGTATATGCCTGCATCCACTCCCCAGGAAGCGTGTATTCATGTGTTCTAGACACACGCTGCACACACGTGAAACACATGCCCCACCTTTGAAAAGATGAGCTTTCCGGGGACACTTTTGATCCAAACCATAATATCAGGTGGATAGAGGGTCCCAGTCCCAACTCCCCAACATGCCTTACTGCCCATTGGCTCTCACAAAATAAAAATTCAAAATCAACATTGAAGCTGGGTGGTGGTGCACACCTATAATACCTGCCAGCACTTTGGGAGGCTGAGGCAGGAGGATCACAGGTTCCAGCCCAGTCTCGGCAACTTAGTGAAACACGGGCTGGGGATATATATCAGCGCAAAGGTCCTGGATTCAAACTCCAGCATCGTCTGCCACCCTCACCCCCATTAATAGTAAGTACATACCACCAAACCCTAACGGCAGGGCTCTGCTGAGGGCCCATAAAGCTGCCAGCATGTAGCATGTACCACATGTGCCTCAGCACTGCTCTCACACCAGCTATGAGGCCCACTCTGCTGGCATGCAGATTCACCAGCCTGAGCAGGGTGCCCTGTGTCCCTCTTCTGAGCCGCTGGGCACTGCCAGCAGGGGGAGCCCTGCTCTCCTAGCACTGACGGCACTCGCCTGTTTGCGGGCCTGACTTCAGTGTTCGCTGCTCGCACTGCAGGTGACTGGACCTCCCTGGCAGAGGCCTGAAAGAGGTGCAGCTCCCGTGTACTCGACAGCTGCATGGTAGGGCAGACACCCTGTCAAAGAATGGCACCGACGTGAGTCCCGGAGGCTGGTGCGCGCTGAGTTGAGTTGGTGGGTGGGATTGTGTGTGTCGGTACAGAATGACTTCACTACAGAAATCAACACTCTTAACTTCTTAACCCCTCTACTGATCTTAAAAAACAGGAATAATATTCACGTGTGCAAAAGATAACATTCATATGTACACTATTAAGACTTAAAGGAACTAATATTAGCCCTTGTCGATACTCTTTTGTATATTTAAAACCACTGGGTTCTACTCTTATTCTTAATTTCCCTATCTTTGGGTTTCTCTCTTTTCCTTATCTGAAATCCTAATGGCAATGCTTAGCTCATTAGCTTTCAGGGTTTGAAAACTTTCCCTAACTTAGGAATTAATACTGCAGACCTTCCTAACTCATCATTTTTGATGAATTCCAGCAAGTTTTGACCTACAACATTTTGATTAACTTGTAGTTCTGAAACACTTTAAAATTTCCATTATGGTTTTGCTCTATTGCTAATTTAGAACTGTGATTTCAATATGAAAGTGTATATTACTTTTAGGCTTTAAAAAACTTGCATTTAGTTTTTAATGTCATTGCCCGGGGTCAGTGTGGATTGTGTGACTCCATATGCTAAAATTGTGCGATAAACACCTGTAGACTCTCTGCCTCTCCCCAGCAGTTACTGTTGGGTGTTCTTCAGATGAATGTCTAATTTTCCTGTGCAGGATACTATGTGTATTTATTCAGTCAAGTCAATCATTTGCCTGGTGTTTTTTTTTTTAATTTATTCAACCTTTCCATTTCCTTATATTGTAGCTGTGTCTCTTAAAAACCATTAATTTATTTTTAAAATCAAATCTATATCTCTGACTGTAACTGACAAACTTAGTCTGTATTTTTTGTGATTATTGATATATTTAAACGAACTTGATTCAGTTTTCTTTGTGCCTTTTATTGTTCTTCATCTTAATTTTTCTTTTGGCATTTAAAAATATTGTTCATTTTTATCCTTTGCTTTATTTTTAGAGCTCTCTACTTTGTATTTTCTCATGTGTGCCCTCAAAAATTTCAATGCTTTTAAAAGAATGTGATGTTTCAGCAACCTAACTCCTATCCCAAATAATACAAGTTCCTAGAATCCACAACTCCATTTTACTTCCTGTGAATTATATAATTGTTTTCCCTTTTCACCTGTCTTTCTTTTCTTAAAGTTCCAGGCCTCAATCCCCCAATCCACCCCCAGCACTGGATATTGGATCTGGGGGTGAGCTACCACTCAGCTATGTCCTTAGTCCTTTGTATTTTGAGACAGAGCTTCACTAAGTTGTCTGGGTTGGGCTCAAACTTGCATTCTTCCTGCTACAGCCTCCTACAGTATTGAGATTATAGGTATGTTCCACCGCACTTTGCTCACGCATCATTTTAAAACAATATTTTAATAAAATAATCTTTAAAAATTCTCCAGCTATCAGCATCTTGCTAGTTTTTATGTATGCGCATGTATATACTTGTATCTTTATGTGTGTATGCATATATCATATGTATGCACATATCATGTATCCATATGAGTATATGTATGTATACATGTATCTGTATGTATAGGTGTGTAAATACATGCATACATATATGTGCACACACATCCCATCATACTACACCATCATGCATGTTATTCTTAAATATTTTTTCACACCTGTATCAAGAACAAAAACATCCTGTTATACAAACATAACACTATTACTACTCACAAGGAAATCCATACAATTCAAACACACCATATAGAGTTTTATATTTCATCTTAATAGATTGTTTCATTTTAAGTGTCTTTACTCATTTAAATAATGGATAAATTGGGGCTGGGATTTAGCTCAGTGGCATAAGCGCCTGCCTTGCAAGTGTGTGATCATGAGTTCGATCCCTGGTACTGATAAAAAAATAAAAAATAAAATAAATAAATAATGGATAAATAAGACTGTTACTAATACTGATAGTCTTAGTACAACTGTTTTGTTTTTTGGGTAAAACCACCAGGTAACAAATGTTTTATTTTCATGTCTTTGTTGACAAGTACAGCTTTTTGGTAGCCCCACGAATCAGTTACTATACTATCATTTAAAAATACATTTGTTGGATGGGGGTTAGGCTCAGCGGTGGAGCACTTGCCTAGCATGCACAGGTTCTGGGTTAGATCCTGAGCACTGCAAAATAAATAACTAAATGGAAATTTAAAATAAAAATACATTTGTTTGGATTTACTTTATCACTATTACTTCTTTTATCTCATTCCTATTGCCATCATTTTTATTTTCCTTATGTACCTTTTAGAAGTTCCATAATAAAGATCTTTTTCCGATAAACTTTTTAAAATTTGAACTATCTTTTTTAGTATTATTTTGAAAACCAGTTTTTCTAAGTTGACAAAAATCGTATTCCACTACCTTAGATACTAAATATTAGTATAAATGGACACTACTTGTCATTTTCACTATTACTATGATCAGTAATTTAGCTGCCAGCTTAATTATAATTTTTTTGTAGGTGATCTGGTCTTTTGCAGGGGCTACTTTTCAGTTTTCTTTTATGTTTTGTATTTCACTATACCATGCCTAAATGTTGTGGATTTTTAAAATCCTGTCTATTACACCTTATCTTGTCCTCATCTGTAAATCCTGTTTTTCATACAATCTGTAAAGATAATCATCCCTTTGTGTCTAGGTATTGTCTCATTTATGCTTTTTATTTTAGCTTTGTAGAATTTGAGTTAGATCTAAATCTCTTACAGTAATTATCTCTGCATTCCAATTTTTTCCAACCTTTTTTCCTCATTCATTATGTTTCTCTTAAGATGTATTTGTTACTTTCTCTAATCCTTCGTTGAGCTTTACAAGTTATTATTTTGAGAATTTTAAAGCTTACAGAAGATTAGAAAGAAGAGTTCAACCTGGGTGGCCAATTAACAAATCAGGGAAGCCGGCTCAGAACAGGGCAGGAATGTAGCACCAGGGGAGGAGAAGGGACTGAAAAGGGTAGGGGAGAGGAGGAGGAGGAGGAGAGGGGAAGGGAAGGGTCTGGCCAGGAGTGGTAGCACACAACTACAATTCCAACACTGCGAGAGGCTGTGGCATGAGGATCACAAGTCTGGACTCAGCCTGAGCAATTATAGTAAGACTGCATTTCAAAAATAAAGAAAAGAAAATCAGAAAGTATAGAACCATAATTATCTGCATGCCTTTAACTTAGAATTTCCAGGTATTACTGTCTTTTTTTCTTTCTTTCTATGTATGTATACATGCATCTATGAGTATATACATGTATTCATATGTATAGATGTGTAAACACATATACACACATGCATACATGTATGTGTAATAGCCCATCATGCATGTTACTCTTAAATTCTTTTACATACCATCTCAAGAACAAAGACATCCCCTTTTACAAACATAACACTATTACTATTTACAAGGAAATCCACACAATTCAAACACATCATACATCTATTGTTCATACTCAAATTTCCCCAATTTCTCCTCCAATGGCATTTATATCCATGCTTTTTTTTCTGACCTAGGGTCCAGTCAGGAGTCACACAATAACATCTGACTGTTTTCTTTTGTGTCTCCCTTTCAAGAACAGTACCCCAATCCATATTCTTCTGTTCATTACATGAAACTATGAGGCATTTCATTACATTTCATTACACCTTGTATAGGCAAGTGTTCTGGAGAACATTCCACGTTCTGGGAGTGCCTAGGATTTTCTCATTGTTTGACTCAGTTCAAACATTTCCTTCCAGGGCCCCACACAGGCAATTGTGTGAGTTCCCCTGCACAACCCCAGCCTGGTTATGGGGATACTGCTGGATCTTTAAATAGCTTGCTCCTCAATCTCTGATATAATAGTTTTAGCACTCCTTAATGATCAGTTATTCTGTGATTAGCATTAATACATTAGATATTGCAATTTTTTTCAGTTCTATCATTTTCTTTACATGTATTAGTCAATTTCTCTTATCAAGAAGAGCCTTTCCTCTCCTGTCTCTTTTTGGAGGTATCTTTATAGACCTGTGGATCTTAAAACTTTAGTGTTATAATTCATTACTATCATTATTCTTTCTGATGTTCAAGTTTTATAAGATTAGGTCAATGGTAGGGAGGAAATTCTTTCATGGCAACTCATGTGTCTTCCTGAAATGATACTGTTAGTTTTTGAGTATTTTCTTGCTTCCTGTTTGCTCCAGGCAGCAATCCTCATTCCCTGGAATTGTGTATTTCTAAGGAACTCGAAAACCTAGCACTCTCTCCCTGGGGAATGGTGGTTAGAAACCAGAATCTGGTCATTAGACATGCTTCTTGCTACTAGGGCATCCCATTGGGTGTTTCATTTCAACAGACTTTCCAATTTTTTTTTTTTAAAAAAAATCTATTTGGTAATTTTTCTGATCAACCTAGTTAATAAAAAGGCCTTCCCTTGAGTTATATTTTAATATAATATAACAGTAGCTTTAGTCCAAATAAGATGGAGAAAGGACAAGAAAAGAAGGAAAGATAATAGGAGAAAGAGAGGCGTGTTTATCAAATCACATGGAGGGGCTGATACCTTCGGAACAGGCGTGGGGTCTGCCTGGAGGCTGTAGGGCTGATCCTATTGCACTTTGCCTTGAGGTTTATTGGTGGATATTTGTTGATTGCACCTGGAAGAGAAAAGGTGACCTGAGTCTCTTATCTGTGCCTGGTAACGTGACTGCAGTCTGTGCTGTTAGACAGCACTACTTCATTGTCTCCAGCTGCATCAAAGTCATCACAGGAAATGAAAGCATCTTTCTCAGGGAGCTTCTGGGTTTAGCCTTCAGACAGTAGGTCCTTCAGATCCTAGAGGTGAATCCAACCACTTAACTGATCATGGAGTTAGTCACTAGAAGGGATAGCACAAGCCAGGCCCAATGATCTGTCCTTTAATTGATGTGAACTAACCAGAACGATTATATGTAGTCCCGTGGAGTGTTAAACTGCCAAGGGAAAAGGACGTTCCCTTTATGGTCTGTGTCATTAGTGACAGTGCCAGTACCATTTGGGTGTCGTTCATTAGTTACTCATTTCATCTGAGAGTGTGTTAATTTTTCATAATAATAAGGTGTGCCTGTACCATGAAAAGGTGATTTTTATAAGAAACTTTATAAATGCACATCTTTTAAAGTGTTAAGTCAAACACTATTAAATCTTTTCCTAATGATGTGGGGTTGTCATCCATGAGTAGCAAGTGTGTCCTGAGCTGTGAGACCGCACGGTTTCCAGAGCTGTGATACAAAGTACTGGTGCTCTGAGCTGAACTGCCCAAGACTGGGATGCCACCCTTATTGGGTACCTGGGTTTTAGTTTTTAACCTGTCTTGACTAGTAAATTTCAAATGGTTAGACAGCAGTTTTGCTTCACTCAGAAAATGTGTTAATTCTGATGTAGATGGCACTTGATAGCCTGCTCTGCTACAGCAGTATATTAAGTAGGAGTGGCCAGTGCAGCTTTGTGAAGCTCTAGAAGGGCAGTGACCTGGGCAGTCCGTCTTGTATCATTTCTCAGAACTGGCACTGAACCATGAGCTGTTCAGAGTAGTGCCTAAAGAGCGTATGCTCCTGTTCAGTGGTGAGGGTGAGTGCGTGGGAGAGGATTCCCTCCACCTTTATGGCTATATTGTAAAGACTGAGGATTTCTAGGTCTCTAAGTTCTAGAAAGGGAACTGCATCTCTTCAGAAGCATTTTATATTTTATATATCTCCTGTACTCTAAGTACTTTTTAAAAAAATATCTCCTCCCTTTTTTAGTGGGTGGAAGGAATGGTGGCTTTCATCTGACATTTTTTTTTTTTTTTTTTTTGAGAAACCATGAAATACCACCAAGAATTATGAGGAACCAAGGGAAAAAATGCTTTTTTTTTGATACTGGATTGAACTGAGAGCCTTTGTGTGGAACTATATCCTGGCCCATTTTTACTTTTTGTTTGATACAGGGTCTTGCTAAGTTGCTCAGGCTAGGCTTGAACTTGGGATCTTCCTATCTCTGCCTGCGTTTTAAGACTTCCTTCCAACTTCAAACCTCGTATTGATCCGAGTCTTTTGAGATATTCATTTGTTTTGTCCTTACAAAGGATTTGTGAATACCTCCATCAGAATGATCCCTTGCCCCCATTTTTTTCAAGCTTTTTTTCAGGTTCTTATTCCAGAATATAATGGTATCAATTTCATTCTGGGAGCCTACTGCTCCCACACTAGTGTTGCTCAGACCATAACAAGCACAGGAGTCACCTAAGAATCTTGATAAAATGCAGATTCTGGTTTAGAATCCCTGCAGTGAAGCCAAGAATCTACATTTCTAACAGGCTCCATAGGTGCTGCACTTCGTGGGCCTCAACCCAAATCTGCACAGAAAAGGCCGCAGAATGATCTCAGCAATGTCCAAGCCCTCTGACCTCACCCTACACAAGTCATTGTCCTTCTGGCTTTAACTGATCTCACCATGGAACATCAGTGACGAGTTTGAGATGTAACCAGGACCTTGAGCCACAGTTGGGGGCTCTTTAGTGTGTTCGGTTTTCTGTTTCTAGACTTCAAGAAACTACTTACCATGAAAACATTCAGAACTTTTTACCTAGTGCTCGTCAGTCTCCTTTTAGTTCATCCTGTCGCATTCAAAATGAGTTACATATTTTCAAGGTAAGCTGGCTCCAAGAAATATGGTCCATGTTTATTTTTTACTGGCACCAGTTACACCAATTACTGGCATCATTAAAAAATCATTAATAAGGCGAGGAAAGTTTTGTGAGCCTATATCTTTCATTCTGACAGGTGAAATGGTATCTCCTAACACTTCAAACTTTGCAAAAGCAAAGCCAAGAACTGCTTAACTTCTTTTTGGCTTTCTATTTTAGTGTTAAATGATTGAACTTTCCACCGAAGGGCGGCACGTTAATGTTGTATGGCAAGGGCTCTACTTGTACCTAGAGTCTGGGCTGTGACCTCCACACCCCAGACTGCACTGCTTCATGCAGGCAGATGTGTGAATAGCTGTTATGATTTCTTCTCCATAGGAACCAAAGGCATAAAAAAGATGAGCCAGAAAACTAAATGGTTAGGAATCAGAGGTTTCCTCCCTCCTACCACCCATTATTGCATATTTTCCTTTCTCCTTGAAAACAGACAAAAGGTTTCCAAGAATATGTGTCAGCTCATCAGCCTTTTACTGGGGGGAATTCAAGTATATACAATCAACCTGTAGGGAAGAACAACTTTGTGACTTACGCCTGACTGAATTTATAAAGGATTTCACAAACTTCACGCCATATCTGTGATCAGGTTTATGGATTCGACCAAGCTGGATCAAGTGGTGGTCCAAAGGGTGGCTGGCTAGATCCTCCAGTTCTTTGTCATTCCAAGCAGGGCCAAGGGAGAGCACAAACAGGGCATAACCCTGGCACTTGGCTCGCAAAGACTCTTGCCTTAAGGTTTCTCCATCCAAGTAGCTGGTTTCCCCAGCAGATATCACAAATATAACTTTGTTTTTTCTCAGATTGGGTGTGCTTAAGAAGACATTGTCCAAAGTCCACCTCAAGGCATGACCAACGAAAGCATCTCCATTCAGTTGTTGAACTGATTGTTCCACGTGGCGCTTCATGAGGCGCTTGTTGCTGTAGGTAGTGAGGTTGAACTCAGTTCTAACTGGGCTCCTCTGGGTGTTGGGAAGGAAGTTGGGAGGCGCATGGCTCAGCAGGGCCACTCGGTCTCCAGTGACAGAAGTTGTAGGCTCTGGGGTGATTTCAAAGTGCTCCAACAGTGCCCCTAGGAAGCCTCTTATGTCTTCAAATTCAGCACTTCCCACATTCCGGGAGCCATCCAGAAGGAACGCAGCATCCATGTAAGATTCTGCAGGGAGCGGTCTGTCTTGGTCACAAGATGTATCTGGCCTGCACATATCTGTGAACCAAGTCACTTCAGGTTACAAAGCAGATATGGATAGAAAAATAAAATCATACCTCAACTAATTTGACATTTGCAAACTGCATAATCTTTGATGTTTTAAATCAGTTATAAAATGATTTTAATATCAGTAACAGCAAAATTCCTCAGTATACAGCTTGCATCTATCTCTGAAAAGTACAGATTTTATATCCACCTGTCTCCTACACTGTATTCGTAATGTTACTGGTTTTTAAATAAGTTTTTTGGAAGAGAAGTTTGATCGTGGCTGTGTTTATGAAGTTTGAAGTGAGCAATTTAGCTCATGAATGCAAGAATATTCTGTTTTATACTGTGGTCCTTCTAGACTGACAAAATACAGGTTAAACCAATGGCCTTCATCAGTACACTATCATTGTTTTATGAAAAATAACCTACTTAAAAAGCAAAGTTTCTCATTACAATATAAACTGGTCCACCAAATAAAACTTTGCAAGTTTATGTCTGTGTACTCCTTATGGACAAAACTACAGCATATATTTTTTTTTTATCTCCATAGTACTTATTAGTTGAAATCATAATGTAAATTTGTTAAGTAAGTGAATAGAAATATCACTTATTTGTAGATTTTCACAAAAGATGAGGCCATTTATAAATATGCATGTCTCACTGAAAAAAGAATACATAATAAAAAAGTGGATTTTATTGAATCTGATCACAATGAATGTTAATAAAATAAACTTGCAGAGGAAGAATCTTGCTAGTTACCTAATCTAACTTTATAGGATAGACTAAGCCAAGAGAGTAAAGCACTTTGCCAAAGGACACAACAGTTACTAGAAGTTTCTACATATGAAGTCAGCGTTTATTGTTAGAAATAAGCTGTGTGGTGTAGGATGGGGAGGCCCTTGGCCTGAGAGCTAGGATGTGTGAGTCCTGATCTTCTCATAGTACTAAACGCACTGTGTGTCTGGCCAGGCCACTGCTGGGCCTCAATTCTGAAGTTTCTCTGTACAATTGGATGGGTAGAACTAATTGAGATCAGAATCACCCCAAGGCTCCTTACAAGGCTGATGTTCAGTTTAGTTTTTAAAATAAAGCTAATGATTTAAGGATGAGAATGGCTGCTTTGAAAACCAGAGAGGGAAAAAAGAAATGGAATAACATGTGTGCAGACAGCTAGTACATAGATAAAGGCATGGGCCAGAAAGAAAAACTATTAAATGAAAGACCAAGGACAGAGTGCAGATCCTAGGGAATGTAGTAAACTTTCAAACTTCAGTGTTGCTCATGGATTCAATAAATATGGTTGTACACAAGTTAGGCCTCCCTTACTGAAATGTAGTTAAATTTTATGTCTGTGTTAAATGATCAGATGGCAAAACAATCACCCATGTACAAGGCAGTTTCTAAAACCAGGGATAGCAGGCTGCCCATTTGCTCAGCTGTGTGGGATTTTTAATTGCAGGAAATGAAAACCAAAGTATCTTCCATTATATGCCTACAAGACAAAACAAAGGTTTAAGCCAAGACATGGAGCCAAAACCCATCCCCAATCACAAATGTGCAACACCATTATAAAGGACAGATTTGAAGGTGCAAAAAGAATACACAGTGTGGAGTGTGCCTCCACCCTCAGCATGGTTAGGCCCTTTCCACTGTTAGATTGTCAGTGAATAAACTAGTGATGGTGAACCTTTTAAAAACTAAATACCCAAACTGCAACCCCAAACCCACTTATCACAAAGTGCCAATACTACAGTTAAACCTGAATGCCTGGATGCTGGGGTGATTTGACTTGAGTGCCAACAGAGAGGGCTCCATGTGCCTGCTGTGGCACATTTGCCACCACTGGCCTAAAACTACTCTGTGCAACTGAGAGGGACAGCGAGAGACTGGCAAGTGGTTAGAGGGAAGACTGAAGAAGGGTTTTGAGGGAACTGGAAAGCCCCAGGATTGCCATCCCTTGTAGAGTCATTTATATGCCAAGCACTGGCATCTTACTGATATACATGGAGGACAGGAATCAGGCATTTTCTTCAGGCCTGAATGGAGAGTTCTGAGAGCAGAATGAGACACCCATTCAGGCAGCTGAGAGCCAGCTTTCTTGGTTTTGATACAGTGGTGAGGCCCTGAGCAAATCATCACATCTCTGTAGGTTCATCTTTCTCTTTTGTAAAATGAAGCGAATAATAGCTCACACATTGCAGGGTGGTTATAAGGATTGAATGACATAATTCATGTTAGTGATTAGAACAGTGCTTGGAACGTGCTCAGTAATTTAAGTCTCAATGTCATCATCACCACCCATATAACATAAAACAATTAGAGGAGTACGTGGCCTTTAGTAAATACGCGGTAATGGTCAGCTGCTCTGTCTACTGGAAATCTCAATGGCTCCCACCGTCTTTGTAATTCTTAGAATACTCAAATGGAAAATAGAGAGTTTATTCCAACTGGACCTGTGGATCGTGTATAAAACACTGCAAATCTTTTGGATGCTTAACATTTGGGGATCTGTGGAGACACCTATCAATAAAAAATCTATGATTGTCTGCTTTTTTCCACGTCTGCAGTACTAAAAATATTCCCAAGCAGGTAGGAGGGTACTGAATTGCTTTCAAGCATTTCTTTGAGGCTGTGAACATTTGAGATTTAGAAAACTCATAAAATACTTTACAGCATGAAAAACTTGGTGATGAGACAGGCTTTTTCTAAAAATCATTACTATGTCCTGGAAGCAGCATAAGCAGAGAGGCCTGGAATGCAGCCCTCCTCCCAAAAGATGCAAGAGGAGACTCTGAAGGCTGAGCTGAGAGGCTCCATCTGTGGAAGACACAGTGTGCAGAGGTCCAGAGCCCCAGGGAGTCTTCCCAGAGCCATGCCTGTCCCTGCTGCCAGGTTCCAGCTGCTCCTGCCAACAGTGACTCAAGGCACTTACAGGCCCAATCAAATTATCTTTTCCCTGTGGCTCTTACCGTAGCAGAAAGTGCACCGCTGGAGTCTCTCTAACGCTGGCTTGTCGTCAGTGCCAGAGGGAATCACTATGACTTGGAACGTGCCAGTGTCGTCAATCTACAAGAAGCAGAAGCAAGAGAAAGAACAACTTAGTGGGTAGAGATACAGGAACCTTCCTGTACTGTTCAGAGGCCTGAGAAAGGAGCACTGCTCCTTCTAGGAAGGCCCTAGGGAGGTGCAGCATGTCAGGTGGCTGCAGCCTGTGTCAAACCCAACTCTCCCTTTCACTGTGTGACAGTTGCTTTGCTGTCTTTTTCCCCATCTGTAAAGTGAGAATGGTGTGATTACTAGCTAACAGGGTCCTGGGAGTGCCAAACAAGTTCACTACTGTGAAGCACTTCCTGGCACAGAACAGGTGCCGTACTGATCAGTAAAGGCCACAGCACTCTCAATACGATTATCTCAAGAACTCAGGGAGTGAGTTCTTACCTTCATAGGCTTCACTTTACAGATGGAGAAAACAGAAGTTCAAAGAAAGGATGATCAAAAGACACTGGACACTGAAGTCTTTTAACAGATACCCCCCCATACACACTCCATCCCCCCAAGTCTCTGAGAATCATGAGAAATTACAGGCTGCTCTTCAGAAATAATTTTCAATTTCCCCTGTGAGTGAATGGAAGATGGCTTTGAAATGCAGACTCAGATCCACATCCAGGCATCTCCCTTCTCTGAAACTCTCCCAACAATTTTCACTTTTCTCCCCGTGGTTAGTAACTCACCTGGGAGTTTAAGGGTACAGAGTAGAAAGAAAGATAAGGAATCTCCATATAATCAAGAATAATTGAATCTTGCTGGTTAATTGATGTGATCACATCTGACCCACCTAAGAGTTGGGTCATTTGACATTTAAGTTTTCCTTGTCTTAAGCTAATGGCTTCCTCTCTCTGGGAAGTCACCTTCCACACTTTTTCCTTACACGCAGGACTTTGGTGGTCACGTTTATCTGGAATAATTCCATTTCTATGACTGAGCCAATTGGACCAGAGAAGGACTTCATCCAACCCGATCCATTCTCTTAAAAATTTGAAATTGGGGTCCTAAGGGCTGCAAGTTCATCCATGTGTAATGACTTAAGCTCACAGAGCTGCCATCTTGCTGCACTGTGTCTTGCAGACTAGAAAGCAAGGGAGCTGGGGAAAGGGAGGGAGGGGGAGAGGATGTCAATGTGTCTGCCATTGTGTCTGCCTAGTTTGTGTTCTGTGTGCAGTGCATGGGGAAATCTGTGCTCAGCAGGTTACTCTTGGGAGCTCACTGTTTTGCCTTCATGAGCTTTCTGGGTGAGAGGAAAAGACTCTGAGGGAGTTTATGATAAGCTTTTGTTTCTTGATACAAATACATAGAAAAAGAAACATGCAGTGCCCACGGAAAGACAGAAAAGAAATAGAAAAGACTGTGATGGTAGAGCAGTGACCTACAAGAAATTTTAAAAACCACAGAACCCAACCTCATCATTTTACAGATGAGGAAAGTGAGCATTAGAGAGGACAGATTCTAAAAAGGCTTCAGTTTAAGCTTTGCTCTCCCCAGACAAGACCTGCCTTCCATCTTCTGTAGGAGCTGTGTTTTTGAGTATAGTTGTGTTTCACAAGTGAGTCTTGACTTAATTCAGTCATATTTCTCAAGATGTTATTCAGATATTGCTAATAAGTCTTGAGTTCTACATGTCTACAATTAATAACTTTCATATTTCTAGTGATAGCTCTCCTTAGCAATTTAGGCTCGCATTTAATCATGTCAGTGTCAGCTTAAAAGCAGTGTGATCCTACTTATTGATCCTAGTGGGTTGCATTATTGGTGAGACTCCACAGGGGATCTGCTCACTCCCCTCTCCCCAAGTAATTTCTTAATAAAGATAAAAAGATATAGTTTCAGAGATTACTCATCTTATCACTTATTATAGGAATAACTATAGTAGCATTTTATAGAAAAGTCCCATCAACTGAATTTAGGCTGGGCATATAAAATAAAACATTCATATCATTTAGTTTTCTTAGGGCTCATTTTCCTATGGACTTAAAGAAATACCAGCTTGGATGAAACTTTAGCTATGATGTCCACAGATGGGCAGTAGGAGCATTCAGCATGTTTTTGGATGACCCTTTTTCCTCCTAAACATCCTGGAGCTCCACAGCATACTCAAGAAAAGTGCAATTAGCATTATAAATAATCTTTGACAATTCTATTGATTGAAATTATTTTTAAAATAAATGATTACATGTGTAACATGCTAAGGTTTCCTGTTAACATTTCCTGGTCCATTGAGGGAGTGCCTTGACCAGCTCCACAGATTTCAGAGGTTCCGAGCTCTGCTCAGCCCAGCCTAACTCCCCAGTGCCATATTTGTGGATATACCCCAGTTAGCTGGGCAGGTCCCAGAGGATCTGAGCACCGCCCAGCCCAGCTTTGCAGCACAGTTCATCATGGAAGCACTCTGGCCAGCAGTGTGGGTACCAGAGGTACTGAGCCCACCCAGTTCAGTTCAGCCCAGAGTCCTGGTGCCACCCTTTGGGGAATGCCCAGCCAGCTGCACTGGTCCTAGAGGTTCTGAGCTCCACCCTGGCCAGTGCAATGCCCCAGTGCCATACTTTGGGAGTATACCCTGGCTAGTGGCACAGGTTACAGGAGCTCCAAGCTTTGTCCAACCCAGTGCCTTGGCCCGGTCCACTGGGGGAGTACCTTGGATAACTGCACAGGTCCTGGATGATCAGACATCCACCCAACCTGGCACAACACCCTGGCACCATCCATCAGGGGAGCTACTGGCTAACCTCACAGGTCATGGAGGAGCCAAGCCCTGCCAAGCCCAGAACCATCTGTGGAGCACTCCAGGGAGAAGCATGGGTCTAGAAAAGCCCAATTGAGAGATCCTACACTATCACAGGAAGCCTAGTGAGCCAAGGAAGGGCAGAAGCCCTGCCCATTATTTTCCCATCACCCCAGGAACAGGTTCAGAGGAACTCAAATGCTTGGCTCACCCTTTTCCACCATGGGACAGTCAGCCTGGGAAATGCCTTTGATTTAATCAGTTCATCTGGAAGAACTGATTCTAAAATGCAATCTCAGACCTCCCGCGCACTGAGAGCATGCCCACGAGACACGGACATGGAAGACACTGGATATCACACAACTAAAATTTCTGAAATTATAGCAATTAAAATAAATAAACAACTCCATGAGGCTACAGATGAAATAAAATAAATAGTCACTGAGGTTAAAAAAAAAATAGAGACAACTATTACGAAAGAAAACATATCTAAAGAAAATATAGATTTTAAAAATAGAGGAATATAAGAAAATGATGGAAACATTGAATGAAAAATATAGGAAAGAATTAGAATGCATGAAACATTAAAAGATATTCAGGAAATAAAAATTTCATTTAAAGTTGGCAAAACCCCTTTAATGAAACTGAAGATAGACTCTCAGACCTTGAAGATAGGAAGGAAGCTAGGGATCACAGAAGTAAAGATCTCTGAAAAATAACAAGGAACCAGGAAACAACAGTTCAACAGCTACAAGATGATGCAAAGAAAAACATTTATAAGAATGATAGGGCTCAATGAAAAAGCAGGAGTCTACACAAAGGACATAAAAGACTTTGCAAAAGTAACAACAGAAAAATTTCCAAACACAGGAAAAGAATCTGATGTGCATAAAGAACTCCAGTTAGCCATAAGCAAAATACGCCTATACCAAGACATATAATAATTAAGATCCCAGAAATTCAGCACAAGAACAAAATGTTAAAAGCTGTCAGAGAAAAGAAACAGATCATCTATAAAGGAAAGCCCATCAGAATCATGACAGACTTCTCAACACAAACCCTCAACTCAAGAAGAGCGTGGAGTAAAGTAGTTCAAGTCCTGAAAGAAAACATCTTCCAATTCAAACTGATTTACCTTACGAACTATATTTCAAAATCAATGGATAAATAAGATACTTCCATGACAAAGGACAACTGAAGAAATTCATGAGCACCAAACCAACAATGCAAAGATTACTGAAAGATACTCTAGAAAGAAATAAAGATGCTGCAATTCCAAGAACAGCAGAAAGAAATCACCAAGCAGGGCAAGCACTTAAACAGAGTGAAAAAGTAGAGCACCAACAACAGGAAGATAACATGACAAAGACAAATCAATATGTATCAACTATAACCATCAATGTAAATGGCCTCAATTCACCAATCAAAAGAAACATTGGCAGAGTTGACTGAGACATAATCCAACAATATACTGTGTAAAAGAAACCCATTTAACTCAAAAGAAAATTCATAGACTGAAAGTCAAAGGATGGAAAACAGTACTCTATGTGACAGGAACCCAGAAAAAAAGAAAGGTCAGCTCTTCTATCTGCAAGAATGTTAATTTCAAACCAAGAATAATCAAAAGAGATAACAAAGGTCACTATATATCTCTTGGGGAAATGTTTTTTTAATGTATGTATACTGAACTTTATTTATTTCTTTTTATTTTAAAAAGGAAAAAAACAAAAATCAAAAAAACAACATAACAATAGTGGTATAGGATTTCAAAACAAGATGATAGAAATTTAACAATGGTTATTGTCATGGTTTATGTCTGTGGCCCCCAGGCTTCATGAGTTTGCATTGTGCATTTGTGATTGGTTCATTGTCTAGTGCTTGGATTGATGGTGTCAGTGTTACATCCACATAGGGGTGGAGCCAGGATGTGATGCAATGGCAGGAAGAAGGTGTGTCTTGCTCTTTGCTGGTTCCTGTTTGCTGTTTGCAGCAGCCATGAACTGCTTGCAGCAGCCATGAACTGCAGCCCAGCCATGCCTGCTTGCCTTGGAGCCAACTGAGTGTGGACTGAAACCTCCAAAAACTGTAAGGAAATAAACCTTTCCTTTCCCAACTTGGGCTTCAGGTATTTTGTCTCAGCAACGAGTAAAAAGTAACTAAGACAGTTATTATATCACATATTGTTACCTTCCAAATAGTTGCTCAGGTTACCAGATATAGGCATGAAAATTGATCAAAAAGTATGATTTCCATTTGAGCAGTTCCTTTCCCTTTCACTATATCTATTGTAACTTTTGGATCTTACTTACTTTCAGTTTCTTATGCTAGCAAGACAAATTTGTCATTTGACATTTCTCTCTGCTATCAACTTTCCCCAATCACTAGAATCATAAGTGATATGAATTACTAAACTTAATCCTTCTCTTTCCTGCAATACCAAATAGAGTAAAAGAAAAGAAAGCAGGCTAGCTAGAAAAAGGAAGAGCACAATATCTCACAGGGATATTGGAAAGCCAGGCCCACCCTAGATTAGAAGTCTTAACAGGCAACAGTATTTCAGCAGAGGTAAGAGGCAAATGCCAAAAAATATAGAGGAAAAATCCTAGTGACAAAACCAAGGGCTGAGGTCCCTCCAGTCAGAAATGACCTTCCATTTCAGAAGCACATCTTGATGGTCCAGTTCATGCTATCATCAAAGATTTTCGATATGGGGAGCAGAGTTAGTGTTCAAAAATGACAATTGGTCGCATCATTGCAACAGCTACTTTTGAGTCCCAAATGCCTGTGTGCAGGGAACCTAATTTCACTCTCAGATGAACTGAGATTTTTGAAAAGCCACGGTAGGCATGAAACAAATTAGGGTTTTAAAAGGTGGCCTCAATGTCAGTAGATTTAGTTCTGTTTTTTAAAAAGCAACCCTTCAAGCATAAGTAAAGTACAGTGGAAGAGAACGGGCAGGAGAAAGCCCACAGAAACAGTTGATGCAGTTTCTTTTCTGGAATGTCAGGCCCTGAATTCTAACCACCTTAATAGCACATTCGTTTCTATCTGGAGCCCTTCCAGACTGTCCGGGTGCACCCTCTCCTTCTGGTGTGGACCTTTTGGTTTTCTGCTATATTCTTTGTCCTCAGAGCCTAAGCTGGTACCTGGTATGCAGAAGGTGCTATTTGTCACATGAATGAATCTTGGGAACAGTTCTGACTTTTGACTTTATCACTAACTCTTCAGCTGCCCAGAGGAATTAGGGGTCAGTGCTGCTCAGATTTAAGAGGGTTTATTCTCAAAAAGTTTAACCTTCAGCAAGACAGTCTGCAAGAAATTTAGGTAGAATCCAGAGGCCAGATTGGTGACATGTACTTGTGGTCTGAGGGCTCTGGGTGGTTGACATAGGACTACAACTTTCGAGTCTGCTCCAAGCAACTTAGTGATATCTTGTCTCAAAATAGAATTAAAATTAAAATAGAGGAGGCTGGAGATGTAGCTCAGTATGAAGGTCTCAGGTTCAGTACCTGTATCACACACACACACACATACACTCACATGTGCGGGCATGCATACACACACACACACACAGAACCCAAGTCATTTATTTCAGATTAAGTTTCAAAAATTTTAAACACAAAGACAGCAAAATCTCTTTTCATAAATTATATGCTGTCTATCTACAAAGTGGGCTCAGTGAAATTAGTTTAAATTCATGTTACAAGGGCCATTGATTGTTTGCATCAGTATATACAGTTCTCTCTTATTTTGTGACTAAAGCCAGTAGATACTAGAATAAGGAAGACTCTGTGTATGACAAGAATCATTAATAGGATTTTTAAACTGCTACTTCTTCTAGCACTTTTATTTGCATAGCCTGGCCTCAGTCTTTCATAATTTACACACATTTTCCTTTTTGACATAACAACTTCTTTTTATGCATAATTCTGAAAGTTAGTCGTTTCAATTCCTGTCCTGCCAGATTTCCTTCCTAGGTCTTAGTTTAACTGTACCAAGCTACCGAATGATAATAGCGAAAACAAAAGCCACCATTCGGAGTGCTTTCCTGTGTGCTAGGCACTTAGACACAAAACTGTATCATTCAATCTTCACATCAATGCTGAGAAATAAGCGCAACTTTTCGTGTCTTACGGATAGGCAGTGCGCTGCAGCTCTGTTCTGCTCATTCCAGCACTGTTCTGTGCAGATTATAGAGCTGGAGAAGACCGCCAAGCCATTTAACCTACCCCGGGCCCCAGGAGAGACAGGTGAGTGATTGCCCTCGCAAGACCTTCAGAAAAAGCTGATGTCTTGACTGCCTGCATTTATTTAATCCATTAAATCCACGCCAGCAGTAAACCAAAACTGCCTTCTACAAATTCATAAACAGAACCTGAAGTATTCTGCTGCTATTCTTGTGACAACATGAAAGGCTTAGCATGTTCCTGGTCCATAGTAATAAATAAGTCTCCCTATCTGGTTCGTTAACCCAGCACGACCCGGTAACTCGCTTCTGTCTCAGGAGCATGCATGACTAGGAGGGCGACAGGAAGGCTCCCCTCACCGAGAACACCCGCCTGATGGAGGGCACATTGCTGAAGGCGATCACCACCGGCGTGATGTCCAGGGCTCCGAACTCCATGGTGGCGGTGGTGATGGACTGGATATCAGCCGACTGACCGCCGCTGAAGAACGTGGCAATTCTCCTGGTGTGAGCCCCTGGAAGTGTTCGCTTGAAGACATTCCTGGAAATAAACCTCATTGCTTTGCCAGTCTCCCTACTGTCGAGGGATTTTTCATAAGGAATGGCTGCAATTTCCCTGAGAAGCTGATCCTTCCTATAGGCGTCGGAGAAGCGCACCAGGTGCCTGGCGTAGGAGCCGTAGGTGAGGATGGCGACGCGCGCCCCGGTGGGGCAGCTGCTCTCCCGGATCTTCATGTCTCTCACGAGCGAAGCCACCATCCCCTTCATCCGCTCAAAGTCCTGCTCCGTGACATCCCGGGACTGGTCCAAGGCAAACACCAGCTCGGTTGGGTGCACCGGACACTGGGGTTTTCCTAAAAGACAAGCATCTGTCTCTTAGTGCTTGGGATGTTTATTTAAAAAAAAAAAATAGGAGACCAATTAATTCTGAATGGTAACTGTTCAAATATTTAAACATTAAATAATTTAGATATTAAAACAAAATATTAAATGACTAAATCTTGAGTAATATAAAAATGCTATTCTAAAAGCTGAGTGTGCTCTTTTCCGTCAAACTCAAAAGAAAAAGCCTAGAATGCAATGTGATTTGCTATGAATTTGTAAGTTAATTACTAAATTCATTCTGAACAGTGGAGTCCTTGGAAATATCCTCTCACCTACAGAGACTGCATCCAAAGTATGCTTTGCTACTCAAACTTAAATTCTTTAACAAGTGTTAAAAAGGTAAAAACTCTTAACAAAGGTTAAAAGGGTGAAGAAAAAAAAAAAAAAAGAATAGCTGTAAAAGTTCCTTGGAGAATTTCAGAAAAAATGGAGAAAACTGACAGGTAGTATATAGAACAGAAAGACAGATGTAAATAGACAGTAAGGAGAAGGGTTTGGAGTGGCCTCAAATATTATGTGACCTCATCCAAATTGCCAAGGCTCTCTGTGCCTCAGTTTCCTTATCTATGAAATGAGTCATCTCAGCAATTATACAAGCCTCTTGTGAGCAATAAACGAAAAGCACAGGTGATGAAAGCATTCGGAGCAACAGTACCTGGCAGGTAGTTGGCACTCAACCAGTGTTAGCTGTTACTTTTGTAATTAGCATTACACAGTTTTCCACTGTGAGACAGAATAACTAAGTCACTAAGAGGAGAAAGCTTTAGCTGATAGGTTTTTATTTGAGAGTTACAAATTCAAGTTAACCGATAAGTATGCCTATTACTTGGAGAAATTTTGAATTATGCTTGTTAAACTCTAATATGTTAATTGCATAGTTATGAATCCTTATTTATTGGTTCCAATTTATTTATGCTAATCTCACTGCCATGCTTTCATCATGAATTTATGTTTGATGATCTGATTAATGATTGTTTCTACTGATAATTTAGGGTAAATGGAGATGGGGGATTATGGGCTCTGTTGATTTTCTACGTTATTTAGTTTCAGCCTAAGAGTAGATATGTAATAAATGTTTAATGATTGAAAAAGGGACAAAAACAGTTTTCTTCCTAAAACACGTTTAGGAAGAACAAAACTTTAATAGTGTGTAAAGTGCCTAGTTTTCAAATGTAAACTGGTCTAAAGGAATCCCAGTGCTGTGTCTCCAGCATGGAATTTTGGGATTACAACACAGCCTAAGGCCACAGCTCTACAGAAGGAGCTCAGGACACAGACTTGCTGGGGCTCCAGTGGGCTGCTGAGGAGTCGGTGCCTTCTCCAGGCCACCTGGGCTTTCCCACAATGGCATCAATTCTTCCCTCCTTCCAGTTCTTGAGTCCATGACCTTCATGGGTAGAAGGAGTTATCACCAGGCCAGTGAGATGAATCTCAAACTCAAATCAAATGATTCATCTCAGTAGAGAAGGACAAAATTTATTACCTATCACTGTAACAGGCTGAGCAGATTTCATTTTTAAATTGAGGTCATATTAATTTTGCAATTAAAAATGACTAGAATTATGGCCAAGCATGAAACTGGTTCCAATAGTTTTTGATTAGGTGCTATTTACACATGTGAACAACAACAAAATCTCAGGTGCAAGTAAGAGATTTAAAAAATAAGAAAACTTACAGACTTAGTTGAAAATATGTAAAAATCCAAGCTTTCAAGAAAAAAAAAAAAAACACCCATAAGCTAATTCAGCTTACAAAATACACAATATCTGAAATTCAGCAATCATCCAGGGATCCCACGGATTTGGAAGAGCATGGGGTGGGTTTCCCTGGTCCCTGGGAGGCCTCCTTGAGCAGAGATGAGTGCGTGCAGACCCAGCTCTCATGGCTCCATGACTCTGCACTGCATCCTGATGGCTGCCACTAGCTGCAGGGACAAATAGGACAGAGTGTGGCAGGAGCCACCCAAGCCCCTCCATGGAACTGAAACACAGCACTAAGGGCCTCATCCAGGCCCCACACTCTCCCAAAGAGTCCTCTGGCCTCCACACTGATCACCCTGCTGTTTTTTCTCCCTTAATAGTTTCTCATCACAATGCTAATCAGATCCAGCTACTACACCATAACTTGCAAAGCCTATTTCATTCCTGCCTCTATCTCCATTTTTCACCTGCCAAACCCTCTTCCATCACTGTTTCCCACTCCTCTGGGCTCTGTCAGTTGCTAGGAGATGCCAAGGTCTTTCCTGGTCTGTGGTCCTTCTACCTGGGGTTACCCCTGCCTGGCTTTTACAAAGTTGTGGGTCCTTCAGCCAAACTTCAAGTACGCTGCTTCAAACTGCGCAAAGCATCTCTACTTCCTCTTTTCATTATGTTGTACCACAGTGCCCAGTGCTTTCCCGCTTTCATAACAACAATGGAAGCTGGGCGTGGCGGCTCACGCCTGTAACCCCAGAACTTGAAAAGCTGAGGCAGGAGGATCGTTGCAAATTTGAGAGACCAGCCTGGCTACAAAGTGAGCTTAAGGTCAGCCTGAACTGCATAGTGAGACCTGTCTCAAAACAACAACAACAATACAATAAGATTCTGAGTTCTTTTGTATATTTATTATCTGGATCTTCCAGGAGAATAGAAGCCTCTAGGGATAAGAATCTTATTATTCTACTCTGTGTCCCAAGTGCCTAAAATAGAGACTATTTTTTTAAATTAGTACATGTTAGCAGTACATAATGATCACATTCACTGTGGGGAGTACCTGGACCTAGCACATCTGAATGCTTTTTTCATCTCTTTCCTATCACCTTCCTCCAGCTCTTGGACCCTTTCCTTTTTGCAAAAGATCTATCTCCTTGCTTCTTATTATCTATCTTTTATTTTGCTCTTTAATTCATTTACATTTTGAATTTCTCAAATAAGAGAAACCGTGTGATACTTAAGCTTGTGTGTGATTTATTTCACTTAGTACTATGTTCTCTCAAAGTGTATCAATTTTCCTAAAAATGACTCACACGTAACTTTCTTTATGCACAGCAGCACTCCACTGTGTAAATACTACCTTTTCATTATTCGTTTACCAGCTGATGGCCAAGGACGTCAAAGATTTAGCTATTATGAGTTGCACAACTGTAAACATGGGTATGCATGTATCACTGTAATACGATGTCTGTAGCTCTTTCGAGGAGAGCTCTAGAAGAGCAATAGCTAGGCCAGATGGAATTTGTATCAGTAAGCTTTCAATAAATATTTGTGAATGAATGAACAATCAGGGGACAAGGCTTGATGGGTTCATACACAAATTAAAAAGGATAAATGTAAATTAGGGAGATGGTAGGCTTATACAAAAGCATCATGAGAGAAGCATTTGTAAAATACTTGGAAACTAGTACTGAGAAAATTTTTGTGTGTGTGGCATTGGAGGTTGAATCCAGGGAAGTCTCCATCACCAAGTGACAACACAGCTGCTACTCATTTCTTTAGAGAAGCTGGTTGTTAACAATGAACAAGGGCTGCATTTTAGCATGATCTTAGTTGCACATTCCACTTGGTTGCTACCTGATCATCTCTACTTCTGTGCTGCCCTCTGCATCTTAATCCTAATGACTTGTTTACAGAGATGGGGAGAGAGAAAGACAGAGAGAAAGACAGACACACTGACAAAAAGAGACACACAGAGACAGAATATATGAGAATCAAGGGGGTGATATTTTTACAAAAATCATAACAATAAGGTAAATGGTGATGTTAGTCCTAAAGTGTCGTAAATACCGCAAATGCCTGCTGGGTGGTGGAGAAGTAGCTGTGGAGTTCAGCCAGCACCAAGTGAGTGATTCGAAGCAGGACGCTGCTGCCAGTGTGAAGCAGCAAAGCAAGCCCCGATGTAATGATATCAGTTGGCAGACAACCCTAGAGCTCAATTAAAACATGTCATAAAGATTACTCACCATGTCCACCAGCTGGGGAAGAAGAACAAAGGAGATTGGATTATTATTAGCAGAAAAACAGAATTCTGTTCTATATAAGAATCATGGGGGAAGAAACTATCATGGCAGCAAGGTTTTGCCTTGTCTGCTTTTGGAGGTGACTCAAAAATCAGAGCAACAGAGTCTGGAGAAAATGCAGAAAGAGCCCAGTATCTTGGAAAAAGCACTGCACCATCCACCAGGAACAGGCTGAAAGAACACGTGGGATGATACACAGCCATAAATCAGTAGCCTGCAGCCGGCTGTTGGGAGCAGAGACCTTCTCCTGGGAGCGGATGACATGGGAGGCCCACTGCATTTGGAATGCTGGGAGATTCCCAGCTTCTCTCTACTCTACATTTTCTCCGTGCACACATCTATAGCTATCAGTTACACAAACACACATCTACAATTATATGAACATATAGTGTATGCACATGCAGGGTGAGTATCACTTTTCTGAAATGCATTGGACTGGAAGTGCTTTTACTTTGAATTTTTTTCAATTTGGAATTTTTTTCATGTACATAATGAGATATCTTGGAGGTAAACTCAAGTTTAACATATAACTCATGTTTTTTCATGTAAACCTATTCATAGAGCCTGAAGGTAATTTTGTACAATTTTTCAGTGTGCTATATTGTGACCACAACCAGTCACACAAAATCACATGTAGGATTTTCCATTTGTGCCGTCATATCAGCCTTCAAAAGATTTCCAATTTTGGATACTACAGGCTTCAGATTTGGGTGGTTTGACCTGTATGTGTGCATATTTACATTTTCTATAAGAGCAGAGGTGGATTTAGTCTGAAAGAACTCAGTATTAGCTTTAAATGTGCACTCCCCAATACAGCAGCCCCAAGCCATAGGTCATTACTTAAATTTTAAATCAAGAAAATAAAATAAAATAAAACATTCAACTTTGTGGTTGCACTATCCATGTGTTAAGTATCCAAAGTCGCACATGGCTGGTGACCGCTCTACTAGGCAGTGTGTGGACACTTCCATGACTGTGGGACTCTTCTGTGGACAGCACAGTTAGTCCTCTCCGACCTGCAGAAGCCCTGCCTGGGAAAGGGTTGGCCATGGTCAAACCAGCTGTGTGCTCTTATACAATATAGGTGAGTTATGGGTTCTCCCTTCCTTTCTTGTAGTAAATAACACTTGAAATAACTTTGGACCTACAAAGTAATTTGACTGTAAATTTAATTGTGATTGTAATTTTGCACTGAATCCTTCAAACTTTAAAGAGAAGCTACGATTGCATGTGGCCCTGCCCAGCAGTCACTACAGTTCACAGACCAGAAAACCTGCTCTACTTCAGCTGCAGCAAAGCTAGTCCTCTGACCCCGAGGATAACTTTCAGTCCACCATGGTTAGATCCTGTTGTGAACAGGCAGAGCTCTGACTGACTCTGCTTTCGGCGCTTTTACAAATCTGCGCCTTTGAGAACATTTGTTCATTACAGAAATGGGCTCTCCTTTGTCTATTTTTCTCCTTTAAAATGCCTTGAAGGAAATTTCAACTCTTCCTTTTAGTCCTAATTTTCATTTGGGAAATAAATGTATGTTTAAGTGAACATTCGACATGATGAAAAATCAGCTTGTAATCCTGTGTGTGGATTTAATTGTACAACACATATTGTGAAAGGAGAGGGTGTCATGTGGGTCTTAAAACAAGTTCCGGTGAGTTCAGTCCTGTCAGTCACCATCAAGCGTTAATAACTCTTTCAAAGAATTTGAGTGTGACCCTCCGCTGATTTACTGCACCATCAGGACAGTTTTGACCTTCAATCTCCATTTTCTCCAGGTCAGAAGCACTACATAAATTACTGCTAAGCACTTCCCAAAGACTCGCTGGCAGCTGATAGTCCCAGTCCATGCTAACTCAGAATTTATGTGGTGACGTGTCTTAGTTTTAAAGAACTGGCTAGTACATTTCTCCATTCTGAGAGCAACGCTCCCTGCTTTCTTTCTAGCAAAGCCGACAAGTGGGGGGTCACGTTAAGCAGAGTACTTACAAGTGTGGTCCTGCACATACTGAATGAGCTCACAGGTCTGCAATTCCAAAATAAAACAGAGAGTTAACCAACAGACTGCTAGGTCACCGAGTTTAAACACATTTGGTGGAGTGTTCAGAGCATTCAGCATGAGTCAGGAGGTACTTACAGAAAACGAAGCCAATCCCTTGGCCCCTTTGACACCCTAAGGAAACAGACAGAAAATGTTTCATGGCTTAGTCACACATCGGAGCCCAGAATGTGCACCAACACTGCGATGGAAGTGAAGGCTTCTAAGAGTTTGTATTCTAATTAAGTTAGAGGTAACAAAAGATCCAGGCGAGTACTCATTGCTTCATTAAGAGTGTTCATTAATACGTGGAGGGTGACAGACTGGCTGCGGCAGGCTCCACACACGCAGGCTGTCAGGCCACCTCCGGAGCCTCCCCTGGGCCAGGTTCTAAGGAGGGAACTGATAGCTCCACAGATGCACGGGGAGCTCCGGAGCAGAGGCCTGGAGCAGATCCTGAGCTCAGCCCCTGCAAACGCTGAGCCCTCTATGCCCACTGCCTCCCGCGTTAGACACATCGCTGAGCAGTAGCCAACGGCGAACCTGCCTGTGTTCCCACCACTTTTGGACAACAAAGAGGCCAGAAGCAAACTGAACATCTGGAAAGATCATCTTAGCCCCCTCATAGAAAAAAAATGATTATGGATGTTGAGTTGGAGATACAAAGAACAGAGTAGAACTAGCTTTTATTTTGGGCTCAACCCTATCTTTGGAATAGGAAGAGTCTAGCAACTCTCAAAGAGAAACTCAAGGAAAATTGTAACAGCCACACCCAAACTCTTGAAGTAAATAATGAATTCCACATGAGTGTACTTTGATCGTGTTCACGATTATTAATTCCACTGCCATTCATTCACAATCATTTCCTCCCTCAACCTTCCACCCCCATCCACCTCTCAAAAGACACATTTAGCTGGCGTCTTTTCCCCTTTTCTCAGGGTGCACGATATAGTGAAAATAGTCTCAAAGCAGGAGAAGCAGAAGGCATAAGCATTTGAACAATGAAGGTTCTGTACTTAATTGTTTTTTTTTAAGTAATACATGTTTGGAATCCATACTGAATACATTCACTGGGTAGCTGGTACATGCACAAGACACATCTTAATCATTCCTAGGTCTCCCACCCCCCAACATCTCTTGGTCCCCTTCCCATTTGCAAAATGATGTGGTTGGTGTCTTCACTTACCTTTCGTCCCACAGGTCCTGGCTCCCCAGGGGATCCTGGCTCTCCCGGAAGTCCAGCAGATATCTCAAAGCAGAATTTTTTTTTATTTAAAATCATATCTATACACACATATGTACATGTTTAAATTCAAATTTAAAAGAATTTAAACTTCACAAATGAAAATTCAAAAGTAGTAATTTCATTTTCATTTTAGAAAATTGACAGATTTCCAAAGCGACAAAGAAAGAAAAAACAAAATCCCCACTAATCCATTCTTCTGCAAATGAAGGGTGAACATTCCAGTGCCTTTTATAAAGCCCATTGGGCGGTAAGACACATGTTCCTCTTTTAGTTATTTGGATTGGACTCTTTCTTGTTGCCATTAAAACCAAAGCTCTGTCTCTGCACATTTTCATGCTACTAAATATTCTTTTGCAAAATCACTTTTCATGGCTGCATAGTATTGTATTACCCAGGAAGACCACAATTTATTTAATCAGTCTGTTACTGTTGGTATTAGGTCTATTATTGTAGTAAACAATGATATCATAAAATTATATACACTATTCTGATCAGCAGAGAAGATGGTAGGACTGGAATTGTTGGATCAAAGGAGAACTTTTATCTAAATAAAATGAAAATAGCAACACCAAAAAACAAAAATTTCAAAGCTTCAAAAAACAAAATTAAAATATAAAATACCATAGGACAACAACAGAAACACTTAAGTTGGCTGAAAATATCTGTCAGGAAGTGAGGGAAACAATAGTAACAGAAATAATGGTTATCTGTTAACTATACATGAGAATTTTTCCATGTGCATTCAACAATGTATTTTATCACAAATACAGAATTTAGTTTTTGAATATGGATAATATTCTTCAATTCATTAAAATGTCATGGTGTTCACTATCTTTAATAGAAGATGAAGCTGTTTAAAATTAACTTCTATAAAAGCATTACTTATGAAACAGTAAATAATTACTGATATCTTCTGTGCATCCTGATACTGAGAGTGTTTGAGTAAAGAAACTCACTGATCATATTTTATTTAGAAGATATAGGTTAACCTCTCTGCAGAAAAATGGCAGGTTCAATGCCAGGACTTGCTAGTGTTTCTTTCTAATATCTTACCAAAATGAGAGTGTATTTTTTTAAAAAGGCAACTGCAACACTGATAAGAGATCATTTCTATAGATGCAGAAAAAGCCTTCGATAAGGTCCAACACTTATTCATGATAAGAACTTTACAGAAAATTGGAATAAATGGTCTTTACCTCAATATAATAAAGGCCATTTATGACAAACCAACAGCCAGCATCATACTAAATGGCCAAAAATTGAAAGCCTTTACTTTAAAATCGGGCACAAGACAAGGATGTCCTTTATCACCACTCCTATTTAATATAGTACTGGAAGTACTAGCCAGAGCAATTAGGCAAGAAAGAGAAATAAAAGGGGTAAAGATAGGAAAAGAAGAAGTTAAATTATCATTGTTTGCAGATGACATGATACTCTACATAGAAGACCCCCTAAACTCCATTGAAATACTCTTAGATACAATAAATAAATTCAGTAATGTGGCTGGATACAAAATCAATACTCAGAAATCAATAGCATTCCTATACACGAACAACAAAATTACAGAGAGGGAAATAAGAGAAACTGGACTATTCACATTAGCAAGCAAAAAAACGAAATATTTAGGAATTACTCTTACGAAAGAAGTGAAAGACTTATACAGTGAAAATTATAATACACTGAAAAAGGAAATTGAAGATGATCTCAGAAAATGGAAAGATATCCCTTGCTCATGGATAGGAAGAACAAACATTGTGAAAATGGCCATTCTCCCAAAACTGTTATACAGATTCAATGCAATCCCAATAGAAATACCATCAACATACCTTATAGATCTAGAGAAATCACTCCTAAATTTCATCTGGAACCAGAAGAGACCTAGAATCGCAAAGGCAATTCTAAGCGGCAAAAACAAAGCAGGAGGCATCACAATCCCTGACTTGAAGTTATACTACAAAGCAACAGTAGTAAAATCAACATGATATTGGAATCAAAACAGAGCCGAAGATCAGTGGAATAGATTAGAAGATACAACCACAACTACAAACACACTCAACCACCTTATCTTTGATAAAGGAGCCAAGCAGGTCCACTGGAAGAACGACAGTCTCTTTAATAAATGGTGCTGGAAAAACTGGCTCTCCATTTGCCGAAAACTAAAACTAGACCCATGTCTATCACCATGTACTAAATTAAAATCTAAATGGGTCAAAGATCTGAATATTAAAACAGAAACACGAAATCTATTGGAAGACAAATTAGGTAGAAACCTTGGAGACATAGGAGTAGGTAAAGAATTCATGAACAGGACTCAAACCGCACGGGAAATTCTTCCCAGAATCAATAACTGGGACCACTTCTTATTAAAAAGTTTCTGCATGTCAAAAGAAATCTCCAGCATAGTGAAAAGAAAACCCACAAACTGGGAAAAGATTTTAGTGAACTCTCTCTCAGACAAGGGCCTCTTGTCTAAAACATATAAAGAATTAAAGAAACTCAGACCTCCAAAATTCAAAGATCCAATCCAAAAATGGGCATCTGAGATGAATACGCAATTCTCAGATGAAGAAATGCAAATGGCAAATAAATACATGAAAACATGCTCATCATCATTGGTCATTAGAGAAATGCAAATTAAAACCACACTGAGATACCATCTCACTCCTGAAAGAATGGCCAGGATCAAGAAAACCGACAACAAATGCTGGAGAGGCTGTGGGGAAAAAGGAACTCTCCTGCATTGCTGGTGGGAGTGTAGACTGGTACAGCCTTTGTGGAGATCTGTCTGGAGATTTCTCAAAAAGTTGGGACTGGAAATCGCATTTATTCCAGCTATCCCACTTCTAGGCATATTCCCAGAAGAACTGAAAGCATCATACCACAGTGATATATGTGCACCTATGTTTATAGCAGCACAATTTGTAATCGCCAGATCTTGGAAACAACCCAAGTGTCCATCAACTGAGGAATGGATAAAAAAGTTGTGGTATTTCTATACAATGGAGTATTATTCAGCTATAAACAAGGATCACATTGAGATATTTATCAATAAATGGGCGCAGCTTGAGACCATACTCATAAGTGAAATAAATCAATCTCGCATGTGTGAATACCGAATAGTTTCCCTAATGTAAGTAATGATTCAAATATATAAAAATAAGTGGTAATCATGATTCCCCATTAGGTGGCCTTGAAGCCTTATAAAGTTTTCACTCATTAATTAGAAAGGCTTTATTCTGGGCTTCTTGATATGAAAATATTTGAAGCTAGAGTATATGAAGTTTTATCCAAATATTTCAAGGAAAAAGACAGACACTGTGGTAACTACTATTAAGTCGGGTTATATGGTGGTAAAGTACTAGGTTGCTGAAACAGTCATGCTTTGACCTCTATTGTTATATTGTTATGTCCTGTTTTATCTCAATCTCCCCCTTATTGTTTTAAAAAAATTATTTAGTCATTTCTTATGTTTGTCTTAATTAAAGAAAAAATTTAAAAAATTAGGATATATAAATAGTAACTCTTTATGATTTCCTATTTACTTGTTTTGAAGTCCTGTAGTACTCCCACGATCTTGTTTTGACTAATTAGACTCTGTTCCATTCTATATGATAGTATCAAGTTTGAAGACATAGGCAACCACTTTGAAGGCAATAAGATTCACTAAGATACCCATTCTGGTTTGACTATTGTCTTCTTTGGAAGTCCTGTAATGTTTACAATGCCTAAGTTTTATTGGTCTTGTTCTCTACTGTTTTGTCCAACTTTATAATATCTAATGAGATAGACAATTCTTTTTAAGGAAACAAGGGACAACGTTGATAACCATTGTTGATAACCTTGTACTCTGTTCTACACCATGTGCTATGTCTATCCTTGGTATTGACTGACAGCTTTGTTTTGCCATATTTGACTGTATTCTTTCCCCCCCCAAAAAAGTAATAAGCACTAAGGTGTAATAAAATCCAAAATGTGTAAATTTTGTTGTAAAAAAGAGAGGGGAAAAAAAAAAAAGAAAAAGAGCTCTAATGGATATAACAGCAAGTGTGTTTAGGGGTGTTAAATAGCTGACTATATCAGTGTTTTTGGATCATTGAACACAGCTGTTTGCAGTCTCCCTGTTTGAATGTCCACCTTGTATTCTTTGATACTGTGATTTGAGCAACTATTTTCAAGATGATAATATGTAATCTACTAACAGGTGATTTCTTACTGTTATTTTTTTTTTGTTTTGTTTTTTGTAGTTCTGTATTACGTGTACCCTTACACTGCTTTGTTTTGTTTTGTGTTTTTCTTTTTCCTCTTAAATTAAAAAAAAAAAAGAAAAAACATAAGACAAGGTCAAGGAAGCTTGGCAAAAAATAATGCAAAAAATAAGGAAGAAGAGATAGATTGAAGGGCTATCTTAATATACTCAATAACAGATACTTTAAAAATAAGGTAGAGAAAATGAAGAGGAAACAATTATTAAAATAAATATTTTTCAGAACTGAAGAACCATTTTCAGGCTCAAGAGACCTAGGCAATGCCCAGGAAAATGGATGAAAAAGGACCGAACACCAAGTCACAAAAGTCATAAAATATTCAAACACTAAGGACAGAGAAATGACCTATGTGGTTCCAGAGACAAAACACTGCTCATGTAAAACAAGATTGGCAATCTGAGTGGCCCAGGACGTCACACAGCAACAAGAGAAACTAAAAAAAATTCTGAGGAATTAATTCCAACCAAGAATTGTTAGAAATTAGCTAAAATATCAATCACATCTGGAAATAGTATTAAAGCTATTTTCAAATGTTGGCTGTATCAAAGAACATCCATCTCATTCAGCTTGTCTTAGCAGGCTACTGGATAACTTTTCCATGAAACAAGGGCATGAGGCCAGGTACAATGACACATTCCTATAATCCCAGCACTTGGGAGGCTGAGACAAGAGGATTGCTGTAAATTCCAGGTCAGCCTGGGCTACATAGTGAGTTCAAGGGCAGCATGAACTGCACAGAGAAACCCTGTCTTAATAACAACAACAAAGGTAAAAGAAAATGAAGAAAGAAAGAAAGAAAAAAAGAAAGAAAGAGAGAAACGAGGGCAAAATGCAGGCAAAATGAAGCACAGATCCAGCACAGAAGACAGGGAGAGGGGTTTTCAGGGTGAAAGGGGCCACCTTGTAACTGTGGGCACCATGCACTGTGGGAACCAGAACAGGTTGACTGGGTACAGTGCCAGTTCAGGATTAAATCTTATAGACCACTTGCTATGTCTAATGTCTTCAGAAGGGATTTAGGTAAATGGCAAATTAAGAAAGGCAAATCTGGGTGGCTCTGATGGCACATACCTGTAATCCCAGCCCTCTAGGAGGCTGAAGCAGGAGAACTGCACATTCAAGCCCAGCCTGCATAGCGTAGTGAATTAGTGAAACCCGGCCTCAAAATATTAAATTAAAAAAGCAGGCTGGGGATCTAGTTCAGTAAAAGGCCCTGGGTTCACTCCCCAAAACTCCCCCACCCCACCCCACACACAAAAGGTAATTCAGCAAGTTTCAGTCGCTTATACTGCTTAAAATCAAAAAGTGGGAACACAAGTATGATGTTTACTGTCACTTCCAAAGTAATTAGGAAATGAAGGTTGTTCCTGGGGGGAAGAAAAGGGGAAGGAAAGAAGGAGCAGAGGGAGTGCCATTTTTAAATTCAGGTTGACAGATAAAACGTCATTAAGAAAACAACTTTGTGAAGTGATGACCCTTTAAACTAGGTCCTCTGTTGGAGAGAATTTTGCAAGCCCATCCTTCCCAGGATGCATGGCTGGAGGCATCCTCCTTGGTCCTAACCAGGAGAGGAGTGCAGATGCCAGGCTGCTGCTGAAAGCACTTCTATGCACAGACCAGCTTGTCACCAAGGCTGTCCCCTAAGATGTCTATGGAATCACATAGAGGAACCTTGCTTTAAACTGTGAACAATACACAAACATATACAAAGTAAAAAAGGTTGAAAGTGATAAGAGAAATTAGAGAAAAACTTGAGGAACAACTACAGTGAAGATTTAGAGAAGTTAAAGTAGGAATTACAGTCATTTCACGAGAACTGAAGAGACACACTGAGTTATAAGGGCACATTTTATCCAGATTTTCCAACATAATCTTCTGCTCTTTCAATGGAAAAGCTAGAAATTTCCAACATTTGAACACCAAAATACTTGTATAAAGGTAGAAAAAGCAGCCAGGTAGGTGAAATAAGCAAGTTACAAACAGACAAACGGGGACAGCACAAAAGAAATTTGAACCTTCCCAAAGGCGAGGAGACAGTGTTGACACGTTTTCCATTAGCTGATTTTATAAATGATTAATGTGTCATTGTGGGAGAAGAATGCAACAGACAGCTGAGCTTGTTAGCTGGGCTCTGATTGCAGAATTGAGCTACTCTGTTAATAAGTCAAGGGGAATGGCCAGAGATATTTCAGTGCACAAGTTGCTTAGATTTCTTTGGAAGCTGTTTCTAATTATTTATCTAATTATGTCAGTCGTCATCACACTGACGCTTTTTCTGAGAGCGCAGTGATCAAGGCTAGACATCCCAAACCAGGTAGAGGAAGAAAATTAAAGTTGAGAAATAGCCCCAGCCTGGGAGGAAGAAGTGGGGAAAGAGGTATCCTTACTTTGTGTTCCTGAAACCTACACAACAAACCCCATGCATAAAGTTCCTGTTACACTTTATAGGGAAAAAACTAAATCACAGAAAAATCAACTATGAAGACAAAACTGATCACTTTTTAAATTCTTTCAAATTGACATGATATTAAGACAAGTTCTCCTGATTGGTGCTGTACTAAAGGAAATGGATGAAGCCTTTAGCAATAGACAGTTACCTTAAAACTGTCTTTAAAAATAGATCAGATATATTATCTCTATACAGTCTAAGTTATTTAAAAAGTCATCAATTCAAGAATCTATTCTTAGCTGGGTGTGGTGGCTGTAATCCCAGCACTCAGGAGGCTGAGGCAGGAGGATTGTTGCAAGTTCAAGACCAGCCGAGGCTACAAAGTAAGCTCAAGGTCAGCCTGAACTGCATGGTGAGACCCTGTCTCAAATAACAGCAATAACAATAACAACAATGGGGGAAAAGAAGTCTGTTCTTAAAACCCTGGAACCTGAGGCAAATGGAAGAGGTGTGGCATGTGCTGAAGACTGCTTTTATTCTAAGTGTTAAAAGTGCTGAGCAAGTCAAAGACACAGTCACATGATAAACAGAGCCTTTCCTAGAGCAGTTCAGAAATCTCCTCCTGAGTGAAATGAGAAAAGCTTTTAGCCATTCCTTTAACACATTTTTCCCCCTGCAATGCTGGGGATGGAACTGAGGGCCTCGCAAATGCTAGGCCAGTGCTCTGTCACTGAGCTACACCCTGCAAGGGGAAAGGATCTTTGAGCATCTACCTCATTAAAAATAGCTTCGCAAAACCTGAATAGTAAAGAAAAGACCCAGAGGGCATTATGTTGCATTAAATCTGCTGGGAGACAGAATTCAACTGACCATCTCTTGGCAGTGCAAGACCTGTTTCAGATCACAAAAATCATATTTCTGGTGATAAGAACCAAGGTGGCCAGAACAGGTGAACCTGCTGACTAACAGCCTTCTCTCAACGTCTCCTCTGGCACTGGGATGAGTACTATACTCATTCCCTTCAAGTGTGCCTTAGCAAACACCCTGCACATTTTATTAGTATTTGGGAACAAGTGACTGAGTGATTATTGCTGAAGGAATCAGGACTCCAAAATGGTGGACGTAGTCAGTAGTGGAGCCCAGGAGCTTACCGTTTTGCCTTTCACTCCCTTTTGTCCAGCCTCTCCTGGGTCACCAGGGTCTCCCATGTCACCCTAAACAGGCGAGTAAAATAAGATGGTTACTGAAATCAAATGGATATCAAGAGATTGAGTTGTGTTTTAAAACTAGCTCCAACAGGAAGTCATCTGCATATACATTTTCATCTTTCATTGTTCTTTTTTCTTTTCCATTGGATAGCCTTCCACATAGCATGCAGCACCGTTACTGATCGTCCTACAGTTCTGTCCTTCCAGCAGACCCTGGGCCCCTGGGACACATGAGCTGTGTGTGCCCTGGGTTTGTCCTCTGACCTAGCACAGGACGTGGCATATATAAAGTTCAGTATATAGAAAAATCTGAAAGCCTTAAGGTAGAGGATATCATTGTTAACTTATTATATGAATAAGGTTTATAAAAATAATGGGAAAATTGAGCTAGGCAAAATCAGATAATTTTGATTTTCTTTACATTTTACTTGCCTTTGAGCAAAGAAGAAAATATGTATGCTAGAGAAAACAGAGTACATTTGAGGAAAAAATGTAAAAAGGATTATTTTTCATCTTTTACTGATGAATTAAAAAGTTACAAACAAAAGTTTTTAAGTCTTAAGAGTCCTAAATAAATACATGGTTCTTGAAACTGGGAAAAATTTGGCCACTTCTTCCCTCCTTTCCCTCACAGAAGTAGGACATTTATCTTTCTCTGTCTATCCGCTGGCCTAGGATATTTTTCCTAACTTCAGGAGTATTTCAGACAAATTTCTAGATGTTATGAAGCACACAATACCTTTGTGCCACTTTCTCCAGGGAATCCTTCTTGCCCCTACAATGGATAGTACAGAAGATTAACAGGCATGCACGTCCCTCAAGTAGGTTTACGCTGAGCTTCACTTCATCCCCACCTGGTTTAGTATCTCTGAACCAATGAAGAGCTAACACAATTGGAAACTGGAAACTGTGTAGCACTATTTGAAAAACTAACTCCAATTTCTAGATTAAATTATCGACTGATTTCATCAAAATGTGGTAACCTGAAATAAGTCACTAAAAGACATTTGAGGTTAAAGTAACTTGAGGAATGTCACATTGCCTCTCCTTTTGCGTGTATATGACAGATGGCCATTTGCTCCCATGTCTTCTTAAAATTGACTTGAATGGAGGGATTTGGAGAGCTTGTAGAAAATTCAAACTGGATCATTCATTTTAAGGTCCTCTGTCCACCTTACATTGGCTAAAGATGAGTTGAAGAGATAAATAATCTCTATTTGGCTAAGAAAATATATTTTTGAATTGGAATAAAGTTTATTTCTTTTTACATTTTTATTTCATGTTTAATTAACATATGAATTGTGTATATACTAATAGGGTTCAGTATGTTATTCCAGCACACGGATTCTACCAGCGCAAGTCAAATCTGGCCTCCTTTCAAATACTATCCTCTCCCCCTCCTTCCCAACCTCTAGTAACCACTATTCCAGAAAAAAGTTTATTTCCCGATTATTAAAAGAAGTTTTCAAATATATAAAAGGATAAAAAGGAAAATCACCCAAATCTTACCACCCAGAACTACTGTACATATTTTGTCCTACACCTTTTAGCTTTGTAAGATACATTTCAGCACTATTGCAATAAAGGTTTTTTAAAATAAACTCTGAATTTTTTTCTTGAAAATGCCACAGAAAAATTTTAAACATAATTATAAGCCACACATATTCATTGTTGTAGAGTGACTTATGTGCGATGCCGTGAGCTACTTGGTATTTCTTTAATGGGCTAAAAAGAGTCATTTTTAGTCATTCTCTATTCTAATGACCATTTCACTCCTTTGTTTTATTTTTCAAAGATTTTTTTTTTCTTTTGGTACTGGGAATAGAACTCATGACCTCACGTTTGCTGGGTAAGCACTTATGCCACTGAGCTAAGTCCCCTATTTTTCAAAAATTTTTTATCTTCTATTTTCATTCTTTTCTTCCAGATAGCTTCAATAGCTTCCTGTATTGCTCCAACTGCATTTCACGTGTAGCTAGACTGACCCTTTACTGTATTTTAGAATTTACAACAGAAACTTGGCATGTCTCTCCACTTCTTGACGTTTTCTAGCTCAAATTCTTGTCATAGGTTTCCAATATTTTTTCAGAAAGGATATCCTTCACTATACTAATTCTTTTAAGGATTTTGTAATTATAACTGGGTCTTTTTCATCTTTTTTCCCTGATTATTATTGTACAGTACCTAGGAATCACCAGGTTTAGTCAATTTATTTTTCTTACTTCTCGGCTCTCAGATACCCAGTGGCAATATAAACAATCATTCTGATGCAGTTTTGTTTTTGAATTACTGCTTGCCCCACTGCATTTGGGAAAAACCCTACAAAATCATTCATGAATGGCCAACCAGAGCGCAAGCTGAGGACTGTCTCCTGTGGTAAATTTAAGCACTTGGCTAAGAAGAGAACAATTCAGGCTGTGACCACATAGATCCTAACCACACAGCACTGCAAAATGCAGAAAATTTATTTTCAAGTCTCAGTTTCTGCCTGCTCCTGAAATCCTCACACCTTTTTCTTCTATCATATTCCCCACAGTATGCCATCAAATTATAAAGTACATTTCAAAGTGCATAAAATTGCTTTATTCAGTGCTTGCTTTGTTCCTTTAAATATGGTCAATAAAACAGGCAGTTTAGAAAGAGAAAAAGCCCAGCTTCCAGCAGATGCTGCTTACCTTTGCTCCGTTGCGTCCCACGCTACCATAACCGGGATTGCCGTCATCACCCTTTAAACAAAGCAATGAATCACAAACGTCCAGACCACAGGGAGACTCAGGCTCATTCACAAGAGGACAGGACGGCCAGGGTTCTGGTTTGATTAGCACCACTAAGAAGCAAGATTCTCTCTTTGAGCAGGCCACTAACATTTTATGTGATACAAAATGCATTTGTAGACTGGGAATAATAATTACATCTATTCATTGGTTTTATGAAGATTAAGGAAGGAAATATCAAGCTCTGGGTAATCTCTCATGCAAGTTTATGCAAGGAGATAGTGTTATTACCTCTGATAGATAATATTTGTATTTTAATACCTCAACTGTAGTCCATTTTCATTTTTCTAGGCAAGAACGAGAGCTCTGAAATGCCTGGCCCTTGCAGAAGCCCTGCGCAATGGGCATTGGGATGCAATGAGTGTCTGGTGAAAGGGCCCTGCTGAGAGGAAAGCTTAGAAAGCCAGTGAGGATGCTAAAGACAGGATTCACCTATTTTCCCATTTGGCTTCAAGAGCAGCCTAGCCGTGATGTTTGGCAGCTGGGAAATATTTACCTCGTAAAACCTGGCCAAGCACATGATCCAAGGGGATATTGATGATATGGTTTCCAATTTCTACAACACTATGGAGCCAAATTGGGAGAGCATCTTTAACACTTATTAGAGGACTCTGCAGAGACAGAGAGCAGAGATCCAGTGATCTAAAAGATTCCACAGGCCAGATCAAAAGTAGTGATAAGACACAAACCGGCAAGCCTCGAGGACCAGGAAAACCGATAGCTCCTTTTTCTCCAGGATCTCCAGGTTCTCCCTGTTAAACAGAACAATGCAACACACCCTCAGTAGGTTGCTTTTGTAGTGGAAATCAGAAACCATGCACTAGGGCAGGACTCAAGTGTATCTGTGTGTATCACACATGGCGATGAAGGGTTTGTGACCAGGTCTGTGTGTCACACGAGTGATATAATGGGTGATTTTGTTGGCCGGCAAGGATTCTGCCATCAATAACTGGAACCTCATCAAGTTTGGTTTATGCAAGTTGCCATTGTAGCAGCTCAGCGCTATGAAAATGTTTCACCATGAGTCAAGGAGGAAGCTCTGGATCGTTAAAAAAAACCAAAAAAACAAAAAAACAAACTTGTGCTCCAAGTTAATCCATGAAAATTATCTGCCTCCTGCAAAGATGGCAGATCTACTGTTGTTGTTCTAGGGTTTTGAGTGTGACCCAGACACCCAAGAAGCACAACATCCCTGGCAGTAGTTTCTAACCTCTAACTAATAGGAATCCAGCGCAGCTACAGAAGAAAATTACCATAGGTTTTTTCAAAGGAAAACACAACCCACACACCTCTGGTCCCCTATTGTTAACAGTATGCTAATTGCATTTAAAAGGCACATTTGTCACAATAAATGCACCGATATACATTCATTACTATTCACAGAATATTTTATTCAAGTTTTTTTTAACTTAATGCTTCTTTTCTCCTTCAGTATCCTCCCCAGGACACCACGTTTCATGTCTGCTCGAGTTCCTTCAGACTGGGGCAGTTTATTAGACTTTTACTTTTGACAGTTTAGGTTTTTCTGCTCTTCTCATGACCAGATAGGGTTTATGGGTTTGGGGAAGGAGGCCTGCAGGGATAAGTTCCATTGTCACATCAGCTCAGTGGTATGTACCAAGCTGGCTTATCTCTACTGATACTAAACTTGCCATCTGAAGCAGTGTTGGTCACACTACCTCATTGTCAAGTTGCTTTCCATCTTCTCCCCTTTCTACACTTCCTTCCTTTGGAAGGAAGAATTTGGAAGTATGCCCAGGCTACACTTGAGGGGTGGGAGTGGTTAAATAATTTATTTTTATTTTATTAGTACATGTTTGCAGTACATGGTATTTACGTTCCTTATGGGAACTTAATTCCTTTTTCACCCACCCCATCTTTATTCCCTTTGTATTTGTGAAAGATCAGTCTCCCTAGCTCTCATTTTCATCTTTTATTTTGCTCTTTATATTTTGAATTTTTCATGTAAGAGAAACCATGAGGGCAGCATGGTAAGTATGAGAATTGCAAGTGAACCACGCTGAACTCACAGTGAAACAGTACAGGAAGGGAGTAGTTCTCAGAGTGTGCTCTGGGCTACCAGCCCTGCAATCATGTAGGGGTTGTTTGTCAAAGGAAATTCCTGGACCTCGTTGATTTAGTGGATTCCAACAATATGTGCTTTAAAGTAAGCTTCTCATCTTATTCACAGGGACATGGCACCCTGAGAATATCTCCTTCAAGGCAGGGAAACAAAGTCATAAATGCCTGCCTCGGGCCAGATTCTTGCTTATTGGTTAATGGTAGAGCCAGGATCTGAACACCCGGGTTTAACTGCTGGGCTACTCACCTCCCCAGAAACTTGAACTTGTAGTAAGGCTGGGTGAAGCGTGTGAGGTTTATTTCAGTTCACAATGAATCTGACAGGCTCCATCCATCATGGGGCTTCCCAGAGGGTTTGGGTCTGCTGTGGAGCCCTTACCTCCTGAATTCTCGACTCCATCCTTAAAAGTTCCTTTTATAGGCACCGCTGCCCTCCTTATGTCTGTCTTCCCCACACTCTTACCGCTACCCAGCTCCAGGGTCCCTCCTCTCTGCTACCTCTCTTTTGGTCTCTCTGCCACTTCCTACTGAGTGCTTTAATTTCAGATGCAGGATATATGCATCCCTGATGTGTAACACATATGCGTGCTTCCCCACTGTCTCACCAAGGACTGTACTTCCCTTATAACCTCCTCCAGGGCAAGAAGGCAGCTGGGCAAGAATGTAGCGCTATATCCATTCCAAACTTTGCTTTTCTGACCGTTATTTCTACAACACACGCCCTAGACATTCCTTCCCTTCCAAGTTGATTGTTCTTATCGCTGTGTTCCTATTATCTAATCCAATTGTCTTTGCAACACAGCTGCTGGCCCTGCTAGCGGTTCTCCAATGCAAAGTTGGCTCCTTTTCCTTTGCTTTTAATTTCACTCTTTGTCAAGAGATTAGCGTAGCAGCTACCCTACGTACTGTTTCCTGCAGTGTCAGTCCATCCTGTCCTCTCCACTGGACCTTGCCAGTATAAAGGCCTGTCTCATTTCTCCAGCCACTAACAGTTTCTCACCCATTTAAATTTATTTCTCACCAACCTGATGCTCCGTTCTTTGGGGTCTGTCTCTTTTTCTTTCCCCTCTCAACTGCTTTGATTTTGAAAACTTCTTTGATGAATCTTAGCTACCGGAAGTGATGATTAGCTTTTCTCCTCACCCCTTATTTTTTCCTATAACCAATTGATAGTCTTCACATTCCTCTTCCTCAAGCTCTTAAAAATCTAATGTGCTTTTCTATTTCTTTTCCTTCAGAACAATTCAATGTCTTTTATTTGTACTTATGTCTTGAAAAATAGCATCCACGAGAGATTTTTAAAACCCCAAGTGGATTCTGAAACTTCTGTCTCCAACCAGACCTCAATCTTTTCCTCCATCCCTCCTCCGAGTACATGATTTCCTTTCCTCTTAAACCTGTTCTCTGTCAGGTATTTCCCACATGTGTGACATGTCACCACTCTTTCTGGAGATGCCAAGCCATCCAGCCCCTTCTCTCTGCTTCATGTCCCTTTCAGAGGACTCCTAGGGAATCTTCACAAGTCAAGTCCTTACTCTGTTAAGTCACCCAACTACTGTTTGTCTTGGGGGCTCTTAGAGCAAACCAACTTGTCTCCTAGCATACAAGCTTTCACTTTCCTGGTATTCCATGCCAGGTGGCTCACTCAACACTCCCAGAAGTCTAGTTATGTTCATGTCCTCCACTCACATATTTCAGATAGCACTGAACTGGCAACTGAATAAACTTAGTTATGAAATGCATTGTTTTCAGGCCAGGCTTGGTAGCTCACACCTATAATCCCAGCACCGAGGAGGCTGAGGCAGGAGGATCGTTGCGAGTTTGAGACCAGCCTGGACTACAAAGTGAGCTCAAGGCCAGCCTGAACTGCATAGTGAGACCCTGTCTCAAAAAGACAAAAAACAAAACAAAACAAAAAGCCTAATACACTAATAACCCTTCTCCCAGGACTTTTGCAATCCTATCTACGCTTTTCTTCATTTCTTTTCTCAGGCCTCCCACATACCCTCTCTGCTTGTCAAAATCCTCATCTGATAGGTCCACTGAAGTCTGGGTCCTCCCTGGTGCCTCTTTCCTGGTACAGCACTGCTTCTATCAATTCTGTGTTTAAAACTCCCCACCCAGCCCCTGCGTCCCATCTACTTTATGTGTTGGGTTATTGAAAATATTCTAAATTCCTTATTTTTTAATTTTATGAAGATGTTAAACAAAATTTCATAACAAAATAAGCGAGCAGTAATAGTTAATACACTGTTTATCATAATCTTAAAACAGAGTGCAAGACATAGACAAGGAAAGACTGTCTTGCAAAGAAGAAATAGACAATAGCACAAAAACATTCTTTTCAATGAACTAAGAAAAACAGTAATGCATATGAACAAATTAGCATATAGTGAAATATTTTTGAAACAATGGAATAGGTAATTTGGGAATTATCTAAACTTCTCTACCTTCTATTTTGCTCTTTGGGTATGTATGAGGATGGGGTATTTGTGTGTACACACAATCACACACAGAGTCTATAAAAAATGTATACGTACTTCAGCAGTTAGCTGTACTAATTAATGTCTGGAAGCTAAGGTCTGCCACTGAGGCCCTCTTGTAATTGTAGAGACCAAAAGTAACTTGAATGAATCTCATAATGTCTCAAAAAATTTACTACTAAAAATATTAAAAAAATTTTTCTTTTCCTGATGTACAGTTTTTTGGCAGAGTCTATCTATCTGTCCGTCTATCTATTATCTATCTATCTATCTATCTATCTATCTATCTATTTTGGCTCACAAACTCAATTCTCTCCACGATTCTGGTTGCAAATTGAACTGGACAAGAACTGAATCAAATTTCCCCATAAGGTCAATATTGAAACTAAACATTGAATTTGATTTGGTTCTTGTCCAACTCGGTTTGCAACAAGAATCATGGAATCAAGTTTGTGAATCGCTGTATATATGTATATATATACTCATTTAAGAATAACAATGCCATGTTTGAACTGGTATGTCTGCCTTATTTTACTTAACATTATGCTTTCAAGATGCATCCATTTACTTATGAATGCCTCAAGTTTACCTTCCTTTATGGCAAAGTAGTGAAAACACTCTAAACTCTGTGGCATGGATTGAGCGTCATATTTATCATGATGGCCATTCATTCAACAAGCATTCACTAAGCACTAGGACATGTCCAGACACCATCCTAAGCACTAAGCAAGGATCCCTAAAAACAAAAGTCTCTGTCCTCCTAGAGCTGACTGTCCAGCCCAGATGAAGGCTCAGAACAGGGCCTTGGTCTTAAAAGGTGGTCAGCAAAGGTTTACATGATGAAGGAAAGAAAAGAAAGAAAAAATGAGAGGGAGGAAGGAAAAGAGAGAGAGAGGGAAAGATGCAGAGAAGGTAGGATAGAGAAAAGGAGGCTTGGCCAGAACAGCCCTCCTTCCCCCCAGCTTGGTTAGGGTGTAGCTTCTCCTGCTACTCTGCTGAGCTGGATCCCTGACCTCATCGGCTCCACACCCATGTCCTTAGAGGCCTCTGGCTCTCTAAGAATCCAGCCAGGGTTTAGGGGCAGTGAGCTGTGTTGCTTTGTGTTGAAAGGGTTCTGGCAAATACAACCAGACACAGCTCTCTTAAGCAGAAAAACCTCCACTTTGGGGAGGGGGTATAAAGAATGTGACTTACTTTATATCCTTGGCTTCCCGAATGGCCTTGATTCCCCACCTCTCCTCCAGGTCCTGGAGGCCCCTGAAATAAAACAAGCATTGCAAATACAGCAAAACAGAAAGCAACTTTCCTTTAAGCCTTTTGAGTCTAAGAGGAAAATGAACTACAGATGGGAGAAGAATTATGGCTGTACTGATTCGTCCTCTGGAAAAAAGTATTGCAGCTGTCAAACACAGACTGGTAAATAAAAGAAAATTAAATAAAGTAATGCATGCCAGATGTTGCCTAAATGATCATGCTTCCTCGTGAGTCTTCCCTTCCAGGGAGATTTCAGCTTCTCAATGTTTTGTTCTGAGAGCAGATGTTGCTAAAGTGTCTAACATTTTCAAAAGACATTCCAAGTGACATATGCCTTTTAAGAAATCCTTCCTACCAATGCAAGGGATTGGTCTTTTTAAAAAATGTTAACTTATCTTTATTCCAAATAATATGATTTGTACATTACAAAACTCAAGAAATTTTACCAAGCACAATTGGCATGAGCTGGAGATGTACCCAGGGGCAAAATGCTTGCTTAGCATGAAAGAGGCTCTGGGTTCATCTCTGGTAACACAAACAAAACAAAAACAAAACAAAACACGTTCAGGAAGTACATGGGTACATATTTAGAAACAGCTTTTAGGAACTACTAGAATATAGTTATAAAAATAAATGTAAATAAAAGGGAAAAAATAAAATAAGATAAATTTAGCAGGTGAAAATACGTAGGATAAATTTAGCAAGAAAGATACAAAACCTATATAAACAAAGCTTTAAGATTGTATTGAAAACTTAGTAACAAAACTTACACAGATGAATAAACATAATATACATCTATGTGGACAATCTATTGGCTACAACAGAAGTAGATCCTTCCAGTATTCTAGACAGTAAGTTTCATTAGATATGTTTAAGAATTGTTTTAAAATAACAATTCAGAGACCACACAACTAACTTTCTTCCTCTGCCTCCCTCTTCTACTTGGGATCAGATTTTTCCTTTGGGATATCCAAGTGTATGTCAGGAGAAATCTCTACCGGTAAACTGTTTGTAGGTACTTGGAAGCAATCCTAACATCAGTGAATTTAAATTGTTTTCACAACTTTTTGGTTATGGTTGCTATAATTTCAAACTAATTAAGCCAATCTCTGCATGATAACCATGATACTTAAAGCATTTTATTTGGAACAGAATTGTGATATTAATCTTTTCATCCTTTAAAAAATTAAAAGTATAAGAAGTTACACATAAACCATTTCCTAGGAGGAAAGATTACTAGACAGTGAAATGACTTCTAAGGAAGATAATTTTTCCATAATCCCTGTTCGCCCCTTCAAAATTCCAAATTGAAGTCTGTGCCAGATTCAATGGGACTCAGGTTTTCATGACTGGTTACCCAGATAAGAGATCTACTTAACTTCTACTAGTTGGCTATGAAATCCTGCTCATTGCTTCTAAAGGCAAGAAATTTTTCTTAGCACCTTTAGACATTAGTTAAGAGTTTTCTTGATTTGACATCAAAGAACCACCTCAGAATTAGAAGAGAAGCTTAGGGCATTGAAAGGGAAGGGGCATTTGTTAGAGGTCAGATCCTTGATGGGTTTTGGTAATGACTGCTTTTTATTCTGATCAGAGTTCTCTGTGAAAATGGCAGCTAGATATAGTCTTCAATTCTCAGAAGAGCACAGTAAATATATATTAACTTTATTGATCAATCAAAAACAGATTCTTGGGGGCATTTACCCCTAGATTACTCAGTTAATAAGAGGATAAGATGGGAACTGATCCTAATTCTATCTGACTCTAAGGACTGAGGTCCTCGCCACTCTGCTGTCCAAGCACCACTGAGAAGGGTGCCCAAACTCTTACATCCATGCGTTAGCCCTAGTGGGAGTCTCCAAACTTCATGCAGGAGGCTGGGCTAGAGAAAACCTCCAGTGAGCTGGAAGTCTTTTTCTCCCCATGAGTTGATCACATAGCCCTTGGTCGGCATGTTGGGTAAGGATAGAATGGAGGTATTTATAGAGTACAAATGAATGCCATCCAGCATCTCTCAGAAGGGTCTGTGCTGGGCGTCTAGGGTGAATGATGGGGATAGGGCACGGCAGGCACAAGAGGTGCAGTCTTCTTACATGTAACGGGAACCCTAGTCATTTTTGGATTTTATTTTAATGGGGCCAAAATCTAACACAAACCCGCAGCCAGCAAATATCAAGCCGAGAAGAAACAAAGCAACTAAATGCTCAGCTTCTATAAGAGTTGTATACGGACTTTGTCTGAAAAAACTAAAAATCCAGAGGGCAGCAGTTGTGGGCTAAGGTGAGGTCAGACCCCAAGTACTTAAGAAGATGCCCCTGGACATCTTCTTAGGCTACAAGACAGCCTTGAACCTGACCTTCTTTTTTTTTTTTTTTTTTTTTTTTGTCTTTTTCCTTTTTATCGGTACCAGGGATCAAACTCACAACTGTCTGCTTCCAAGGCAGGCGCTTATGCTGCTGAGCTAAATCTCCAGCCCCTGAACCTTACCTTCTAACGCTTCTCCGCGCAGCCTGTGCCCCAACCACAGTGTACCATTAATTCCTCACAAGACTCCCCTGGCAGCTTCTTTACAGCCCGCTTCCTTCTCCTGCCTCTCCCTTGGCTACCTGAAAACTTACCCTTCAGAGCCTGACCCACTATCTCCTCATTTAACATCCCTTATCCCATCACTCTGCCTCGGTGTGTCAGACGTCTTTTTGCTGCTATGACAAAATATACCTGACGTAAGCAGTTTCAAGGGAAAAACGTTATTTTGGCTCATGTTTCAGCCCACGGTCAGCTAGCTGTGCTGCATTCCAGTTTGTGGCAAGATGAAAACGTCACAGCAGAAGGGCATGGCAGGAGAAAGCTGCTGACATCATTCATGGGGGCCAGAAAAGGGAGACGGAGTGAAGGGGGAGGGGAGCAGCAGGGAGAAAGGGAGCAGGAGGAAGAAAAGGGGCAGAGGACAAGATATAGCCCTCAAGGTGATGCTTCATGATCCAGTCCCCATATAATAGCTCATGTGGCTATGGACTCATTAAGCAGTACACCCACTGATGGGCTTAGTACCCTCACGATCTGATCGCTTCCCAAAGGCCCTACCTCTGAGCGTTGCTGCTCTGGGACCAAGCTTTCAACACAATGCACCTTTTGGGGAACATTTTGGATCCAAGCCATAAAGATTTTTAGTATAATTCTCTTTTCACATTCAGCACAATATTCACGCAAGCCTCTTTCAGGAGCCTGCATGGATTTGAAGCAAAGGTCTGTCTTGGATTCACCCTTTTTCCTAGTATAGGGATGGATGCACAGGAAGCACTTACAGTAAACATTAGTCAGCTGAGTAAAAGGAGAGACTAATGGAGTCTCCAGCTCAGATTATGCAGGATGAAGAAACCTGACAATTGGTTCAAATGACATATGGTTATATCCCTCTTACATCCTTGCTTAAAATAGTGATTCATATTTATTAGGCATAAAATACTTCTGTTAAATTCAATAATGTTAATACAATATAGCAGTATTAAACATGTATGTAGTACTTAATATTACAGGTAACAGTCCAAGCACCCATATATATTAAACCATTTAAGTTACAATATATCTAATGAGGCAGCTATTATTGCTATTCTTATTTTGCAGTAGAGAAAAACGAGGCACAGAGATTAAAGAAATTGTTCAAGGACACAAAGTACTAAAGTGCAAATCAAGAATTTAAACTCTGGCTCAGACTCCATATCTCTGACTCTGATGTTATACTTTGTAAAGACAACAGAAATTCTACTTTGTTTTCTAAACTTGCATTGAGCAATTCCAATCTTTCTTAAGAGTACACTAGTGATTATTTTACCAATAAAATAAATACTTAAGGAATGATTAGCGCTCTGACTGATTCTGGGAGCTAGTTCTCTCTTTTTCTGTTAATCCAAATGAAGAGGGGACAGACGAAGGTACAGAAGAATGTACCATTTCATTCCGGGCTCCTTCTTACTTCTCATAGCACTGTAAAATGTATTTGTTCTGTATCATCACCATGTATCGGCTGGATTGGCGCATATGCAGAACACCTCAATACTGCGTGAGTTAATAAGCCTCCTGAACAGCATCAACAGAAATCACATTCCTTTTACTAAGTGTATAACCTAAGGAAAATTTGCAATACCACAATTAGAAAACTCATGTTATTCCACAGGAATAGCTGGTCCTCTGGCAGTGAGAGCCAATAAATGAAATCTCTCTGCTTTTTCTTTGGAAACAACAACTTTGAGATCCTACCCATTGTGTGCTGAACACAGAAAATTCCATGAGCCTTTGAAACAGCGTTTGCATTGGGAGTGGAAGGCATTTCATGAAAACCAAGTAGAGAAAGAAAATCATGTTTTCTGATCAGCCCCATGAAGAGGAGACTAGAAAGAAAGGTTGAGCTCTGACTAACTCTCACAACACCAAGAGGCTGGATGATTTACAGCCATGATCACTCTTGACAAAGCCAGATTACATGGGCCTTTCTCATAGAGGTGCACGACAGAGTTAATGGAAATGTTATTAGAGCAACAGCCACTTGGATACAATTTTGGATCCTAGAGCAAAAGAAATACCAAGGTCTTTAGATTTCAACCCATCTAAATCCCAATATTTTATATAAACAGATGAGATAATCACATGATATATTTTTTCCTTGGTACTTACTCTTACTTTTTTAATTTCAATTTGTGGTGCCATGCAGACTTAATGATTCAAAGATGTGAATGAAAAAATAATTACTTTTCATCAGTTTAGTTCCACCATGAAATTATAATTATTCATGTGTTTTGAAAGAGTACTATGTTTTCATTAATACTGAACAAATATTTTCATGAGCAGTTATAAGTGTGCTTTAAAATATTGTTATGTGATACAAGTAGTTTCTTAAGTGTTATGTTATGCAAGTAGCTTCTTAAGTGTTGAGCCACTGCCAACTTTAATGGACACAAAGATATGAATTCCCTTTTTCCCCGTGGAAAGTGTGGTTCCCAAGTACATCTTATTCATAATTTACTGCTTAATTTCTGTACAAACATGCCCCAAGATAAGCTATGGCCAGGCACTACTGCTGTTCTGGGATCTGTAGATACAATGTAAACTAAGCAATATTCTTTGTGGAAATTACAATCTAAAAGAAGCGACAGAAGATAAACATCAAGTATAACCCAGACAGAGCAATGAACGTGTACTATGATCACAGGTAGGGAAAGACTGGATCATTTGGGGCCTTGCTATTCAAAGTGCGGTCGGTGGGCAGTCACATCAGCTCTGCCTCAGAGCTTGCTGCACATGCAGAATCTCAGGCTCTGCCCTGGAACCACCGCCTCAGAATCTGCATTTCAAGAAATCCTGTAGGGAGGGTTTATGCACTCGGAAGTTGGAGAAGTGCTAATGTTAGGCAGGCATTCCTGAGTCTCAGGACATTTGGAGTCACCTGGAGAGAATTTTTGATTATCTCCGCCATGGACTTGTTTCCAGAGGTTCTGATATAAGTGTTCTTGGGAGAGACCAAGGTAGTGAAAGGTTTACAGTCCCCAGGACATTGTCACATGAGGTCTGCGAGAGGACCTCTAAAGTAGGCTGTCACGTGGGTGTGATGGGGAGCTCCGAGGGACTTGTGAGCTGGCAGTGAGGAAGAGATTCTTAAACCCAGGTGAGCACAGTGGGAACTAGAAATATGTCTGACAGTGATGCCCTGCTCTGAAAGATGGGACCTGGAGTGTGATGTGTTTACCATGCAGAGCACTGAAGCCAAACCTATTGCACTAAAAATGATAACAATAAAATAAACCTATTACATTGTGTTACTCACAGGCAGTAAGTAATTCCACCTGCAGAGAAGAAATCAATAAAAACATCCACAAGAAAGCTAAGACCAAAGCTGGGTTCAGCCGGTTACTCTTTCTGCGTTACATACCTGGGGACCTTTCATTCCCAGGCTTCCTTTTTCTCCTTTTGCCCCAACTTCTCCTCTTGGGCCCTAGGTACACAGAATAAAATATTATTTTCTTCCTGAAGAAAAACACTGGGATGCTAACTTGAATACTGAAAGTAGAAGTGTTAAGACAGTAACACGGGCAGAAATTATAAGAGGGCTACAATTATGCCACTGTTTGTTGATGACTCTTTCAAGCGCTCCTGAGGTGTAGGGGATCTCATAATCCAGAGTAATATTTGGGTAACTGGGACTTGGAAAAAATGGTGGGTAGTTGAGCTTTGGAGAATTGCTTCCTTTTGTTTTTCTTTTTTCCTTTTTATCTTTTTAATTTTTTTCAAATACTGGGAGCATGAGTCGCATCTCCTGCCCTTCTTTATTTTGGGACAGATTCTTACTAAGTTGCTCAGGCTGATCTTGAAGTTGTGATCCTCATGTTTCGGCCTCCCACATAGTTGGAGTTACGGGCTATGCCACCATGCCCGACTCAGCATGGTTTTCTAATTGCCCTCAACATCTTCATCCTCTGAATCCATGTATTTCTTAGGTTAAAAATAAATATATCCTTAATTGCATAAATATTTAACTTGTTTTTTATTCAATATCCACTCTAAAGCCTTATTATAAAGAAGATGTGGCATGTGACCTGATGAAATACAGATATTTCTACTTCTGCAAGATTATGTTGCCTCTTTGTTATGGTTTCTGTGTTTTACACAGAGAAACCATACAGCATTTAGGTTTTGCTCCTCTTTTAAAATTATGTCATGGGGAAAAAAAAAACCCTAAGGATCAATGAATTGGGAAAAAGGCTGCTGTAGTATCATTTGCTTAGCATAAAATAAAAGCAGTCTATTAAGATGTTTTCCCACAATCCCAGTGGCAAATGTTTCTCATGTAAAAGTAAGAAAATACAGCCCTTCTCAGCTGGCAAGGAAAGCACGCAAGCTAGAGAGAGACAAAAGTCCGTGGGGAAGACCGTCTTCTACTTGGGAATCTTGGTACTACATGGATAAACTTTCTTTTCCGATGTTGAAGGATATTTCCTTCCACTTCCATACACCAAGCTGCCAACATAGACTCTTTCCCCTCTTTAACTGTTTGTTTTAAAACTTTGAAAAAGAGCAGAACCATGGATTGTCCTGCCTCTGCCTTATTTATACTGCTTTGAAAGCTAAGTTTGAAGCGGAAAGAAAATGCTTTTATCATTTGTGGGGCTCACTTCTTTCTTTCACTCAGCCTTTACATTTGTTTCTTTCCTTTCTCATTATTGATGTGGGCTGCATTTCACCCTCCCTGGCACACATTCCTCTCGCCTCCTCTGAGCAGTGTAGAGAGCCAGCAAGGCTTGTACCTTGCAAAGGAAAAAGCTCCAGGCAGCTCCCCGGAGAAGCCAGCTGGAATGGACCGGCTGAGCACCACGCTGTAGCTCACCCTGCTGGATGCTCCAGCTGTACTTGGAACAATTCTTTCCTAGAGCAGAGCCAATTTTTCTACATCGCCGTCATTCAGATATGTAACACTAGCTGTTACTGTGCTAAACCGACCGCAATTCCCAGATTTGAGGCTCAAATTTTTCCTTGGCTTGTGGTCTTTCAGGATTATTCTGACAACCCCTAACCCAACACACAAGGACTGCTGCCCAGCCTGCTTATTCTCTTTCCATCTCTTGACTGGCACAAGAGATAGGTAACAGAGACCAAGTGCCACACAAGTCAATGGGCGGCTTCCTCACTACCCTGAAATACCTAATGCTTCTGTAATTCTGCAAGTGTTTTGAGGTTGCAACCAAAGCTTGGGAAGCCCCCAAACCCAGATTCTCTGCACAGTCTCTTATCCTGCTTGACCTTAATACATACCTGAGGGCCTTTAAGTCCCAGAGAACCTTCGATGCCATCAGGGCCTGGGATGCCTGTGTTTCCCTGTGGTGAGAATCAATCTATTAACATTGTTCCTGAAAATTTTGTTTCCTTATGTCTAAGATTATAAATAATTTTTGAATTACAGTGACAATGCAAGCTCTTTTAAGAAAGGAAATGAAAATCTAAAATCTCACCAAGTAGAAATAACCACAGTTAACACACTGGTATATTCATTTTCAGCCTTTAAATATGTGTGGCTGTGTTCACATTCATGCACAGTCATACTTTTTCAATGGAATGTGAATTATGTTATATCTTACATTATATCTATCTTGAGTATTTGACCTGAAAATTTTCTTCAAACATTTCCGGGTGTCTTACATTAAAGTAATCCTGAAAGAGGTGAAATGCCTAGAGACTGAAAATGAAGCATTCTCTTCCCATTGCTCTTAGACACTGCCACAGAGAAGAATTCCAGAAAGGGTAGATTGCAAATGTTTAATTCAGACAATTATTACGACCACCTAGGTTTGCATCTCAGTTGGTATAGGGTTGGATACGATCAAATCCCCTCACTGATACTGATTCCCAGAAATCAGAAATCTCTTAACACCTTTCTCCAATCTTATTTCATTTACTTCATGCTATTTGGTTTGGTTTACTTTTCTTTTTTGTTCATGTCTAGCCAGAAGAGTATTACGGTCTAAATGTGTAGGAAGCACCTCTCTCCAATTTATTAACGTGCTGAAATTGATACCTAGGCAGTGGTGTTAAGAGGTGAAGTCCTTGGAAAGTGATTAAACTACGAAGGTTTCACCCTTATAACTGGGATGAAAGACTTTACAAGGAGTTCAAGGAAGCTGTGAGCCCCTTCTGCCATAATAAGATGCAAAAGCACCGCTTTTGGGGCAGAGGAGCAAGCCCTTGCCAGACGTTAAATCCTCCCAGGCCTTGACCTTGCACCTCCCAGCCTCCCGAACTTTAGGAAATAAAATTCTGTAGTCTATAAATTACCCATTCATGGTATTATTGTTATAGCAACAAAAACAGACAGAAACAAAGTATGCATGCGTGAGGGGATGTGTATCTGTGTGGATGGTAAGGTTTGCTTTTTGAAAGTATCTATTTTATACTCACTCTATTTAGCTAGGTATAAAATTTTAGGTTTTTCCTCTTTTGTATCTTTAAGATATTATTTTGTTGCTCTCCAGAATGTACTATTGTTGCACATAAATCTGCTGCAATGTAATTTGTTGTTCCTGAGTAAAATTGTTTTTCCCCCCTGGTGATATTTAAAATGTCTTTTTATCAACATTTTTGGAGTTTCATCATGATTTGATTAAGAAAAGATTACTTTATCCACATTATATTTTTAATCTGAGGATGTGCTTATTTTACAGAAACGTAAGTCACAACTTTGTTTCATAAATAGTATAGGTTCGAGAAACACATATAATATGTCACCAGTATGTGCAAAACATTTGATTTTTTAAATAAATTCAGAATATCCAGTTAAGGCTTCATTGAATTTTCCTGGTTTATATGAGGTGTGAGAGATAATTTAACAAAAATCTTAAAGCTTACCCACAGAGTTATTAGAGCTTGAATACCAAAGTTAGATTTAACCATAATGAGATAAATACTTTTGTCATTAATTTTAATGGTTTTTTAATGAAGGAACCCACATTTTCATCTTCTTTTGAAATGTGAATTCTTCAACCTACAGTCTAAACATTTTTAACATTTTACTTTATAACCAATATTATTAAAAAGCAAAAGCTCTAGGCTGAGAACTTCATAGAATATTTTTTCCATCTCCTTGCTATGATTTGGAATATTTATTTATCAGTTAGAAACAAACAAACAAAAAAAACCCCACTGACCTGTGGGCCTGTTTGTCCTCTTCTGCCATGAGCTGTCTTAAATAGGGGGGAAAATAGATATTGTTAATTTAGGAAAAACTCATGCTTATACAATTAGTAATGGGAACCTTAAGACACTGATCTGAGCAATAGCTTCCAGGGCAAAGAATTATTTGTTGGAGTATGAAACTAAAATGTTACCAACTTCGAATTTCTACCTTATGTTAACAGATAATTGAAATCATAGACATTTGAAATCTACAGATACTTATAAGGACAGGTTATGGTCAACAATTTGTCTTCCACTTGTGTTAGAGTTCAGCTGCATAATTGACTGATTTGAATTTTATTCCTTTTTATTTCCCCCAAACACTACCAAGTAAGCCAGAAATCAGGAGCAGAATAGCCAAAAGGAAAGAGGCCAGATGAAAAACTGGGAGAACTGACTCCCTGAACCTCTTCAGAGATTAAGTTCATAAGTTCAAGGTGACCAACCTACTTTTATTTTTAAAAATCCAAATAATGTGCTTACCTGTCAGAAATAAATCACCCCAAACATTAAAAACTTACTTAATTCAACATATGAATATAATATCCAACCAAAATATTGGTGCCTTACAATCATTTAGACTTTCTACTCTAAGATTAGGTTTTTGTTTTTTTTTTTTTTTTGTCTTTTTCCTTTTTATCAGTACCGGGGATCGAACTCACAACTGCCTGCTTGCAAGGCAGGTACTTATGCCGCTGAGCTAAATCCCCAGCCCCTTTTACTCTAAGATTAGGGGTCTACATATATTGCATATTAATAGTTCATAGAAGAGAAAAGTAATGACATTTTGTTGTCCTACTTGAAACCATTCAGTAAGCTTAGAGCAAAATTTACATTTAGAATTTATAGTATTTAATAAACATAAAAAAGCATAGTCCTTACGGAAATTTATCTGAGATATTCTATGGGGGGGTTTAAATTCTGTTACTCATATGTTAAAATATATTGTTATAAAAGAAGTATGACTGTGTTTGTGGAAATAGTCTTAGTTCTTTCGAGCACTGATAAGTCATCTCAAGATGCAAGGCTAAAATTTCTCTGACAGAAGGAAGAAAAGAAGCTGTCAACACTGTTAGCAGAAGGGTTTGTTTTTGTCTGTTTTAATTCACTTCAGAAAAGTATGGACCAGCAACATGGACAAGTAGATATTTTGATTTAGAAAAGTACCTGCTAGCCTTTAAAGTACATTAGATGGCAATTGTATGCATAAAGATCATAAACACAGTTATAAGACCCCCATTTTTTGGGTTTTAGAGAGAGAAATATTGCCAATATTTATAATGCAAAGGATGGCAAGGGCTGTAAGATAGGAAGATGGAGATATGAGTTTCAGAGAAGGCAATCATTACCCCAGAAAATCTCCCTGGAGGAAGGGTTTTTAAAATAGCTGCAGAGGATGGGTAGAACTCTTACAAGCTGGGAGGTAAGAAGCCTTTCCAGCAGAGTGTACAGTCTATGTGGCAGTGTAAAGGCAGGAAAATAAGAAGTGTGTTTGGTAGTAGCGATTAGGCCATTTGGGTCAAGAGTGGGAGAAGAGAAGGACTAGCAGGGTTACTAGATTAAAAACCCTGGGCTGAAGGGTTTGTTATTCTTCATTTAGCAGACATCACCGGGATTCTTGGAGCAGGAAATACAGACAGGACTTTATAACAATGCATCTAATTGCCACAGAAAGAATCGAAAGGAATGCTATAGTCCGGCAAAATAAAGAGCTTCCAGTATAATTTAAGAAAAGTGGAGCAGACTTCTCCATTCAAAAATATTTCTCTCAGTTTTCTCAGTTTTGACACTACATGTCAAAGAACTGGATTAAAACAGTGAGTCCCAATTGGCCATTTTAAATCCTCAGAGCCTCTGAACCATGCAATTCCTGTGCTCTGCTTATCTGTAATTAACTATAGATGGGGCCGCTACTGGGAATTCAGGAGCTAGTCTCTTTCTCCTTATTTTCTCTTTTTTTCCTTTCTCCTTATTTTCAATAAAAACTCCTAACCTCAAAAAAATTTTTCCTCTGGTTCACTGTCACAGTGTTTGAAAAGCTATCAATAGCAGTTATTTCCTCTTCTTTAAGGTTTGATTTTGAAAGGGCATGATTAATGTGAATCATGACAACATATATGTATTGAGTCTTGTGGCTTTCAAGGTACTGGGTTGAGTCATAGCAAGCAAAATCTGACTCTTGTCTCTAGCCAGGATTTTATAAAGCTAATGGAGGAGACAGGCTTGACCTCACCAGTGACACAAATAATGGAAACCTGTCTAGTTAGAAACAGTTAACAAGCCTATTTGTTAATGGCCATTTGGGATTTAAGCTCCAAATGAAAGTCATTGGGGAGATACCTTGGCAGATATGAGAGATAGAAAGAAAACAAGGGAGATGATTTTGCAATTTTGTCTAATGTTTTAAAATATTCTGCATGGAAAAGATGAGAACTCCAAAGTCTCGATGGTTTACCCAAGGACTGGTGGCTGCCTGGTAACACCAATGGACAACCTGACTTATCTTGAAAGCAAGTAAGATTAGTCACATCAAGAAGAAAATCTCCCCAAAAGGGCCTGGGAGGATGACATCCCAGACCAAAGATACTCAGACCCTCGGTCACAGACACGTGGGCTTCTGGGTATTACCAGCACAGCTGTCCTCCAGGTACTTACCGGTCAGCAGAATCTTTTTGCTCTGAGGAGCCCTCAACGTTCCTACCTACCTGGATGTTTTATCTTTTGGTAATGGTACAGGGGTCAAACCTAAGGCCTGGCAGATGCTAGGTATGTCCTCTACCACTGAGCTACATCCTCAGCCCACTATCTAACTACATTTTGTAGTTTTGCAGCGAAGAGTATAGAGTTTTCTTCTTTCTTAAAGACTGACTTAATGTTACTATAAAAAAGACACATGCTGGCTTTTTAAAATATTTGAAGAAAATATGCAGCATAAAAATTTTTAAATCACCCTAAATCCTCTATAGAAAGAGCTATTATTCACATTTGCTAATTATGATTCTTTGCATAATCTTATGACATTTTTGGTAAAATTCTAACCAGTGGTACTTCAGATTAAACAAAGCTTTTGTTGTAAATGTTATTTGAATAGACAAAAAATTAAAAGGAGCTGAAAACCAGGCAATAACATTTCTTCCGTCCCTTTCATCTCTAGGTTTCCCTTTGGTTACTCCGTAAGCGCTGTGTGTTTGCTTCCCACACCTGCTACAGTCTGGTCAATACTCTTAAAGAGCAATAAGGTTGACTTCATCTCGTTGAAGAACTGTTGACCAGAAAACTACTTTTTCCTTCAATAATTAATTCCTCTTCAGGGGTCATTTGTCTTTTGGTCATGGCTTTTCTTCTCTTTTGCACGGCTTCTGATTTTTAATTGTCTGGTTAGTTTATAAGACTTAGCGACCTTCCTGAAGATGAACCACCTGGGAACAGAGGCGCCTGTTTGCCTCAGAACTTCCTGGGAGGTGGAGCTGGGGTTGGGCTGCCCTTCTGACACACACATGGCATTACAACACTCCCTCATCAGACATAGTCTTTCTTTTGCTTTCAGGGCTACATCTTCCCTCATTTTTTGCCATTTAAGAGACTCACAGAGCTCACTGAAAGCCCCTCGTAGTCTTTCTGTAATGTGACAGTCACTCGCTTCTCTCCTTACTCCATGGTGTTGGCTGCCAGTTGTACACAACACAAAAATAATATTTTTTACCTCCTCACCCCTTCTACCTCCTCCGCCAACAAGTTTCTATGGGCGTTTTTTCTGTTCCTCTCAAAATCTCCAGTGGCCTGGAGTTCGCTCACCGGCTCTTTCTGGACTCTGGCAGTTTCTTTTAGATAAATCTGATTGGGTTCGCCATCTAAACACATAATTTTAGTGCTCTAAACTTTTCTCTACTAGGATCCAGATTTTCAAATAATAAGATGCCTAATATTTGTCATTATTTGTGACTTGAGATTGTGGTCATTGTTTGTTTCCCAGTTTTCCTTTCTTTTGCTTTCAGTGAGATGGACACACTGATTTTACTATTTTTAATTGGAAGCCCTGCTTTTACCTCTGAATGGCATGACTGGCTGTGTAACCCAAGATGAGGCCGCATTTCTCAAGCTCTGTGTGGTTTAAATAATACATAGTCATGCTGCATTAGTCTCTGGAGGCTGTAAAACCGTAAACGTACATCTCCCCATGCCAGGAGTTCCTGGATGATATTCTTTAAGTTGAAAATAGTTTCCAGGGTATGTAAGCCTGTTACACCCTTTTAGAAAGTAAAATGAATGGCAACTGCATTTTTATCTTTAAATGCACTGAAATAGCATTAATACAATCCTTCCCTAGCCACCATTTGCTGCCTTGCAAAGGAGATGGGTATGCTTCAAAATAGAAAAATATTTTCTTGGTGGACTCTAGTAGCTAGTTTTAGGAACTTTTCTCAGAAAATACACTGCATAGCAAACACAACACACTTGGCCAGCATTTGTTAGTGACTGGTTTCAAAGCATGCTATATTTTTGGAACTTGGAGGAGGCTGGATAACTAATGGAAAGAAGATGCTGCAAAATGAGACAAGGTAGGCTTAATTTAGACTCTAAAGCAGATTGGTGAAGCCATTGAAGTGAATTTCATGACAATTATGTCTCCTTATTGGGTAGAGTTTCTTTTGTAATCTTTGTGCTTTTCTACAAGGTAGAAACTTTTTTCAAGTATGCATTTTTAAAAGCTCCACAAAATAAAAAAAATACCTGCGAAGGAATTTATAACAAGTAATTTAATTTAGCCCTCAGATATATGCCTCCACCAAGACTGCCTTTTCCTAATATTCATAAAATTGGGCTTAAATGGCATCACTGGCAGCTTCATTTAGCCCAGCAAGTAGGCCCAACTTTGATCCCCTTTCCCTAGTTGGATGCCGCATCCTCTCTGTGCAGCAATCGTTCCTGATACGATATCTCCCTGCATCCAGCAACTTCTTCCTTCACCTTCAGGGCCTCGCCCAAGCCTCCCACCAGGCGTATCCTGAGCAATATTCTAGGTCAGTGTTCCTGGGATGGTGAGCTTCCCTGGAACTGTATCACCCATGCCCCACAGCCAACCATTTTCACCATAAAGAAGTTACTGGAACCATCTTATTTTTATTTAGAAAGTCATGGACTCTTACTGTCCTTCTTCTGGAGCCTGGTGTCCCAGACGGGCCTGGCCAGCCTCTTCTACCCTGTCAAAGAAACAGAAGAGTGAGACAGTTATATAGCATTGACACTGTTACTCTTCAACATCAGTGTGTGCTCAGAGGAGGACACAGATGGGTTCAGACCAGTGACAACCCTCTTTGGAAGGTGGCATTAACCTCCACTGATCATAAAAAGCAGAGAATGTGTTTCAACTCCCAGAGTGGTTGATAAGCAGAAGTAAAAGACTTTTTGCTCCTAACAATAGTTTTTCTTTACCAAGTATATTCACTCTGATCCCAAATACTTTATCAGGTATTTCATATTCTGCCCCTACCAACTTGAGCCTCACAATCATGGCAGCATTTGAGAAGTTTGTTTTCAAGGGCCCCCATAATTACTTGTCTTCCACGTTCTCCTTTCAAGCCCTTGGGTCCTTGTATGCTATTGTCAAATCCAGGAATTCCCTAAAAAGAAAAAAGAAAAATCAGGTTTGAATAGCTCTCCTTAGAAATATAACTTGTGTGTAACACATTCAACTGTCCCTCAAAACTCTGACAAGACGAAGCAGAAATAAGTTGAAATTATACATGGCTCGTGTCTTTTCTCTTCCCACTCTGCTTGGCATCAGCAGAATGAGAATGGAGAGTTTAGGTGAGCAGGGGGTGGGCATAAGAAATGCGGCTGTGGGAAAAGCATGGTGACATGACTTGTGTGGATGACATTCCTTATCCGGGGTCTGGAACTACCCTTTCTTGCTACTGACCCCTCTTCTAGCTTTTCCACATTTCCTCTGGGCCTACGAAAATCTACTCTTGAGAACGGGTAGTCTGTGCTTTCCGGTCCTGTGGGGAGACAACCAACACAGGATGGTGTCCCTGGAGTAACAGAAGCACACTGCACAGCACTGGGGGCTGTTCCAACTGTATTTCCTTTTCTCTTCCTGGAAGCCTGGTTGTATCTGTTTTTATGATTTTCAGGGAATTCTAGAATCTTGAATTTTCCCAATATTCATGCAAATGTCCCAGGAGAAACTGAAAACAGGAACATGCTGGAGGTGTTTTTCCTAGCAGACCAGCTCAAAAGCCTTCTAGCTTGAGTACAGGGACCACAAACAGAGCTGTGACTCCACAGAGCTGAGAAAAATCAATCAAGTCAGTCAATTTGGTCAATGCTCCAATGAATCAAGAGGAGGCAACAATTATCTGGGCCTGCTGAGCACCAGCTGCCAGGCTGTTCTGCTGATACAGCCCAGATTACCTTCATCAATCAATAAGTGATTTGCAATCACCAGCAGAGACACATCTTTGTTCCAGATACTTTGTAAACTTTTTAAGCAAACAGTTTTTGCACTTAAACGAAATTGAAATTTATTCTATATAACTCATATGACCAAAGCACACATGAAAATGATACCTTTTCTTATGTATGGAAGTCCAAAATTAGTTTCTGCATTTTAATCTTTCTTCAAAGTTTAAATATTTCCCTCTTAAAGTCTCTAAGAAGGGTATATCTAAAGTAAATACTTAGAAGATTATATTTTGGAGAAAAAAGCAAGCAACTAAAATGAAGGTAAAATCTAGACTTATTTCATTGAACATGTTAGCTCTTTTTCAACCTTAAAAGATGTAATTGGAGGTAACATGAAAAAGAATCTTACATTGGCACATTTTACTGTTCAAACTGATCTAAATTGTATGTAGATAAATTGGTCAATGTGATTATAAACAGGTTTAGATTTCCTATAATCTATTTAACTAGACAAAAAGTCATTTAACACAAATTTACAATTAAACATGGCTTCTAGTACTGATGTTGTCAAAAGCTGAAACTTTCTAGCCTCTGGAGATGTACTAATTGATTTAGCTAGTTTTCCCTAAGAATTACATTAAAAGAATTGGGAAGTTTCAAACAGCCAAACAAGCTTATGCATGATCAGAAATTTTAACTAAATAAGCTTAGATTTTCACGATTTGTGTCAGTTGCATACATTTCTATAAATAACCTGATCACATGTGTGTTCCATTTGTTCTATCATCTTGCGCTCCCAAATTTTTCCTGAAATAGCAACCCTCTAAAACCACACATAAAAAACAGAGAGAGTTGTTTTAAATTCAAGATGAATATTCCTAAGTGGGTGGGAAGGATTTGGAAAAACTATCTAAAATTAGTATAGTTGATAAGCAACACATTGCATACACTCTGGTAGGTTGAATTTTCAGCTAATCTTGAAGTCATATCCTTTCCTTTAAAATTAAAACATTTTACATTATTCAGATTCTTTTAAAAATGTTATATAATCACATTCTATAGCAGAAAATCAGAGGAGATTGTGATTAAAGTCAGAGGAAATTGTGTATCAATACCTCAAATGAATTTCTATGTTTCATTTCACAGGCTGAAATGTCTACATACTTGAACAACTACTGAATTATTACTATGAATAATTTTTGGTTCAAAATTAGCAATTTTGAAACTCTCAGTTCACTAGACTGTTATCAGAAGATGTGATGCATTAAACAATGTTTTCTTCAAGTGCAAATTTCTCTACATTTTAACTAAAGGTACCTTCATGGCATTCCTAGAACTTACATTTGTCAACATATATTGTACTAACTCATTTCTCTGATCAATACATTATACAATGAAGTCCTATAAGATTTCCAGTCATCTCACATGCTCATCAGCATTTAATGTTGTAAGTTTTTACAAACTGTAGCCATCCGGATGGGTATGTAGCATATAACCATTGTACATAGAGGAAGGAGTATGAATCAAACTTTTCTGAGAGGAATTTGACTGTAAAGACCTAAGTTGCAGGTAAGCGAATGCGTCTTGATCCAGAAATTCTGCTCCTAAAGTATACACCCAATAAAATGTGCACAAAATCCACTAACAGCAATATACAGCAACAGTCATTGCAGTGCTATTTATTATAGCAACAACTAGATACAACCCAAATATCAAAAAGTAGCAGATTGGGTAAATAAATCATGGTATAGTCACATGACAATAAAGCAATGAGACCAGAGAAACAGCTGATCTACATGACAGCATGAGTGACTCTCTCAATCATAAAGTAGCGCAGAAGAAGCCAAAACCAAAGGACCACAGAGAAAAGTGACTCACCAAAAGTTTAGGAACAGGTAAAAGTAATTTATGTTGGTAGAATAGTGATTATCTTGGGTAAAATGGGTTACATTGGACATATGGGATAACAGTATGTTTTATTTTTTTTAATCTAGGTAGCTGATTAAGGCACACAGTTGTAAATATTTCTGATATATGTTACAGTTCAATAAAAAGTCAAGTAAGCTTTCAGTTCTTAAAACAATCCAAGTCTTAATTCTTAAAAATTTTGGAGGCTTAGTTAAATGTTTCATCACCATGCGGTGATGAAAATCCTAGAGCACAATGATGCCATAGACTTGGTCTATTCATCACTGGTGGGCATCTGTCTGAATGTGAATCACAACTGTTCTACTGGGTTTTGTCCCTGGGAGAACAGGGATCTTCCTGTGATAAGCTTTTTCTGAAAAAAATAATCCATGGATCCTTGGATTCAGAGAAGTGAGGTTGATAGTCTCAAATGAGAAAAAAAAAAAAAAAAAAAAAGAGAGATGGTTTTGTTTCTCCATCCTGCCCATGTGCTTAAGTCCTCAGGAGGCAGAAAATGGAGTGATTAGAATTTCTCTATCACTCAATAACTTAAGAATGATTCTAAATGACAAAGCCACTGCCTATGTCAGACTAAATGGGAAACTAAAATTGGAATAAGACAAGAAGTACACTGTCACCACTCCTCTTCAGTATAGTACTTGAAACATCAGCCAGAGCAATCAGGCAAGAAAAAAGCAAAAGTAATATGTATAGGAAAGGAAGGAATCCAATTATCATTTGGGTCTACATAGAAGATCCAGAAAGATTGCACCAAATGACACATATAACTAATAACTAAATTCAGTAATGTAGTAGAATAGAAAATAAATACACAAAAATAATAGTGTTACTGTACAGCAGTAATGGACTCACTGAGAAAGAAATTAGGAAAACAATACATTCACAATAGCATTCAAAAACTGAAATACTTAGGAATGAATTTAACCAAGGAAGAGAAAGATGTCTACAATAAAAACTACAGTACACTGGAAAAGGAGACTGAAGATGACAGTAGGAAATGGAAAGATGCCCCTCCACCCTCTTCCTTGATAAAGAGAAGAAATGTTGTCAAGTGCCCAGAGTCCCCAAACTGATATACAGATTTAAAGCAACCTCAATCAAAATATCAATAGCATTCCTCACAGAACCACAGAGAAGAACCTTAAAATTCATATGGCCCAAAGAGACCCAGAATAGCAAAAACATTCCTTGGTAAAACAGTAAAGTGGGAGGCATGACAATTCCAAACTTTAAGCTACACTACAAAGCTACAATGACAAAAACAGCATGGTATTAGCAAAACAAACAGGCAAACAAAAAACAGACATGTGGAACACTGGAACAGAAGAGAGGATACAGAAACAACTCCGGGCACATTCAACTGCATCACCTTTGACAACAGAGCCAAAAACATATTCTAGAGGACAGATAGCATCAAAATAGATAAAAGATGTAAATGTCATAACACACAATCTGCTGGAAGATAAAAATGGGTAAAACTCTTGAAGACATAGGTGTAGGCAAACACTTTCTGAACAGAGCCCACTGATACAGAAGTAACATCAAGAATCAACAAGTGAGATAAGAAACTGAAAATTTTCTGCACTGCAAAGGAAACAGCTAACAGAGTGAAGAGACAACCTACAAAATGGGAAAGATTTTGCCAGCTACTCCTGGGGCAGAAGACTAACATTGAGAATATATAAAGAACTAAGAAAAAAATTAGACACACTCCAAAATAAAAGATCCAATGATAAAATGGACTGAAATAAATGGAAATAAATAGAACCTTCTCAGAAGTGCAGATGGCCAATAAATACATGAAAAATGTCCAACAACTCAGGCCGTTAGAGAACTGCAAATTAAAACATGGAAATTCCATCCAGAAACAATGGCTGTCGTCAAGAAATCAAATAATTACAAATGCTGGTAAGCCTGCAAGGAAAAAGGAACCCTCCTATACAGGCAGTGGGGTTGTAAACTAGTACAATCACTATGGAAATTGATACGGAGATTCCTCAAAAACTAAAAATAGAAATTCCATTAAACTCAGCTATTCCCCTTCTAGGTATCTTCTCAAAAGTGTTTAAGACATCATATTACAGAATAATGCATATATATCCGTGTTTATAGCAGAACAGTTCATAGTAGCTAAATCTTGGAAGCAACCTATATGTCCATCAATAGAAGAACAATAAAGTGAATGTGGTATTTATACACAATGGAGCACTGCTTTGCCATAAAGAAAAATAAACTTGAGCCATCTGTAGGAAAGTGGATACACCTTGAAACCATAATGTTAAGTAATATAAATCAGACCCATAAGCTTAACTATCACCTGATTTCTCTTATATATGAGAAACTCAAAATGTAAATAAATAATAGAAAATGCAGAGAGAGAGCTTTTGTAAAAGGGAAGGGAATCCAGAGATGGGGATGGGGGAGAGAAAGGAATGAAAAAGATTGAAGATGTGTTACTTACATGTACCAACTCCCCATAAGAGAAGTAATTATTATATACTGCAAATATGTACTAATAAAAAGAAGAACAGTTCTAAGCAGAGAAAGATCCAGCACAGGTACTTGCTTTTCCAATTCTCTGATAATTTTGACAGGTGATACTTTAAGCTCCAGATCGTCTTTGTGCCTTAAGATGGAAACGTCTTTCCCTACGGGAAGGGCTGCAGGGGGAGCCTTGAGGATGCCCACGCTCCCGGCACTTACCGGGTCTCCCCTCAGACCCTTTGCTCCGTGATCACCTTTGCTCCCTCTCTTTCCTGGGCTGCCCTAAAGTTAACACAAACCACAAGAAGAACAAGATGAAGATTTTGATTACAATTAATAAGAGTAAACAAAGAGCTAACATTCTAGTTTGAATAATTAAATATTTTCTAGTGAGGTTACTTTTAAACTGGGAATAATGAGCCATCAAGAAATAGTTTCAGGCATCATATAAATAATGTAATAGTGAGCACAATTGTTCTCCACAGTGGTGAACTCTACAGTCCAGACGTATTTTGTCACCTTGTTTTGTTGTTACAACTATTTTACGAAGCGGATATTGTTCATCATTTTTTTTTTTTTTTTTTTTTTTTTTTTTTTGCTTTTAGCGGGGCACTTGAGGCTCAGAAGGATCATGCAGTTTGCTCAAAGTGGTTACATCAGTCAGGAAATAGATTCTTCACCCAATTTTCACAGCCGAAGGCACAGCAGATAACTGAAGTGTGACTTCAGCTGGCGTTCAGGGTAAGAGTGGCAGACTCCCCCGGGGCTGCCTCCCTCCTCAGACCTTTGTCAACATCCTTCTGCTGTTCTCAGGGTGGCAGCTGCCTCGATGGAACCAATATTTCAATCCTCCTTATATCTGTGTCCTTTCCATGTAACCCTGAAGTGATTTCCAACTGTAAAGGGCAAGACTACTTTCTCCCAAATTAGGCTGCCTGACTTAACAGGGTGAACAGAAACAGGCAGAAGCGTTGCTGGGAAATTCCCACACCATGGCCTCAAGATGACTTGAGAGACTTTGTATGTTTCTTCTTATCAAGAAAAGGTTGTAGCCAAACTACAGTAGTACCAGCCAAGGTCACCTTCGCCTTGTCTAAACCACTCAAGGCCAGCAGCCAAACTAAGTGTTTATTGTGGTAGCTGATTAGCATTTTGTGAATGTTTATCACAGAAAAATTCTGAGGCAACAGTTAACTGATACATCTAGGGCTTCTGTTTTACTCTATTAATTATGCCTTCACTTTCAAATGTAGATTTTATGTTTTCTTTACTGAATCCTTACCTGGAATCCTGCATCGCCCTTTTCTCCTTTTCTTCCAGGAAGACCAGTCTCACCCTAAAAACAGAAGGAAAATATCAAATTCCCATTGTCTTAATGGGGAATAGCTCAGGAGGGTCTCTGTTGTTCAAGAAAAATCTCCACCTGTTCTCCATTTAATCCATCGACTCCAAGTTCCCCAACTTCGCCCTGAAAAGACAGATGTGATTAGACCACAGTGCATCATACCTATGCGGACCAAAGTCAGACACTAAACAAAAGCATCTGATTTTGCGTTTCCTTTTTAGGCTTTGCCTGAGTATAGATTACTGTCAGTGAACAAACCGTGTCCACCACCTGCAATAAAAGACAGAAATACACAAAATGAAATGACTAACACCGAAATGAAAAGGAAGATCAATGGGAAGGTTTAGGTATAAACTCTACCATAATTTCAAAAATAACTCTGGATAACAGTTGAGCAGCTAAGAATGGGCCCGGTGCTACATACCTCTTCTCCATGTAGTCCTCTAATCCCCTGAAAACAGAAAGGACAGTGATAATTAATGTAGGAAAATGGGGTTAAGTCTTGAGAAGCTGTCACAATATCTCATGCGGTTCTCACCTTGGGACCTTTGGTGCCATGGCATCCCTTAGTACCCTGCTCTCCCACCGGACCAGGGGCTCCTCTCTCGCCCTGAGAAAGAGCAAATAGCCAGATGAGCCGATTCTACTGCAATCTGGATTCTATGTTAGACATTTGACAGGATTTTGCTGTTGTGGGGAAAAGGGTATATGACTGATCACGGCTTATAATTCAGAATTTATGCTTAAAAACCAGTGGCTTAGACGCAAAGCACAGGATTAAGAGGGACCTGGTTTTAGAACATGAGTCTTTGGAATCTGATCTTTATTTCCCTGGGAAATGAAGCAAGGGATTACATATTCTACATATGTTTTCAGGAGCAAATGGAACCAGAACAGAAAATCCTTAACTTACAGCAATGCCGTCCTCCCCTAAGTATCCTTCGCTGCCTTTAAAACCTGTAAGTCCCTGGAAATAAGAGAAGAGAGAAAGCATTAACACACCACAGCGAAAACCCAGAGGTGTTTCTTCACATGGAAAGCAAGGGTTTGGGGAATAAAGTTCTCCCTTGCCAACCCAGGCTGCATCTACACACATAAAGAGAAATAGAATTTTGAGACAAGTATCCAGACAATTCAAGAGCGTGTGTGTATGTATGTGTGTGTGTGTGTGTGTGCGTGCATGTATGCCTGCGTGTGTCGTAATATTGTCTTTAGTGCTCTCCTGAATTATATATAAAACCGAAGGGGTTTTTCCCCAGACAAATAACCAAGCATGTACAGTATTAGCTCTTGAAACATTGTAGTTGTTCTCTTTCAGGAAGTTATAACACTTTTTTAGGATTTATGGCACACACATTTCCTTCTATTCTTCCCGAGCTCTCCATTTTTGTTTTAAATTCTATTATTGTCTTTACATGAAGTTAAATCATTCAGGAAATAATTTATCCAAAGCTTCCTTCAGAGGCCCGGTTCTAGTGATTGGAGAGTTATAGCATGACCTATATATTATTCAAAAACCAAATCATAGGTAGCAAATGGCATCAAAGTCATTGTTAAATGTATCCCATAGCATTTACATATATTTGAACATCTCTTTTCTTTAAGAGTGTACAGACTTATTAGTTAGAAAATGCCCTCTTTCCCTGAAAATAAGATTCAGTTTTCTAACTAGTTTTCAAGGCTGATTATTTTCCAGCTGGGTCTTACTTTCAGGGAAATGTAATATGTGAATTAATACTGCTGGTTATCTTTTTTAAAAATTGGCCTTTTGTGTGTGTGTACGTGTGTGTGTATGTATGTGTGTGCACGCATGTGTGCATATCTGTGAAACATGAAGATCTTAAGATCTCTGCTGCGGCAGAGTGACCTGATTTGGCTTTTCAGCTGATTACACAACATATCTACTTGATGTTAATGACTGTGTCATTAAAAATGTTAACTGAAATGAATCACCAACATCACAGAGATTTTCACTGTTCAACACCAGGGAACACTGTGTAGTTTTCTGCATAGTTGTCATAGCTGAATATGAATAATCAATATTTTGACAGCTGTTTCTCTTTAGATTTATCTAAAAACTTTTTTTAAAAAAAGAAAGGGGTGTGCTAATTAAGAACGCCAAATGAAACTGATAACTTTGACAAATAAAAAAAGAAGTGTAATAAATGGTCACCTCTGATGCTCTATCTAGAAATTAAAATCACCCCTTATTTCTGTAGACACCTTTGTCCAAAAAGATATACTAAATTCACAGAACTAATCCCCTCATCTGAACTGCAAATACCTTCTTGCCTGATGTTCCAGGATCTCCCATCATGCCGTCTCCTCCAATGCACTTGCAGAACAAACAGCAGCAGGTCCTTTCAGCAACATTGATCTTGGCAGAGGGTGAGAAACACATTATGTTTGCTGGCATTCCTTCCCAAAGCACACACATGTGCTCCGTGGCACGATCTGCGTTCCTACCATCATTTCAGAAGTCTGCAGACTATCAGAGTGACCGTGTTAGACAGAGAGTGTGCAGGATTCTTTTGTTTCCATCTTTCTTCTGTGATCTGCATTCTCTACCATTCGAGGAATTCCAAATCAGGTTAGCCATGGTCCACTTGGTGTATACCAGTCTATCAGTGTGGTTGCTGGTTCTCATTCCAACTCTAGCACTGACTGTGGCATTGGCCCTAGAGCAATGACCCTATCATATGCAGCCCCATATTCTTTGTTTAATAAAATAATATACTCTGCTTTCTCCTTTCCCCATTTGGTGAACTCAGTGTGCTAGATGACTTAGGAAAAAGCAATAAAGTATCAATACAAATTTTAAAGAGCATTAGATAAAAAAATAAACTTCACAGAATAGTCTCTCCACATAGGACAGGAATACCAACAAATTTCCACATTCTTTTAAGAATTCTTTTTTACAGAATCACTACTTTGAATAAATTCTTTATACAAAAATTCTATTGGTGGAAAATAGTGGAAACTAGCATTTCATTGGGAAGTATCCTGATTTACTGATTAAATATTTTACAAATTATGAACAAGTCACAGAGGAGTATGGTAGCACAGGGAGGCCAGGGCGAAAGGATGTGAGTTCAAGGCTAAGCCATGCAACAAAGTGAGACCCTGTCTCAAAAAAGTGCTACGATTACAGCTCAGTGGCTGAGCATTTTTGCCTGTGTTCAATCCCAAATACCACCCTCAACACAAAGACTCTAAACAAATCACTAGTCATTCATTAAAATAACCCTAGTGTTGTAAAGTTTGATAACACTTGAACTCGAGTTTGAATGGTGGTTGCTTTTCAAAGAAATAAAAAGCACTTACATGGGCATTCAGTTCTAAAGTAGACTTATGGCCAGAATCTCAAAGTAAGAAGACAACTGTGAAAATCTCTCACTCGCTGATAAAGTGCAACAGCGGAGGTTTATTTCCATTAGTCTTTCCCCCAACATTAGCACAGACTGCTTTTCTCTTGCTGAACCCCACATGGAGTTCGCTGTTACTCACAGTCCATGGTGGGGGAAGCACATCCCTTAAAAAGCTGAGCAAGATGAGCTGCGTGCTTAGCACTTCAAGGAAAAATGAAACCCCCACAGAGGGAGGACAGAGTCAGCCGTGCTCACAACATGACTTCTTTTTAGCACTTAGATTTATAGACTGTAACTTAAATATTATGCTATTTAAATATTTTCCTATATTTTTGCTAGACATATCAAACACCTTCTTATTTAGGCCATTCATTAATTTAAAAAAGCATGCCTTCATTCACAAATGATCAGAATTAGTTCAAACTCACAAACATAAATACCAAATCTATAGGCAAGCTAATTAAACTTAGTAGCCTTTTCTGAATAACTTACCAGCTGCTTTGACAGCTGAGTCCCAAGATCCCTCATGCCGATGGAGAACTGTGTCCTGTACTCAAATCCTTTTCCAAATTCAATGTAGAGGAGGTCAGCCAGGTCACCAGAATGGGCAGCTCCATCCAGAGCCACAGTGATGAGAGCATTCAGACCTGAGGGACACAGAGCATCATTCTCCAGATGAGGGTGAATTTGGTGACTTTAATCTTTTTGCATATTTACATTACTAATCTCAGTAAACTGTTGCAAGATGAGCACTCATTCTGTTGTCCATGCCTTATAAAGATAGTAAGTGACATGGAATAGAACTTACATGCTCTGATGATTTGAAGTGAAGTGGTGAGTTAAAGACCCAAGAATTCACACATCAAGGAATCACCTGTTTGCCACTATATGGGAAATTCTTGAAGCCACAACTTTGACCTTACCCAGGAGCTTAACAGAAACACAGAATCTCTTGGGATGTATACGCACTTTAACTAAACTTTAAGTGAAGTACAGAATCACAGGAGAGAAAACCTTGGATCTACTTACGGAGGTCACGTGTGCTTAAATACAGGGAACCAGGGGTAGAGATACTTGAGCCTATTGAGAGCCATTTGATTCTTTCAAAGAACATTATTAGCATTCTTTTATCCCTTTTTCAAAGGTTCTGAATTTTTGAGGATGTTATTTTAAAAATCTAGTTTCTGAAGTTGATATTCACTTACTAGTTTTGCAGTGAGAATTGGAAGAAAGAGAACGGGTGTTAGAATTCTGGATTTTCAAAAGCACTTCCTGGAAGAAATTTTCATGTTGTCAGGAAAGAGCTACAGCTTCTCCCCACAAAAGGAAAACTCAAAACAACAATGATAAGGAAACCATCCACCCACTCTAAAGTCGTATTTTCAATCTTAATTAAAATCTCTATCATAGCTCATGAACAAAGGTTAAAACTTGATAAAGAGAAGGCAGCTTTATAGTAGGTAAAAGGTAAAATAAAAGCCTTTACCCTAAGGCTGTAAATTCAGAGAACTTTTCAGTTTAAGATTGAAGCAAGAGAACCGAACACAAAAGGCTAAGCCGTCAGCGTCTCTTACTGAGCAGCAGAGCCTGAGAGAAAGGTTTGGAGGTGCTTGATATGCTGAAGGAGGATGCACAGAAGATGGGGAGAGGAGAGGAGGAAAACAAGAGGAAGGGAGCTGAGCAAGAGGATGCCTCAGCTGAATCGACCTTTAGCCTGATCCCAGAGAGCTCTGGAATTCTGTTACCCAGGAGTGGGATGGGGAGTCACGGCTCAGGTGAGGTGGCCCTTACAAGCCACATGCAATTCCTAAGAGAATGAGGAAGTCGTACATTACCAGTAATTGACAGATGGGAAGCCTGCCAGAAAAGGGGCCTGCGTGGAGCAGCAATTATGTCCACAGATGGAAGAGGGTTTTATAGTCAAACCAGAAATATACAGATGCATTTTGCTCCTCTGATACGTATTTTAATAAGAACCAACAATGAGTAAGACTGCCCATTAGTTGTAGAAGCCCAAGCTGGATGCCAGAGTTTTTCAAGCTCAGGTGGACCATCAATGGCGGGAAGGAAGGAACCGAGTAGAAAGCCCCCAAGATGTGGGTCAACTCGTCCAGCAAAGCTTGCAGCTTTGGAAACTACAGAGTGCTAGAAGAAAAGAACTCATTTCTTACATTCCTTAGTAAAGGAGAAATAGTCTATTCATTTCACTAAAGAAGTAGCAATATTAGATAATGTGGAAGAAGGGAGAAAACACATTCTCCAAAAAGGTTAGAAGAGACACCATCACACCAAACCCAGACTATGCCTTGTTATTCAGTACTGTTTCAAACACTGAGGAAAAGCAGACCGCAGAATGCTCCAAGCATTCACTTCCTCTATACACAGAGTAGAAATAATGCCCAGTTCACGGTTATTTGAATCTCTGGAAATTTTAGAGCTAGAGTTGAGTGCTGAGATTACAGAGTTAATAAACACTCCTTTTCCACGTCTCCACTTTCAGTACCTTCTTTTCGAAGTTCATCAGATTTTTGTTCAAGTTTTTCAGTATCATCATCCAGTCCATCTGAAAATATAAGGGCCACCTAGGGATGTTTGCAAAAGAGAAGACAGATGAATAAAGCAAAGTTTGTTGCAACTGCGAATCAACACATAAAAATGAAATCACGTTACCTTTCCTCGAGCAACTGACTTGTTCTGAAAGGCATCCCACAGGGCACTCAGGAGGTTTACGTCCAGGTGAGATGGGCCTTTAACTCTTAAATCCTTTAAGCTGTCCAGAATGTTTTCACTGTAGATCTCGAACTTGGGAGAATATTTTTCCATGGCATTTGTCACTTGAAAAGCCACACTAACCTGAGTCTCAGTGCCCACCTCACAGCTCACCCCATTGAGGGAGCTGATGGCCCGTAAGAGGTTTTGAAGGTAGGTTCCCATCCATGGCTGATCTGTGAGCAAAGTCTGTCCTTCCAGCTGCGTTGAGATATCAAATCCAACCACCACATCCACAAAGCAATCTAGGATTCAAGAGAGAAGCACATTTTGTTAAATCAACGAACATCTTTGATTCTCATGCCACATCCTTTGTCTGATTCTAGGGACTTGACTTTTTTTTTTCCAGTACTACAGATTACAAAGCCCTTTACTCTAAGCTATACCCCTAGCCCTATGTTTATTATTAGTTTTGCAACAGAGTCATGTTAAGATGGTAAATTCCCAGGCTGGGCTCAAACTTGAAATCCTTCTGCCTCAGCCTCCTAGAGAGCTGGAGTTACAGGTGTGCACCACCATTCCCAGGATTCTAGGAAAATTTAAGTATTGTAGAAATTATTGTGGGTTTGGTATACTGAGTTGAGTTTTCCAAAGGCAGGTAGTTAGAGAGGACACTCTTTTGAGAAATTTTAAGTTGGATAAATATGCCAATTGTTTTTCCAGAAAACACAACATTTTCCTTGGTAAAATAAGCCAAAGCAATATTTAATTTGCTTTGCTTTGCTTGTCAGTTTTTCTACTTTTTTTTGTATGAGCAAATGCCTGCCTGTATTACTTCCATATAAACTGGTCAGCTGAATATATGCAATTCATTGAAACTAAAACGTCCAGTTCAATTCTTGATTTATTTTTTTTATTTTTGTCTTTTTAGAGGCAGGGTCTCACTGTGCAATTTAGGTTGGCTGTGAGCTTACCTTGTAGCCCAGGCTAGTCTCAAACTTGCAACAATTCTGCCTCAGCCTCCCAAGTGCAAGATTACAGATGTGCACTACCACATCTGGCTTCTTGATTCATTTTTAATAACAAAAGAGTTAGGTAATGGAAAATAAAGATCTTACATAATAATTAGTTTTCACTATGAGCTCTAAGGTAAATCAATGTGTTATCAAAAAGATAAGGAGCCTTTTAACTTTACTATATTTTACCTTATTGGAAATTCTCTTCTTGGATATTCAGAAAGTGAGATAAAGAGAAAGAAACTAGTTAGAAGGAATCACCAGACTATGTCCTTTCCAAAGTCCTTCGAATTTCTTACATCCTCTCCTGTCTGTGTTAAGGTGGAAAGTGTAACTTGGATAAACACTATGTTAATGTCTGAACCCAAAATACTCAGTAACCAAGCTATGTCACTGCTTTTGAAGAAAAGACACTCTCATGAAAAAGCAAACATTAGCAAAGATGTTATAATGACACTGAGCAAACGTGGAATCATTCTCTAGTATTTTAACTTTTTGCACAGATTGCTGAAAGGGCTTAAATCTAACTAAGTTTCAGTGTTTAATTAAAATACACAAATGATTCCATAATGCTGTTGCTGATGAAGAGAACGTGGCAGGCAACTCTAGGGCAAGCAGCCATGTGTCTGACTGCAACAGAGACACGGCCATGCCGATCTAGTGGGTTTCACCTAGTGACTTTGAAACCCTTGCAGAAGTTCCTGCCTTTGGGAGCCTTTGGAGGACTCAGAAATTGAAGTCTTCCAAGGCCTGTGAGGAGCATGAGAGTGAATCTGCCAATGGTGATTCAAATTAGGGATAGGGAGAGTTTGAGAAGTAAGCTACTGAGATTTAAAATGATTTCCAAAGAGAAATATGAAGAATTAAATTAGGATAACAGGAATGGGAATAGAAAAGAACCATTAAAAGAAAATTAAGAGGTAATCTGTAGGCTACAGGCTACAGTGGAAGACAGCAAAAAGTAGAAACAGAGCCCAGCACAGTCATGTGGAAGCCTGGCTCTAGGGCAGGCGTTCAGGAAGATAGAAAGTAGTTTCATTTATGTGCTGGTCCCAACGCTATTATTGCTAGGCAACTTTGGCCAAAAGTCTTATCGTCTTGGAGCATTACTTTTATTGACTATAAAAATAAGAGGATTATGTATCTCAAATAAAAATACAGAAGAACAGAAAAAAAAAGAGTAGATTACACTAGACAGCTACGTTCCCTGTTTCATTGCCAGGGCCAGAAGCTGATTCTAATTATCTGACTTTGTTTTTTAAAAGCCCTTAATTGGAATTGATGATGGCAGATTGTTAGGATGAAGAAACATATTTAGAGGACCAGAGATGTGAAGTTCTTAGATTGGACAGGACACAGTTTGTATGGAGCCTTTGAAATAAAATGTGTCTTATGTGAAAAAGGAGAAAGTATCATCTAGAAGATATCCTTAATTCCTAGACAACATCCAGTTTATAGAACTTCTATGTCTGCTTTTTCCCTCTGCCAGAACTAGCAGAGCCTCAGCGGCCACCTTGCTTGGTCTCCTAACACCACAGGTGTGAGGGCCAGGCGCTGCAGGACTACAGGCTTCTCTCTGTAGACGGGCTTCAGGGCCTCGTGTGGTTTCTCGAGAAGCTTCACCTGGCCACCACTGCACTCTGCTCCCTTTCTCTCCTTGCTGCATCACTTTTCTCCCACTCACCCTGGGTTCACTTGATTGCACTCCCCAGAAACTATTGCACTCCCCACGCACACTTTGCTTCAAGCTCTTTTGAGAGGGTTCAGTTAAGACAGGAACATAAAGAGCTCTTTGGGGAGCAAAGTTGGAAATGATTATTCTGCTTTTCTCCTTATATTGCCCACATTTCTTGACTCTAAACTCCAAGGTTGTCCCTTGCCTCATTCTATTCAGCTTGGCCTCCTTCTTAATTTCCTTTTCGATCCATCTATCCAAATGTATGGGTCCAAAAGATAAGTGCTACTCCTGGGTATTTTTTGCTAACCAATCATGGCTCCATGCCTAAAAGCCAAATTTACCCATGTTCCAAATTGTTCAAAGTCTCTCCTACATGGACTGAGTAGCTAGGCTCTAAGAAAAATAAGGAAATTAAACTTGAGTGTAGCTCCTTAGTAGGTTTTGGTGTATGCTGAAACACTAAATTTGAATATAGCTCTAACTTGTTCTAAAATATTTAAGTTCTGAAACCAAGGACTTTTGCAAAATTATCTTCCTGTGAAGTTACTCTATGACTCCATGTATTTGCTTTTACAGGATGATTTGGAAACACCCTTTGTAACTTGCTATGAGAGAAGCTACGTTCATTGATTTCCCATTCATTATCTCGCTTGTAATTATAAAGCATAAAATAAGAAATTCTTACAATATTCATTTATCAGAGTAGGAAGCTGAGATGTAGAGTTTCCCTTGGTCTCAGTTATAACTGGGTCGCATGGTCAGGCCCTGGGATTCAGAACCTGGCTCACTGGGGCACCTCTATGCGGAACCACCTCTTCCATCACCTCCTACTGGACCTGGTGGATTATGCAGGTTCCTAGTTCGGCTACTAGATTCTGCTGTGGGAAGTACCTGCTTAGCAGCAAGTGGTTTCCCTAGGCTATGGCAGTTTGTAGGAACAATTTAAAAGTCATAAACCCAGGATGTCTTAATAAGTTCCACTTGTTAACTGTGAAACAGCACTTAGACATTAGTTCTTGGTAATGGTAGCACTAGATAATTCAGACAATGCCTGTATCAAGAAAACAGCTTCGTTAACAAGAAGAAAGAAAAAATAAAGCATATGTCCTAACAGATTAGGGTCAGATAAGTCTCCGTTTAAAAGTATGCTTAGTCTGTTATTACTAGCATGATCTGGGTTGGTCTCTAAATATCCCTTTGAGATTTACAAATGAAAATAAAAGCATAAACTGCATAGGCTATTGAGAGAAAGAAATGAGATACTTCACTGAAAGTGCTTTGAACACCAGGCTTGCCCCTTCACAGATGCTCAAAAAGCAATGTCATCCGCTTCCTTCATAGTTCCATGCAGCTGACCACCCCTCCATACTGGGAATCATAGTGTGCAATTTTAGACGTGATTTAGCTTTACGAATGAGAAAACTAAGACTTAGAAAGGATGATGAGTTCTTTAGAGTCAGGCATGCTTTATTAGGAAGCAGAGCCCATGGGGGTGAGTGTGTAGCTCAGCGATAGAGCTGTTGCCTAAAAGGCCTTGGATTTGAGACACACACACACACACACACACACACACACACACACACACACACATCAGATCAAATCAAATGTCGAAGCCTCTAAGTTTAGTTTGATTTGAACTACAGGCTACTGACCAATTTCCTTGTTTTCGGGACTTATAACAGCAGAAGAACTGGCATCCCATGACTGCACACATTGAAGTTTATCAGTGCTCTCTCCGGCACCATCAGTAGGAGCTTGGCTACAAAAGCCTTGCATTTTTGCTTGCTGCAGTGATGACTTCAAATCTGTCTTAGTATAGAGCACTTTTTTTTTTTCATTCATGACTATTTTCCTTATTTTCTTTAAAGATAACTGTCACTATTTAGAATTTATAATCTTGTTTTTACTTTCCAATTTTTTAAAAAACTCATGTAGAAATTAGACTGTTTTAAGATGATTTTCTGCCTACTAACTGGAAATGGATAGCTGAGAGGAAATTAATAGAAAAATTTGGCTAAAATAATTCAGAGCAGGAGCAGGATGTTTAAAGATTGTAGTCCCTAACCAACTACAGGACTCCTAACCATTAACCTCTGCACCTGGTCTTGCAAAGGTGTGAGATGGGCCATTAGAAGAGCATTTGTGGAGAGAGCTGTTACTGGGCCATGAACCCTCTCACCATCTCTGCCTGTGTGGACAGATGGGCACACACACACACACACACACACACACACACACACACACACACAAAGAAAGAAAACAGTTTCTTTTTAAATCAAGAACCGGGGGCTTCAAGAGCTAACTCAGAAGCCTGGATCTTCTAAGGTATGAGTCACAAGATGTCTTGCTCCTTTCTCTTCAGAAGACTGGCAGCCACTTTGGGCTGTGGTGAAGATGGGAAGATGTAGAGCGAGATGGCATCCTTTGAAGGACCCATCAGCAGTCCCAGTTTGAGACACAAGCTGCCAGTAGAGAAAACCATTTCCTGACAGATACCATCAAGTAAGGAGCTCTGGACCCCTTCGGACCATCTCCCTTTCCCAGCTCACACTGCAGTGGGCAGAACTGAGAGTTAGCAAGGTGGGGGCTGAGCCTTGGAGAAGGCAGATCATTTAAAGGTGAAGAACAAAGAGGAACCATCAACCCTATGGCTGCTTCTTTCAAGGCAGGTGAGCTGTCTGTGGCAGGCTGGGCAAGTGGGAGTGCCTGGCATGGAGTATAGAGTTTTTACATGAGGACAGATATATTAATCATCAAGGGGAAGTTATGTTTATTTCTTGGATGTAACCAGCAACAAGGGAAGGGCTAGCCCCTAAGAATATATTCAATAGGTCAGCAGTAGACAAAAATCAAGTGACCTTGTAATTATATCCCAGGGCCAACCCTATTCAAAGTCAAGTTTTAATATGTATTTTTCTCATTTCATCCCCAGAGTGATCTTTTGAACTAGATGGTGCTGTCTTTTACCGTTCATAGATGAGAAAACAGAGAAGCTAAGCAACTTTTCCATGATAAGATGCCCACAGAGCAGTGATTTGTGGCCAGGCTGTCTCCAGCTGCCTCTCAATGTGTGGTTTTCTCTTCCTTGGTAAAAGCCTGAGGTGAATGTTTACTATGTCAACTTACTTAAAAGAAGAGCCAACATATTGGGTACTTCTTAATTTTTTTAAAAGGTTACTTTTTCGAGATCCTTTTTTTCCTTCTATTGGAAAACTGTTAAAATGTGCTCATATTTAAGAAGTATTTACTAACTTCTGTGGTAAAATTTCATAATAAAGACATAAACCTCCAGGGATGTTCCCTCCATTTGTAGCTTTTGGCAGCAGAGAAAGTCGTATGGCCAGGCAACCAAAATCCAAGTGTTTATTTCTTGGAGTTGCATTTTGCAAACCTTGGAACTTGTCACCCTGTAAACCTTTGCCTTTTCCTCTACCTCTGGGGCTCAGGTTTCCCCATTTACAGAGCAGACCTGCTTCCCTGAGGGGAAGGGAGAAAAAGACGGAGGAACTAAACACTCTTGTTTCTCTCTCTGTATCACAAAAGTTCCTTGACAACTGTGCAAAAGTTCAGTATGAAATACAGCGGCACAAATCTAAATTTCCATGAATCTCAGAGGGATGAAATAGAGCTTGAGGACAACCTCAGTGTGGAGATAAAAGTGAAGAAAAACCAAGAACTTAACCAATACTTACTGCTCTCACCCCCCGAGTTACAGATGTGACGGACGATCCTTTTCTTGACCTTCTTGAGTTCATCGAAGTTGTGAACTGTGAGCTTTTTATCTGCAGTCCCAGTGATCTGAATGAGCTGCTGGTCATCTACATCCCCGATGCCCACTGAGTAGATGTCCACGCCTTTGTGTCTCAGCTCTTCGGCTGCCTGAGCCACCTCATCTTGGGAGCGGCCATCCGTGAGGACCAGCAGCACCTGGGGTGTGCCCGTGTTTATCCTGCTGCCCATGTCTGGCTGGAAGTATTGGCTCACCTTCTGGAGTGCTGCACCCAGGTGTGTGTATCCGAAGATCTGCTGGATATTTTCAATCTGAAAGGATATTTCCTTCTCCCCTGCAAAAGCTCCCAGGGAAAACTCTGGCCGGTAGCTATCACTAAACTGGGCTGCTCCTATGCGCACTGTCTTGAGACTGACATCAAAGTCTTGGACAACAGAAGCCAAAAATTCCTTCATCTTCTTGAAATCACTTGGATGAATGCTATTTGAACCATCCATGAGGAAAACCAGATCTACGTTTTTAATATCACAATCTGCAAAGAAGAGGAAAGGGAAAAACAACCAACAAAAGAAAAAGATTTTTTATTAGTGCGTGTTTGCAGTACATAACAATAACATTTATTGTGTAAAGTTGGCATCTGTACACAACACATCTTAATTCTTTTGTTGTCCTTTTCCTCTCCCCTCCCATCCACCTTCCCTTCTTCCATCTCCTCCCCTTCCCCTTTGGAAAAGTTCTATGTCCTTAGTATTCTTTCTTTAACGCATAAGAGCAAATTAACTGTAGTGCTATAGAAATGATATTTACAAAAGTCATGACTTAGGCAACTCTGTGGTCACATCGATTTGGCAGGATATAAATATAAATATCCAATTCCAGGAGGCAGCACAAAGCGTGAACCACTCACACATCCTTTCCTATTGTTCTTGGCTTGTCCATTTGGTCTTATGCCATTTGCATTTCTGAGTTCCCAGAGAGCTGGGAAATATGTTACAGAAAAGTTGTTCTCATCTGCAATCTAGTCTTAACTCTTCCAGAAAGGGGGACCAGTAGTAGCAGACTGAAGGGGGAAAAACAAACAAACAAAATAACAACCAAACTTCCTATAAGTTTAGGGATTCAACCAGAAACAGATGGCTTATATTATTGACTTGGCCCATTGAGCTAGAAAATATTTTTCTGTATTATGGCAAATCAAGAGTGATATTGAAAAGCATGCTTTCTGGTCTATATCTAGTTAATTTCCTTTTCTATCAGCTCCTTTTTGTCTAAACAAGCAAAATACTTACATGAGAAAACTATTTTTGAAGAGGTAATTAAGTATAACTAGGAACATATCCCTTATATTAACAGAGCAAATACAAAACAATATGAATATGTGAGAGCACAGCCAATGAATGAGTTACACTTGGCACATGCTTGTGTGTGTCCCTTAGCTTTCTGGTAAGCATTATAATTTCCTTGAATTTCCCAGTGGCCCCAACACTGACCTAATTTTGTTAATCCTCACTATGGTCTCAGCAAAGACTAAAGGTAGCTGAGATTCTAAACTATGGGCTAAAAGGAGACACAAAAGAAATGTAAATCCTTTAGAAATTGGTTAACTCATTAAATTCTTTTGCAAATTCAGAGTCAAAGGAAATGAAGCCTTGTTTTTCTGCTCAACTGAGAAATTTCAATACAAAAGTGAAACATCAACCTTTACAGTGAACTTCAGAAGGATAGATCAAAATTTAGATATTTGACACAAGGAAGTGAGAGATTTTCCCCACTTTTAAAGTGACTCAGAAAGATTTTGTTACTTATGTCAAAGAAAAAGATGGTAGCTGCATTCTAAGGAGACAAGCCACTTGAAAGCTAGAAATGTTAAATGATTTTGAAAACAAACTGTACCAAGATGCTGGAATTGTGCAGTATTAGTAACTCAGCCAATAAATAAGGGATATTTTGGTAAAATATGTCTTAGGGAAAAGACTAAGGAAACAATAGCCCACAATCTCCCTCTAAACCAAAAGTGCAAAATGGTAGCTGAACAATGAATGAATGTAGACTATATACGGGCAGCTGTGCAACCCCCAGCAGCTGGAATAGAGGCCCACATTCCAAACAAAGGAAGCTCTGCTGCACGTTGTCCTGGAGACATCCGAAGCTGACTGGACTGTGCCCCAATGACAAAGCTTGTCCAAAACTAGTGAGTTAGAAGAACTTAGGAAGAAGTGACTGGGACAGGTTGTAGAAGGTAACTCTCTTTGGGAAAGATGCTGAAGGAAACAATCCTGAGGTCTGTCTGGCTCTGAGACCCTCTAAAATGGGGAGTTCCATGGAATAATTCTGCTTCTCTCCACTTCAGAAAACTCATTCCTGAAAATGTCTCCCTCATTTGGTTTTATGCTAATATTTAGGAAAACTTAACTGATGAGACTCACCTACTTTCGAAGTGTTGCAGACACTGGCTGACACGTCTGAAAATATCCCCTTCAGGCCTCCAAAAGTCTCCACAAAGTAGTACTTGTCACTGGACCCCGCCATGGCTAACAACTCCACGGGATTGGCACCAGCAATCCCCACAGCCAGGACGAGAATGCCTTTTTCCCGCAAGGCCTGGGAAGTAGCATTGAGTTTTTCTGCATCATGGGATTCCCCATCAGTAATCACGATGAGGACCTGGGGAACTCCCTTGTGCAGACGGCTGCCCCGGGCTTCTGTGAACATGTGGTCGGCAAAGGCCAGAGCCTCCGCCGTGTAAGTATTGCCCCCCATGGGCTGGTCACCTTGGAGCGCTGAAATCACCTCTAGTTTTGTACCAAGGTCATCCAGGTAAAACAGCACCTCTGGGTCATCCGCATATTTCATAGCACCAAACCGGACCTGATTCTTGCCCACATCAGCTTTCTTTACTAAGCCAATCATAAAGTCCTTCATGATATTATATTCATCATAGTCGATGCTGCCAGAGCTATCGATTACAAACACAACATCTAAAACTTCAATCCGCTTGCATTCTAGAAGAAAAAGAGAAAGGAAAACCATTGAATATTGTCTCTGGAGAGCATGGGAAATCACTAGACGTTTTACAAAATTGCTGCTGTTTCTCTCCAAGGGACTCATTTCCCATCAGAATGTCAATTCCCTGGGTAACAGAGGAACATGCACATTTGTGCCACCAGCCTGTAGTGATAGTGAGCTTTCAGAACAAGATAGGAGTGACGTGAAACCTACCACATGGGCAGGAGGGATAAAGTGACAAACGATCATCAGAATTTCACAGACATTTCGACTGGAAAGATAACCACAATTCTGTCTAAATGTCCTCATGTAAGTGATTGCTTTGACATTTACTTTCATTTATGTAAGTTTATCTTTTTATTTTTTAAATCACAAGGATCTTGAAAGTTTATTCATAAGACAAACTTTGGGGGAGATGACCAAGTTAAAATGAATTTGACAATGCTATTCATTTCTTGGTTCTACAATGGCTGGGTTTGTAAGGTTGCATTCTTTTCCCTTTTTGCTTTCTTGAAATATTGGCTTTTAGGGCCATTTTCTCCCTAAATTATCCTAGCACCGTAGTCCTACATGTGTAACATGTTCCATCTAAATAGGGAGCTCACCCATCCTGCATCCTAACCGCCAACTCATTCACCCTGGACAGTGTAGTGGTTACTCATTATGTAGCACATTTTCTCTGATTTGAACATCAACTCATCTATTCCTCAGAAACAGAACTGTGAGAATGTATTCTTTCCCTCCACCCCACCCCCAGAGTTTCCCACATGTCTTTCTTTTGTGAGCCTTTTGCTGGCTTCTTGCAGTTCTGCTGAAAACTCAAGAGCCAAGGTTAAGCACAAACAGGAAGCCATGTGTGTAGAGCTGTAAACTCAATTCCTAGGAAAGGCTGGCTCTGCTAAAGAAGGAACTAAGTCCCTTCGGCCTTTTGCTGGCTGCAGAGCTTGCTTGGATTCCTCAGAAGACTAGGGGGGTGGGGGTGGGGGAGATTGCTCAGTGTTGAAACCCTTCAGACTTCATAATTGTTCTGGGTGGAATTATCAGGGAATAAAAACCAGGTGTACTCTTCTTTCTACAAAACAGGCCATGATCGCCAAACCGTACACTGGGAGTTGAACAGAATAATTATTTGAATAAGAAAACACTTTCTCCTCCTTTCAAATTCTAGTAAGACTCAGTGCCTTCATAGAGAGTTTTCTGGACAGTTGTCATTAACCCCACAGTCATAGTATAAAGCTTTTAAAAAATCACTTCCATTGTCCTGCAGGATCACAAGAAGAAAGTAAGGACTATGCCATTTATTTTCTTGGAAGCATCCGTTGCTTAAATTTACATACTACAGTCATTCTTCGTAAGTTTTATTAAATATTGAAATGTTTTCACCCATATCCCATTTGGCCAAGCACTAGTTTTAAAAAATTCAAAAACAGAACTATGCACATATAACAGATGCTGAGCCAAGGGAAATCCCCTTGCCTAGGAAGTGATGCTGCTGTGCCACCTGCCTCAGCAGCTCCCATGTAATCGAAGCACTCAGGGTACACTAGGCTGGGACCTCAGCTCACGATAGGACCAAGGCTGGTGTAATTCATCCTCTAATGCTTTCCATGGGATTAGGCTACAACTAGACTTCAGCTAAAATGACCTCCTCAGTTAGCTCCTGCCACTTTCCTGTCCTCTTTTCCTTCTTTCCCTTCTGAAAGCATCTCTGAATAAAGCACCTCTGCTTCCTCTACTGACTTAACTTCTGCTTCTCGGGAGCCAGGCCTCCCTACCTAGCATTATACCCATTCTCTTAAATGAAAGATTCATCTCCCTAGGACAATTTCCTAGAAATGGAAATGAATCTAGGTGAACCAACATTATTCTTTATTTAACTCAACAGATCAAAACCACTGGCATAAACATTTCAACTAAATGAAAAGCTTCCAGTGTTTAAATACAACTCCGCTTAGTTTAAGAAACAATGACCAGCATGTCTAGTATTTGGACATTGTCACTAGGGGCTATAACCATGCCTACCTTCATGGGGACTACAAATTCCAAAAACAAGATCATCTTCAATGTGCTTCAGAATGTCAAAATTCTCAACATAGAAAACCATCTCCCGCTTCCCACTGATCTCTTCGAGCTGGGTAACGTTGGAGCCAAATACACCCACAGAGTAGATAATTATGCCTTCTTGCCGAAGCGCATCTGCTGGGTCCTTCACTATGTCCTGAGCTTCGCCGTCTGTGATGAGGATGAGAAACTTCCTGACGTTGGGCCGGGCTCCTTTGGCAGGGCTGAAGTACTGAGACACAAAGGTCAGGGCACTGCCAGTCAAGGTGGTTTCTCCAATGTGAGCCATTCGGTCAATTGCATTTGAAATGTCACTTTGGGACCTGAATCTGTTGAGTGAAAACTCTTCCTTGTTGACATCGCTGAACTGGACAACACCAATTTGTACCCTATCGGCCCCAATCTGAGATTTGCTCACCAGGTTCTTCATAAACATTTTCATTTTACTAAAGTTTTCAGGTCCTATACTGCCAGAACTGTCCACCAGAAACATGATGTCAGCTTTCATATCTTTGCAGGCTGCATGGGAGAGAGAAGGGATGTTTATTCAAGTCAACCACATGGACAAAATTAAAAAGAGCAGAAAAATTCAAATCACAAATTACTCTATATTGAAGTCAATTATATGCCTAGTAAAGATTATTAGTAGGTAAGTAAGCTTTGGAAGCAAAAAAATAATCAGGCATTTGAGATTATTCTAGTTGTTATTTAGTGATTTCCTTAAATAAATAATTTGGGGTTTCTCAACTTCAGCACTGTTGACATCTTGGGCCAGATTATTTTAATTGCGGGGAGCAGACTGTACAAGTGAAGGACACTAAGGATGTTTAGCAGTATCCCTGACCTCTTCCTATTAGATGCTAGCAGCACTCAACAGTTTTAATAACAAAAATATCTTTAGAAGTTATCACATATCCCCTAATGATGGAAGGATCCCTGTTATTTCTGTAAATGATTTCACTGTTTTTTTTTTAATTAAAATAAAGTCAGAAGTACTCCTTAAACCTGAAATCACTAGAGCATATTACAAATGTGATATCTAATTACACATATGTTCTAGCAGGGATTTGTGGGAGGAAGCTAGTTATTTGTATTATAGAGAATTCCTCCAGCTGTCTTTGTTATTAATCAGACATAAATCAGAACCACACTAGCGTGGGCTCCCAGTTCTGTTCTAGAGAACAGAGATAGTTACTCAGGAAGGTAATTTACAAGCTAAAGTTGAAAGGCAAAGCTGTGGTTCCTTTTTACCTCCTTCAGTGCAGATTTCTTGAACAACTTGGTTTCTTATGTCCTTCAAGGCATCAAAGTCATGCACATAATACACTCTCTTTTCCTCGCCGGCGATTTCTCGCAGCTGTGTATGGTTGGCCTCCTTGACACCAATAGCGTACACACGGATGTTCTCCTCTCGAAGTCTGAATGCAGGCTCTAAGACGCTATCCTTAGATGCTCCATTTGTCAGAACAACAAGGTGACATGGCACTTTGTTTCCACGCTCCTTCTTTGCCCTCTGCAGTAGCCCTAGTGTGAAATTCAGGGCTGCACCTGTGTTTGTGTTCCCACCCATCTGCCTGATGTTCTCAATGGCCTTACCCAGATCATGCTTGTTGGAGTACTTATTGATCTCAAATTCCAGGTCCCAGCCATCTGCGTACTGAACAGCCCCAACCCGCACCTTATGGGGGGCAATGTTGAACATCCCCACCACCTCTGACAAGAAGTTCTTCACTTCGTGGAAGTCTGTGACCTGGGTGCTCCCAGAGCCATCGATGAGGAGATAGATGTCCGCTTCCTCAGTGTCCACACAACCTACAAAGGAACCAAACAGTTGAAGGTGGCCCATGGGCCAAGGGTGAATGAGAATGAGGTGCAGATGGGGAAAACAACAAATGCGAGCCTCCTCAGGCAGAAAAATGGAAACAGCTTCCATGCTTAAAAGTATTGCCGTTGTCGCTCAGGACAAGAGAATCTTAGCATTCAATGTGTCCAGTGAATTGTTTCTGTTAGTGTTAGAGGATTACCCTAATTTCTTGCCCTGAATCAGGATAAATCTGGACACAGAAAATTAGAAAAACTTGAAGCTGCTTTTTAATGTTATTTTTCCACTACTAAAACAACTACTCAGCCAAATGACAAGTGGAATGTTGCAGAATGGAGATGGTGTTTAACATGATATTGAGGACATATAAGTGCTCTTTCTTGAACTCTAGAACAAAATATTTACTCTTCCCCACTCCTAGTTAATTAATGTAGGAATATGGTCACAACCTTATATGACACTGTTATAGTAAATGTGAAATAAATTACTTTCGTGAATGTGTACGTATATATGTATATATACACATGCATAAAATATTTACATAACATGCATGTATATATCAAGCACATGAAATATGATAATATGTTTTCTCTCTGTATACTAGCAGATGGTACTTCACAACAAACTATTTTGTCAACAAACTATCCAAATTATGCTTCCTGTTCATTCTCTAAACTAGAATTTGGGGATGAAGGAAAAAGAGGAGAAGAAACTACAAAAAGTATGAAGAAATAAAGGAAGCCAAGCATGGTGGCTCATGCCTGTAAATCCCAGGACTCTGGGCGAGTGTGGCAAGAAAAATCATAAGTTTGAGCCCAACCCTGGCAACTTAGTGACTGAGTGAGACTCTGTCTCTTGTCTCAAAATAAAAGATAAAAAGGTCTGAGAATGTAGTTTGTTACAAAGGCCCTAGATTCAATGCCCAATGTCATATAAAAGAAGAAAGAGGAGGAAGAAGAGGAGGATGAAGAGAAGGAGAAAGAGAAGAAGGAGGAAAAGCAGAAGAAGAAAAAGAAGAAGAAAGAAAAGAAAGAAAGAAAGAAAGGCGGAAGAAGGCAAAAAGAGGTAAGAGGAGAAGAAAGGAGAAAAGAGGGAAGGGAAAACAAGGGAGGGGAGGGGAGAGGAGAAGAAGAGAGGAAAAAAGATCAGGGGAATACAAGAGGTAAAGACCAGAAAGAAAAAAGAGGGAGAAAAGAGAAATCACACATAATGGTATTCGGGCATGTGTGTGAGTAACCAATCCAGTTAAATCCAATTAATCCAGTTAAAGCCATGCAAAAGAGAAAGGAAGGGGAACAAAAGTCCCTTTGGAACCTTCAGTGGATTTCATTGTCCCCAAACTGATAAACTGATAAATTTCATGTTATAGAGCTACAACAAAATTAGGCTCTTTCTGCCCACCTACATCACAACCTGCAGCTCCTTATCTTTGGTATATAATGTGAAGACTAAGAGGAAAGAAAAGAAACGTCACAATCCATCCTCAGCGATACTCTACCAGACTTGAGGCTTTCAGTCCGCTCTGCCAGGACAGAAACAGTGCGTGTGATCTGGTTCCGCAGCTTCTTCAGAAAGGTCACGTTGTGGGCAGCCAGCTCTGTGAAGGAGCCTAGCATGGAGACATACTGCTCAGCGGGGTGGGATGCGATCTTCTCCAACTGGGCTGTGCTGGCCTTGTCTACACCCATGGTGAAGATTGTCACTCCTTGGCGCCGGAGGTTGACTGCTGCCTTTGTCACATTGTCTTCTGAAGCTCTGTGGGTCACCAGCACCACAATCTGGGGCACCCCCTGATTCTTCCGGCTGCCATGCTGTGGGGTGAAGACTTCCTTCCGGACCTTCCTGATAGCGGCTCCAGTGTAGGCCTGCCCGGCCTGGGGCGAGAGGCTCTGGATCTGCTGGAGCACCTCTGACTTGTTGGTACCCACACTCAGGGAACTGATCACCTTGGTCTCATTGCTGTAGGTCACAAGGCCAACCCTCATGCAGCTTTCCTTTATGTCAAGGGCAGAAACACTTTCTTCCAGGAATGCTTTGAGGTAGTCAAAGTTCTCCTGGCTGCCATTGACTGACACATCCAACAGGAACACAAGGTCGGCCACAGAGGGGCCTTGGCAAACTGTGGGAAGGGAGCAAACAAGCACAGTGTTAGCTGGAGGCTTGGCATATCTGCAGGGTGTCAGCAGACTGGAAGATCATAAACAAGAGCTTGGCTGTGTGCTTCCAGAAAGAGGAGATGTGTAAAATGATTATGAAGCCGAGCTCAGAGGAACCCAGGTTCAAATATTCAACCTTAGCTAAACTCCCAGCCTCAGTTTTCTCGTCTGTAAATGGACATAAAATATTTATCTCAGAGAAATTAGGGGGATTAAATGAGAAAACGTACTTAGTGGAGAGCCTGGTTCATAAGATTTAATGGATGGTAACTATTAGATATTAAAATCATTTAAGCATCATCACCATCATTATAATCAGTAGTTATATTCCAAATATGCCCAAGCTACTACTAGTATCCTAATGCTACTAGATATAAAAGTACTTTCAATCATTTTATTTGAGAAAGATGCTGGTAAGGAGTCATAGTTTCATAGGCTACCATAAGAAAAGCCTTCTCATGTTCACTATGTATTCACTGTGTGTGAAGATGGGGACAACTATTTGGAAGAAAACAAGAGACAATATGATAGAAAGTGAAGATCTCCAGTGGTCTTGCTTTGAAATCCGTGTTTCTTAAAATTGTTTCCTTATGATCTGTTTTGTTCTATTTAACTTTACCCTCTTTAAAAAAGAAAAGCCTTCTCTGGTACCAATAGGCAATTACAAATGTCATCACAGACTGGATTAAGCAGCAATAATACACCCCATGTTATTTATTGAAACAGGGCATGCTGATGCCCACAAACTCTTGGCCCTCTCATTAACAAAATAGGATAAAAGGACAAAACCAGATCGCAGGTAGGCTGTGGAGTCCACACCCCACTCTGACTGTAGATTACTGCCTGACCTAGTCCAGGTCATGTCACCTATAAGGACACCTACAGCTTCATCTTTGCAAATTAGGGGGTTGGGGCAAACAGGTTATTTTTCAACCTTAACACTTAGTAATTAAGGAACATACCTTGAGGATCCAATGATTTCTTTGGAAACAAATTGATCTTTTTAAATGAACCAGTAATGAAACCATATAGCAGCTCAAACCTAGGGAGATAGCTCAGAGGTGAGCTGGGTTCCAGGGAGAGGCAACCCTGAATTTTAAGAAGTCTGCGAATGACACACAACACAGATAAGTGAAACAGAAACCCAAGGCCAATTCAGTTCACTAGATTTTAAATGGCCACAATCACAGGGCCTGCTTGAATCCACTGACATTTCAGATCTGAAAAGGCAGGCCTCCTGGAGGAAGGGCTGCTCATAGGATTTCAGTCCTCTCCTCATGTCGATTTTCAACATCACTTCGCCATGCCCACACAAGCATCTTAAGCCTACCTTCCACACGGATGTCATTGACTGTGACTTCCCTGTGCTTGGTCACATCCTTGATGATCTGCGTCATGTTTTGGGAAAACGTGCTGAGGTCTCTGGCTGTCCGAAGGTTGAAATGAAACTGAGACGTGGCCATGGCCTTCAGGTTTTCCTCAGAAGCCTCCTGCATCCCCACCGAGATGATTTTCACCCCATCTTTCCGCAGGGCATTTGAGGCCTCTTCCACGTCGTCCTCAGACTCAGCTGAAGCCAGGACCACCAAAATTGGGGGGAACTGTGTCTTATCTCTTCCATTTGTGGGTGCAGAGAAATAGGTCTTGTGGGCCTCCTGGAGAGCCTTTCCTATCTTCAGGGGCCCGCCGATGAACCCGAAGTTCTTCTTGAGGTGGTTCAGCATGGGGTTTCTGCTCCTGAAGGTGTTAAGGTGGAACTCGCTGTGGAGTGTGTCGCTGTACTGGGCCAGGGCCACACGGTACTTGCTGGCCTCTATGGGGAGACTGCTGATTACTTTGTTGATGAACATTTTCACCAACGGAAAGGACTTGGTTCCCAGGTGATCCGAGCTGTCCACCAGAAACACCACATCCGCGTACTCAGGGTCTGGCCCTATAAAAAGATACGTACAACATAGCAACTTTAAAATTTTTCTTCTATATTTTTATATGGGGAAAAATTTAGCTTTTTATTTTCTTAGTTTCTTCCCACTGAACCAAACACAGTAGCTGGAAGCTGCTTTCTCTCTCTCTCTCTCTCTCTTTCTCTCTCTCTTTCTCTCTCTCTCTCTCTCTCTCTCTCTCTCTCTCTCTCTCTCTCTCTCACACACACACACACACACACACACACACACACATGAAAAGAAAGAATGAATGGTTTGGGAGGCTAATGCCTTTGTAAGGCTTATCATTTGAACTGATCACAAAATTAAGCATCACTTACAGAGAACGATTAGAAATAGGTAAATTTAGACAAGTAGAAATCATGAGTTTTTGTTAGCAGATAATTTTACCTTGTACTTTTTTTTGCCTTCAGAATTTGAGCCCAATTTACCAACAAGATAAAAATTTTAATGAAGAATCAAACTAATCCAAATTGGTTTTAACAGTGGAATAAGAATATTTCATTGGGATTGTCATTTAAGCAATGTAATAGGAGGCCCAATTAGCTTATATTAATTTTGTATTCTAAAGTGTCAACTTGATGAGTTTAAAAATAAACATATGAGATTGGGTTAACCTAGTTTTAAGTTACTAATAATATTTTTGATGACTCCTATAAATGACCTTATAATTGGTAAATTGATTCTCATAAAAATGTGTTATCACTAATATATTTTAGGCTAGAAGAAGGATTGTAGTTTTAGTTTCCATTTAAAAATACAATTTTTGTATAAGAACATAATATTTTTTAACCATTTAGTGATAGATTTATAGAATATAAATATAATATAGAAGTATATATTTACACAATAGAGAATCTCAGAACACCAATGTCATTTACTGACACCTTGCTGGTCTGAACCAAGTTCTCATTACTTTAGCGTGAGATCCATTATTTCTTGTCCAGGGAAGGGAGTGAAGTGTGTGTGTGTGTGTGTGTGTGTGTGTGTGTGAATAATAACATCCCCTACCATGTTTTCAGCTAACTCTATAAATTCTGTCAAGTCAATCGATGTACTTGGGCTGTGGTTTCCTCTATTTTACAATAAATAGATTCAGCTAGAAAACATCTAAAGTACCTCTTGACTCTGAAATTTTTGAGTATCTAAATTAATAAACCATTTTTTTTATGTAGCAGGTCAGAAACCAGTGTTAAGCTCCAGTATGCTGTTTCATTCTTTTTACAGTAGTCTGACCAACATATAGTAGGTAAAATAATCTTATTTTTAAAGCAAAGCTAATTTCCTTCAATCAGGTTCATTTCATGCTTATGCAGTGAGCAGCATCCTGGGGACTGGAATGGTGAGGGCAGGTCAACATGCCACCCAGTAGAGGCTGGCTGCTCAGGGAAGCCCACACAGGTGCCTCAACTTATGATCATGTGTGACCTGTCCAATCAGGAATGTGGCCCTGTATCCTGTGTGGCTTAGAAGTGTAGGCACTTGGTAAAAGGTGGTTGATCCAGGCTCCGATCAGGTCTTTCCTTATATCTGTATCATGCAATATTTGGGAGTGTGGAATACTTCTCTTTAAAACAGTTAAGACCCAGTGAGATGGGGAGTGATGATTTTTTTCAGGGTAAAGTCTAGCTAATCTCTTCCCAAACTTGTTTCTGAGGTCAGAGTCCTCAAGAAAGCAGTCAAGGTGTCCCTGGACATGAACTGACCAGGACAAGGGCCTGCTATGTAGGAGGTTGTGGAGGTGGGGAAGAGTAGGTTAATGCAGGCACTTGAACCCCACTGAGACAAGCTGCTGACAGCCGGTACCCGCATGGACTTCCTCTCCAGGGCAAAGCATGTTCCTTATGATGAGCAAACAAGCACTTCAAATGCAGGCAAAACCTAGACGCTTACCTAACACTAGCGTACAACACAAATTTAAGAGACCTTCCAGTGTTTCAAGTCCTGAACCTAATAGTAACAGAATTTTCATACGACCTCCCAGAAGACCTAAAATGGGGTGAAACTAAGGATGGAATGGCACTTTCTACATCTTTCTACCATTAACAAAGAATAAGGCCCAGAATTTTCAAAGGAACACAGAGTAACCCAAAATATTTTTATTAAAAATTGATCTCTGGGTATAGTGGTATAAGATGGTGATCAAAACAATCTGTGAAGCTAAAGCAGGGCACACACAAGCTTGAGCCCAGACTGGACAACTTAGTGAGACACATCAAAAAGAAAGAAGGAAAGAAGGAGAGAGAAAGAAAGAAAGAAGAAAAAGAAGGAAAGAAGGAGAGAGAAAGAAAGGAAAAAAGAAAGAAAGAAGAAAAGAAAGAAGGAAATAAAGAAAAAGAAAAAAGAAAGAAAGAAGAAAGAAAGAAAGAAAGAAAGAAAGAAAGAAAGAAAGAAAGAAAGAAAGAGAAAGAGGGAGACCGGAGACTGGAGACTGGGGGTACAGTTCACTGCAAGGACCTGGGTTCCATCCCCAACTACTGAAAAAAACAGCCTCACTTTCATCAAAATAAAGACAAAACAAAATAAATATCTTAACTTTTAAGTGATTTGAAATCATTTATTGCCTGTCTACTACAATGGAAATCAAGTAAAAGGATTCTTTCCATTGTTTTCCTTACCAGAATCTTGATTCATGGAAACATGGAAACAAATAATTATAAGGAAGAAAATCAGCAGCATTTTCATGTTACGACCTGAGAAATCTCCAACTCAAAACCTGAAAAGGCAAAAATATAAATATATAAAATTGTGGCAGGTGTTGCTCATTAATCAAGACTCATAGACACAAAAGCGTAGAACACCACGTAATAAACCAGAACAGGGCCAGGAATGTCTGCAGGTCACTAACCTTCTGATCCAAGCTCCTTAGGGAACAAGGACCTCTGCTCACAGAGTTAAGCTCTTCCAGTGTGGCAGGCCCTGTAGAAACCAGAGTAGGACTGTCAGAGGAGGTAGAATAGAGCTGGTTCTAATAATATTATGAACTCAGACTGGTCATCTCCCTCTGTCCTGGTCACTCACCGTCATAACAATTCAGAGTACACAGCCAGGACACAGTCTCACACCCATAACACAGTCTCACCATCCTGGACATGGAGCGTGTTTCACCTTTGAGTAATAAATGAGTACTTCTAGAAGTGACCAGAATTCCCTGTTTTTCTCTCTCCCTAGTTAAATAGGTAAGTATTTCTTTTTATCTTTAAATTTGACAGAAGAATTAATTAGTAGTGACTTTTCGCAGTCTGTATGTCTTCCTCTTCAGATTGAAGAGCTCCGTTTGTTTCTAGCTGCCTAGAATTGCCAGAAGCAAAGGTTACAGAATTTCAGGTTGGAATGAAAGCACTTTCAGTCACTGTATTTTATGGAGCAAAACTGGATTTAATGATGATGAAATTAAATGTTGTCCTAAAGTGAGCAGAGGTTAGTCAATCATCTTTCCACCAAGAAAAGATGGATGGATCCATTAATAAACGAGCATCTTCTCTATGTCCTGCTTAATTGCTACTCAATTTTTATTTGCAGCACTTTCTCTGGCTTTTCCACTCCGTTTCAGGCAGGTTCCTAGTACCTAGCATTTTACCTATTCAAAGATGGGATCTTAGATCTGAAAAATTCCATCCTTGTTGTTTACCTGCTCCATTGTCCTGATACGTGGGAGTCTACTCTAGTGTTGTACAAAAAGTCAGATTACACACACTTCTGAAGCTGTAAATCAAATTTTCAGTCCTATTTAAGTGGCAATAAGTGAGCTGGAAGGGAAATCTTAAGAAGTTATTTTCAGTTTAGCCTTCATATTTTAGAGAAAGTGCATTGCCCCAAGTGAAAGCTAAGTCATAGCATCTGGACAATTTTTATGAATGTGTATAACAATGAATCATGAATTCCTTCCTTCATGGAATCTTTTTCATGTGAGAACAGTTTCACATTTGTTCTCCTATTTGATATTCATGAAAACTATAGTTGAGGTAGTATTATTCCTATTTCATAGATAAAGAAATAGATTCCTACGGGAGAAGTAACCCGGGCAAAGTCACAGTGCTAAAACATGACAATGAAACTAGAACACACATCTGTGTGACTCTTAAGTCTGTCATTTAAAACTCAGCCTGCATCTCAAATTCGATATTATGAACATGAAGTGTGTCTGATTTTCTTCATTTTATGTCATTTTCTTAAGTACTAAGAAGATATTGGCACTTGTTTACATGTCTCTGTTTTTGTTTATCAAAACCATGGCTTTATATCATTTTTTCCTGTTTCTATTACTAAAAATTTTGAAGTTATGAGAAATGAAAGAAAATATTTTCAGATAAATTCATAAAAGCAATGTCAAGATTTTCAGAGTCAAGATGGGAAGAAAATGATGTCGAATGAAGGTTAAATATCTGGATACAGAAGCAAGGATTAGGTGAGCCACAACAGCCTCAAAGCACCATGTGGCAGCTGGGAATACCCCATGCTGATGGTCAGTGCCCACTGATCCATGAAAAGTTACATTCTTTGGGTCAGCATCTTCTGCAACAGTGTTCTTGCAGCTTTGAAATGGAACCCCAAATCTGGTGTCCCAGAAGAGAGTGCTGAAGCCCAGTGAAGTGATCGTTTGAGGTGCCTTTATGTTCTCCCTTGTATGTACATGGAGTGCAGTGTGCCGTAGGACAACTGATGGGACTAAACTTCCAAGTCAGGGTTGGGAGGCAGGGCAATGGGTTCAGTTTTACCACATCAGAGCATGGATGAAGTCCCTGTCATCTGTACTGTCCTAGTATCAAATACAACCAAGATTTTCACACTTAAATTTCAAAAATATCTAATCACTTGAAGACATATGAAGGGAAAATGAAGGAGATATTTAAGGTAATCAACATAAAATGTAAATTGACAGCGCATTCAGTATAACAGTGAGATTGATCGTCCCTTATTATAGAAACAAATGTGTGGCCTCTCTAATCTGAATTGGTGGCATGCCTTCCGTTGGAAATCAAGCAACCTGAAGCTAATGCTGTCTTGTGGAAGCTGTATGCTATGAAATCCTTTTAAAATATCTGTATCTCTGTTGACTTTTTGTTGAGAAGGAGGAATTTAAACTAAGCTGCCAAAGCAACACAGACACTGGCTTTGGACCCAGAATGTTCAGAACCTTTCCAACTGCTCTCTCAAGGCTCTAAGAACCAGGGGTTCCAGGAGAAAACTTTTTTGTCTTTTTGAGACAGGGTCTTGCTATGCAAGTCAGGCTAGCCTTGGGCTCACTTTGTAGCCCAGGTTGGTCTCAAACTTGCAGCAAATCTCCTGCCTCAGCCTCCTGAGTGCTGGGATTACAGGAGTGCACCACCATGCCCAGGTCAAGGGAAAATTTTGCCACATATAAGCAAACTCACAATCCAGTGATGTCTAAAAAGAAAAAAGATGTACAAGCCCAGAAGGGACACAAGAGAGACTTTAGCAAAATTAAATGTCATTTCTTTTCTTTTAAACTAGAAATGAAGGATGTTGTATATCATTTTTTAAGTACTAATTCTATTATTCTTCAAGAACAAAAATATCAGCTGTTTTACTGTAATCAACAATACTGGTCCTTACCCTCAATGTTGATAAAGGGTTGCTTATTTAATGCACTGTTTCTCTTCCTCAAATGACTCTACTCATAAGTTAAAGGGTACAAAGTGAAATCTCAAAGCTAGATTTCAGTTCAGGTTACAGAGCTGCAGGTGCCACACTTGGCTCACAACTGGCACAAAGTAGTCAATCGGTGACAGTAAAGAAAACAAAACATGAGCTCTCAGAGTGGCCAGTTGCAAAAATCTTGCCATTAATGTTACACTTCCCTGTACTACATTTTCTGCAATAAAAAGCAAGCTTCCTGTGCCGATTATATCTGAACAAGGTCATGTGGATAACCTCACCACTTTGTAAGAGGAACACTTAGTCGCGTTGAGAAGGCTCTGGCTGAACAGAGAGAGCACAGGCTACAGCGTCTTACGATGCATGTTCTACTCCATCCCGCACTCTTGGGTGAAGACGAACAATTATTTCCACAGGTTCCTAATCTATACCCCAAGGGACTATATTCTAACTCCCCAGGCAGCTCCACACTTCGACCTAAAGCTATCACCAGAAGAACTACACTGTCCCTCAGGTCACCACAGGTGGCCAGCTCTGGGCTGGGGCAGCAACAGTGAGGGAAAGATAGATCTTGGCTACTGATCTTTCTGGGTCCAAAAGCCTTCCAGAATTCCTTAGGACTCAATTACAGGAAGTACAGGGAACTAAAACTTCAACAATGCAAATCCCTTGAAATTAACTGCCCAACTTCATAACTAAGAAAACCGAATAAATCCCAAAGAAATACAGAGATACTAAAGTACTAAATATTAGGTCAGAAATCAGCAAGCTGAAAATAATGATTAAAATAAAATTAGTATTTGAAAAGACAAATCTCTGATCGACAGGCCATTTTGCTCTTTTTAGCAAGGTTTAAGCTCAGGACAAACTAAGCAGAGCCTACCTACCGGGTGGGCTTTTACTAGAGCTTAATCCACCATGGGAAAGGCAATACCCAATCTCAGTCCCTGTTAAACACCAGCTGGTAAATACCCAACCTCTACCCGCTCTAGCTATCCAATCCCAGCAGAGGCAGGGCTGGTATGACGAAATACAAGCTCACAGTCAGAAGCACAGGCCTGCTAAGAGGCTGAGATCTAATCATAGGATTACAGCACAGTCCCCCTCCTTCCACACCTTCCCATCGCATTACTAAAGGCCTGTTTACAGCAATTCCTTAGACCTAGGGTATCTTTTTCAGATATAGAGTTTATTACAAGACATACCAAAAGGGCAAAATGAACAATTTGAAGACACAATAAGTATCCAAACCAGATTCAGATATGGCAGATAAATTGGAATTTTTAGACCAGTAATTTAAAGCAATTATCACTAATATTCTAAGAGTTCTAATGGACAAGATAGAAAGCCTGAAAAGTAGGCAATGTAAGCAGAGAGACAGAAATTTCATTAAGAACCAAAAGAAAATGTAAGAATTTTTTTTTAAAACGCTGCAACAGGACTGAAGAATGTCTTTGATGGCTTCTTGGTAGATTGGGCACAGCTGAGGAAAGAATTTCTGCGCTTGAGGCCATCTCGATAGAAACTTCCAAAACTAAAGAACAAGAACCCAAACTGAAAAACCAGAGCAAAATATTCAAGAACTGCAAGAAAACTACAAAAGTATTAACAAATATAAAGAAACTACGACAAATATAATGATAATACCAAGAGAAGTAGGAAAAGGAAAGAGTTTTGAAATAATAATGAACAAGAATTTTCTCCAAAGTTACTGTCAGAGAACACCAAGAATAAATGTCAAAAACACTGCATGTAGGCATATTATTTTTCAAACTTTAGAAAATTAAAGATAAATTAAAAGTCCCAGAAGAAGCTAAAAGGGGAAAATCCCTCATCTATAGATAAGCAAAGACAAAAATGACACCCAATTTCTCAGAAACTACAAGAGCAAATAAAGTGTGGAATACAATAATATTTAGTGTTGAGAAAAGTCTTTACACTCTAAAATTATCCTTTACAGTAAAGGAAAGGGAACCTCGAAGGCATCTTCTCAGTAAATGGTGCTGGAAAATGGGATACCCACACATAGCAGAATGAAATTGGACCTTTATCTCGCAACAAGTCAAGCTTCAAAAGCAAAAGCAAAAACTAAAAAGCCTCTGCAGAACAAAGGAAACAATCAACAAAATACAAAGGAAGCTTACACATTTAAAAAATGTTTGTATATCTGATAAGTGGTTAATATAAAATCATATAAGGAATTTATACAACTCAATAGCTAATCATCTAAATGCACATAGCAAAAGCAGGGAAACAAATAACATGATTAAAAATGGGTAAAGGCTTTGGCTATTCAAAAA